TAAGTATGCTGAAAGGTTTGTTACGGTAGTAATTGATGAAGACTGCACAACTTGCTTTCACTACAAGTTTTAAGCTCGTTTCTTGGATCGCTTGAATAAGCTATGCACCTAACTGAACACTAATCAATGTTTCCGTAGATCTCCTAAGAGATATCACACAATTCAAAAGAGATACTTAGAAGTATGGAAATACTTGAATAATTGGAATAAGATTTTACAGAAGATCTTGAACTTAATTGTAGTTTAATGGTTAACTAAAGAAATAAGATTCCTTGAGGAATGGTTGAAATTGAACATAAATTTTAGATTGAATTTGACTGAGGTTTGACTTACAATAGAATTGAAGTGAAGTTAAAGAATGAAAAATTGGGTTTTTATAACGTCTGTAAAACAAAGGATAATTTTGGAGGGAATGATTGAAGAAAGTAAAATTGAATGTCTTTCGACTATTGTCTGGTTAAGGGTTCATTACTGGTTTTGTAAGATGTCTTATCTTAATTTAGTATTGTTAAGGCTAGTAGCCTTTTTACCCATTAGTGATGTTGAGACATATATCTCTTGAGAGATAACTTTAGCTTTGACAATGCTTTGAGGATTAAAAGTTGAGTTGAGGAACAGTTGAAAATTAACCAGAAAAAGAAAGGGATTTTTTAATCTCTTACTTTTTGTCACTTAAAATTCAACTTTAAGTTAACCTGAATTTAACCAAGATTGTGGTCAAATTTTACAAGGAATAAAGGTGATTTAGGAACGGATTTGCGAGTTGGAAGATAACCTTTTTTCAGGTTTTGACAATTGAGGAAGTTTTCAAGAAATGAGTAAATATTGTTTGAGCAATTTAAGTGAATTTAAATGAATTTTAAATGAAATAAAATCTAATGAAAGATATGAATAAAGAGAATCAAATTGAAAATCGAAATCATTGAATGATTAAACTAAGCTAAGATTTCTACCCTTCATGCTGAATACGAAATTAAATTCACAATAGTTTTGAACATAAATGAAATAACTTTTGGTACTATCGAAGAGTCAATTTTTATCTAAAAGTTACTTCACTAAAATAAATATTGATTGAATTTTAATATAGTGATTTGAACCGCTAATAAGCTTCCATTAAATTATTCGACTTATTGAATTTATCTATAGCAAATTCACCGAAATCTGATAGTTACTAATCCATGGTGCCAAATTTGCGGACGACTAATCAAGACAAGTTTTTTATTGAAATGATACTTTAGTGGCATTGAATAAAGCTAGCTGTAGCTGAATTTAGCTACAGATTAAAAGCTCTCTCCAGCTATAGTTAAAGCTATGATCAGATTGAATCAGCTTACATTGTCAGGCTTTCCTAGATCATCTAAGACTAGAGTCTGCAAATTTTTTAATCTTTTGTAATGCTATTAATTAGTTAATCATTTTGAGCTACAGAACCATCAACACAATTTATGTAACTCATAAACCATTTAAAATAAAGTTTAAATATTTTAGTTGAATAATTACCAAACTTCTTAAAGCAAATTTCAAAATTCATGCTCGATATCAACGGTCAGATGTAAGATTCCTGAATATCGAATTTCTTTAAAAACTTAGCTGCGCAGGTTATTCAATTAGGTTAGCAATGTTGGTAGAATTAGCAATTGAATAAAACTGATGCTCATACCATATATGGATCCAAGATTAATTGAACGGTAAGGAAAAAACACTTACTTGAGTTGTTCCATGTTCTTTATCAACTTTCGATTCATTATATTTAGTGATTGATTCATTAAATCTGTTGTGAATACTTTTTGTCAACATTGAAACGTTTGCTTTTTCTAAAGATTCACTTTGTTGTATGCTTAAAGTCAGGCTTATAAGGTTATGATTTTGTCCAGGCCGTGTTCGTTCCAAAAGAGGACGGTTGTTACTATCACGTACTTTAATATACCTAGTCCAGCTGGTACCTACAAGTTATTTTTTGTGTAATTAAATATTATTTCCCTCAATTAATCTTCGCAAACAAACCTTGGAAATTCTGATCCAAATACAAAGTACCGCAAGGATAATTTACACTTTCAATCCTTTGCCAACGTGTAACAGACGCCTTTTTTTCACTAGGTTCGCACAATATCATACGATAAGGTCCCAACAAAAGTGTGTCTCTGACAATCTGAGTTATACGTAGAGTCAATCCCTTTAAATTTTTATCCAACAAATCAAAATTTCGTCCGCACTCATTTTCTGATCAATAATTTTATAGTTATAAAAGTGTGTAAAAGATATACTTGCTTGATAGTAATTATTCACTTAATACAATAAATTGTTTGGTTACTTACGAACACAGATCAATGAAATGTTTTGAGTTTTATTAGGTTGTTCGGAAAGTTCTGATACTTTTGAAATTTTATAAGTTTTAACTGATTGTTTAATTGTAAGAATTAATTTAATTTCTTTGATTTTCATATCAACTATGAATTAGAGTTTAGGCTTCAATTTAAACTTTTTTAACAATCAAAAATATTAATTAAAACACTCTAATTCTAATTTAAGCAATTTATCATTTTTCGGCGTTTTACAACAATTAAATTTAATCAATAATTTTTATGATTAAATGATCAAATATCGCCTAAAAATTAACATTAATCGAAAGCTCAAAACTCAAATAATTTATTGAAAATAATAATTTTGTTTAAATTGTTATCAATATTCAAGCAATTAAAAAAATTATTAACTGTCGAGACAATTTTTTGACAATTTTCTATGGGACTTTAATATTGAAATTTTTGTCAGAAATGCAAAAAATCTAATCTACGGAAAATCAATGTTAAACAGAATTTCGATTTCTTAGGAATAATTAAAGAATGGTAATGATTAAAATAATATAAAAAATTTCAATGAATTTATCAGGTTGCAAGCTCTGAATTGATGTTAATTTTTATTCGGTATTCGATTGTTTGGCTATCAAAATCAATGATTAAATCAACCTAATTAATATTCATGAAAATTTAATGTTTTTGTTCGTTTAATTGATGAATAAAACTTTTCTGCACTCACCCGATTCTTTGGAAAATAAAGTTCCTTTGCAAACCCCTTCTTATAATTTTCTGAAGCTACATAATTGAATTCATTATTGAATCTGCTTGATTCAATGGTGCATTCATTGAGACCAGACGGAATGTATTTCAAATCAAATTTACGGTCATAAACAAATTCGAGGTGGAAGCGTTTGTTGATGATCTCCACTGAAGTAACTGAATCCAAAAATGTGATATCGAGCTATTGACCATTTGAAAAAAAATATTGAAGTTCAAAGAATATAATAGCTTATTCGTTAAATTTAGAAACAATGAGGATTCTAAGTATTGCTTGAAAGGTTTGTTACGGTAGTAATTTGATGAAGACTGCACAACTTGCTTTCACTACAAGTTTTAAGCTCGTTTCTTGGATCGCTTGAATAAGCTATGCACCTAACTGAACACTAATCAATGTTTCCGTAGATCTCCTAAGAGATATCACACAATTCAAAAGAGATACTTAGAAGTATGGAAATACTTGAATAATTGGAATAAGATTTTACAGAAGATCTTGAACTTAATTGTAGTTTAATGGTTAACTAAAGAAATAAGATTCCTTGAGGAATGGTTGAAATTGAACATAAATTTTAGATTGAATTTGACTGAGGTTTGACTTACAATAGAATTGAAGTGAAGTTAAAGAATGAAAAATTGGGTTTTTATAACGTCTGTAAAACAAAGGATAATTTTGGAGGGAATGATTGAAGAAAGTAAAATTGAATGTCTTTCGACTATTGTCTGGTTAAGGGTTCATTACTGGTTTTGTAAGATGTCTTATCTTAATTTAGTATTGTTAAGGCTAGTAGCCTTTTTACCCATTAGTGATGTTGAGACATATATCTCTTGAGAGATAACTTTAGCTTTGACAATGCTTTGAGGATTAAAAGTTGAGTTGAGGAACAGTTGAAAATTAACCAGAAAAAGAAAGGGATTTTTTAATCTCTTACTTTTTGTCACTTAAAATTCAACTTTAAGTTAACCTGAATTTAACCAAGATTGTGGTCAAATTTTACAAGGAATAAAGGTGATTTAGGAACGGATTTGCGAGTTGGAAGATAACCTTTTTTCAGGTTTTGACAATTGAGGAAGTTTTCAAGAAATGAGTAAATATTGTTTGAGCAATTTAAGTGAATTTAAATGAATTTTAAATGAAATAAAATCTAATGAAAGATATGAATAAAGAGAATCAAATTGAAAATCGAAATCATTGAATGATTAAACTAAGCTAAGATTTCTACCCTTCATGCTGAATACGAAATTAAATTCACAATAGTTTTGAACATAAATGAAATAACTTTTGGTACTATCGAAGAGTCAATTTTTATCTAAAAGTTACTTCACTAAAATAAATATTGATTGAATTTTAATATAGTGATTTGAACCGCTAATAAGCTTCCATTAAATTATTCGACTTATTGAATTTATCTATAGCAAATTCACCGAAATCTGATAGTTACTAATCCATGGTGCCAAATTTGCGGACGACTAATCAAGACAAGTTTTTTATTGAAATGATACTTTAGTGGCATTGAATAAAGCTAGCTGTAGCTGAATTTAGCTACAGATTAAAAGCTCTCTCCAGCTATAGTTAAAGCTATGATCAGATTGAATCAGCTTACATTGTCAGGCTTTCCTAGATCATCTAAGACTAGAGTCTGCAAATTTTTTAATCTTTTGTAATGCTATTAATTAGTTAATCATTTTGAGCTACAGAACCATCAACACAATTTATGTAACTCATAAACCATTTAAAATAAAGTTTAAATATTTTAGTTGAATAATTACCAAACTTCTTAAAGCAAATTTCAAAATTCATGCTCGATATCAACGGTCAGATGTAAGATTCCTGAATATCGAATTTCTTTAAAAACTTAGCTGCGCAGGTTATTCAATTAGGTTAGCAATGTTGGTAGAATTAGCAATTGAATAAAACTGATGCTCATACCATATATGGATCCAAGATTAATTGAACGGTAAGGAAAAAACACTTACTTGAGTTGTTCCATGTTCTTTATCAACTTTCGATTCATTATATTTAGTGATTGATTCATTAAATCTGTTGTGAATACTTTTTGTCAACATTGAAACGTTTGCTTTTTCTAAAGATTCACTTTGTTGTATGCTTAAAGTCAGGCTTATAAGGTTATGATTTTGTCCAGGCCGTGTTCGTTCCAAAAGAGGACGGTTGTTACTATCACGTACTTTAATATACCTAGTCCAGCTGGTACCTACAAGTTATTTTTTGTGTAATTAAATATTATTTCCCTCAATTAATCTTCGCAAACAAACCTTGGAAATTCTGATCCAAATACAAAGTACCGCAAGGATAATTTACACTTTCAATCCTTTGCCAACGTGTAACAGACGCCTTTTTTTCACTAGGTTCGCACAATATCATACGATAAGGTCCCAACAAAAGTGTGTCTCTGACAATCTGAGTTATACGTAGAGTCAATCCCTTTAAATTTTTATCCAACAAATCAAAATTTCGTCCGCACTCATTTTCTGATCAATAATTTTATAGTTATAAAAGTGTGTAAAAGATATACTTGCTTGATAGTAATTATTCACTTAATACAATAAATTGTTTGGTTACTTACGAACACAGATCAATGAAATGTTTTGAGTTTTATTAGGTTGTTCGGAAAGTTCTGATACTTTTGAAATTTTATAAGTTTTAACTGATTGTTTAATTGTAAGAATTAATTTAATTTCTTTGATTTTCATATCAACTATGAATTAGAGTTTAGGCTTCAATTTAAACTTTTTTAACAATCAAAAATATTAATTAAAACACTCTAATTCTAATTTAAGCAATTTATCATTTTTCGGCGTTTTACAACAATTAAATTTAATCAATAATTTTTATGATTAAATGATCAAATATCGCCTAAAAATTAACATTAATCGAAAGCTCAAAACTCAAATAATTTATTGAAAATAATAATTTTGTTTAAATTGTTATCAATATTCAAGCAATTAAAAAAATTATTAACTGTCGAGACAATTTTTTGACAATTTTCTATGGGACTTTAATATTGAAATTTTTGTCAGAAATGCAAAAAATCTAATCTACGGAAAATCAATGTTAAACAGAATTTCGATTTCTTAGGAATAATTAAAGAATGGTAATGATTAAAATAATATAAAAAATTTCAATGAATTTATCAGGTTGCAAGCTCTGAATTGATGTTAATTTTTATTCGGTATTCGATTGTTTGGCTATCAAAATCAATGATTAAATCTAATTGTGCAAATGCAAAAAAATCATGATTTGATTAAATTAAAATTGCAGTTTGTTAATCAATATTTTTATGATGAAAATATAATAGGTTCAAATTAAAGCTGAGGTTTTAATCAATTGTTGGTATAAGAAACAAAAATATAAGATTGATTTTAACAATTTAATGAACATTTGAAACTCAGATATATTGAGGGTATCAAAACTTTCCGAACAACCTAATAAAATCACGAAACACTTTTATTTCAATTCCTTCCTTTTTTTCGGTTATTAATGTAACGATCATGTTTTTTTCATCGCCAAATACCGACTCTTCTATTAACCAATTCTTTGCAATAGTATCATAACTCTTATGTTCCTTTGAGAGAAAATCAACACATGAATAATTAAAGTCAGTTAATCAAGTGAATGAAACTTACCTTATAATTTAATTCAGCTTTCAATAAAAAACTAGTCCCCAGTCCAGATATTTCCTTGTAGCCTTGTTGATAAGCTGTTTCCATGAGAGTTTGAAGAAATGGAGGAATGAATCAATTTAGATTGTATAAAAGTTTCGACTGAAAATTACCTTCATTAAATCTGGTTAGATGGTATGAAATGATAAATATTAACACACAATATTTACTAGGGAACATTTTTCTTGCAAAATTATATTATAAAATACTTTTAGGACTATCACAATTGATTCATGAAACTATTGTTTATAATCTCAAAACATAAAATCTAATGAATCCATTTCGTATCAACTCAGATGTCATATGTAATAACTTAATACGCCTTCAATTACCATGCTTCTCCATACCATCTCTACACCCTCTTCCTTAAAGGCACCACAGGAGATATCAGTGCTTATAAAATTAAATTTTATTTTTCGAGTGAAAAACAGAATATTCAAGTTTAAATGAGAATCAAAAATTAATTGTGACTAGTTTCTGAAAATGAAGCATAAACTTGATAAATCTAATTGATGAATAACTCAAAGTATGGAAGGAAGAAGACCAATCAAATAGAGTAAATTGTCTAACGAGAAATTTTTGAATGGTTTTTATTGATGGTAAAGTTTATGATTACATGATTTCATTTGGAATTTCATTTCGCTTCAATTTACTGCTCAGCAACAGTACTGGTAGTAAAACAAGACCACGAAGAGCTCCAATAATAACAATACTGAAATACATTCGGAAATAAAATACAACGAAAATCTGTGATGTTAACCAAGCTAATACCAGAATACCGGCAAATTTAGTCAATGTGATTCAATTCAGGTTTAGTTTATGTGATATTTTGTAACAGATGGCTAGAAACCATGAAGTGAACCTAAGTTTTGTGACTGTGTAAACTGGCGAGAGAGTGTAAAATGAACACGAAGAATCTTTGTTCATTTGAACGCCATAACTTTCATTTAAGTCAAATTATCTAAACTTGCTTCAACAATAGTGGCGAGTAAATTATTGCATCAAAACATCAATTATTTCATTCTTAATTATTAATCCAGCGTTTCAAGGATAGACAAAGATAGAGTTTTCAGTTAACTGTTGACCGATTTAAAATCAAGGATCGGGACTTTAACCGATCCAAATACATTAAAAAATGTCCAACAATTTATCCACACAGGTTACTGTAAATTTATTGGAATAATTTCGAAGTTATTTTTTTGTTTGACTTTGTTTTATTACTTTTAATACTTTGGAAAATTACTTTCTTGAATTTAATGCTTCAAGTGACACTGAATCAACGAGTACATGAATTTTGTGTTTACACAGTTTGCAGAGTAGTATCATAATAAGACAGAATATAATCGTAATGGTAAACAGGAAAATTGTAAGCAAGTAAAAGTATTTGGAAAATATGTTTGATGCAGGCTTAACTGGGCTTACATCTGTAACACCAAAAACAACAAATGCAGAACCACGAAAGGCGTAGAATAGACTTCCATTCAAATTGCGATAAGATTTTCGTATTTCTTTCAAAGAAACATCTATCGATAGGTTAGTTGTTGAGATGTTGAACAGCATACAGTTCAATCCATTTGTATCTTCAGCTGGCAATGAGTTTTCATGATCGATTCCAAGGCATAAATAGTCTCCAGTTTTACAGGTTATAATAAACCTAATGAAAAACAAGTTTTTACGTTAATAAAGTTATTAAAAAGTTGATTACAACGAATTTACTGACTTGTTTTTGGCTTTAGAACCTTGTAGACGTACACATTCATCAATGGTTGATGAATAAATACCAGATCCAGTTGATTTTATTCTGAATCTGAGTGCAGTTCCTTGTATTTTTGTTTCTTAGTAAAAATAATATCATTAGTTGAACAAATCAATGATTGAATTTCGAGAAACTTACTCAAGTGGGTGACAAATGACTCAACAATTTCAACCTTTGCCATAATAGTATATGCATTAAAAAAGTCCAACTTGATCTGGTTGATTCTTAAATAGGATATGCTCAGCTTATCCATTATCATTCTTCGCAATTCATGTTTAATATTCTGGATGTGGCTTGAAAAGTCGCGAATTTTTCTTGGAACCGAACGATCTGTTCATTAGAATGAAAAATACTTTTTAAAACAAAACACCATGAGTATAAAATAGGAATGTTACCTAAAAATAAAATCTTTAAATGGAGAATAATTTTATCATTTCTGTCTTTGAAACATGCATTATCCATATTTGTTATCATTTGAAGCCATTCATCTTCCGCAGATAATTCCAGCACATCGATGAAGCATTTTTTCCGCACCTCAATGAGATCAAACTGCGGCTAATAGCATCAAGAAAATATTCAAATGTTGAATTTGCATAAACGGTTTCAGCTTACCTCATGTGATCCAGATTTTGAATAAAGGTTCAACAATAAGCAAAAATCTTTGAGTATATCAGTAATATTCATGCGACTCCTGGAAGACTCGTACAACTGCCAGGAAAAAACAATTAGTTTTGTATCATTGACTATTAAATTGAACTTACCTCGAGAACAGGCCTCGAATAAGTTGTTACAGCCAAATCATACTCAACATTATCAACAAGCTTATTATATTCAGCTTTTATCCCCAATTTGCTGCTGAACGATTCAACCTGTTCAGGCAAATTAAAGTATGATAGTTAGTAAGTCTTCAAAGTCGTTTATCTCTGAACTCGAACAAGAAAGAAAGAAGATGTTTTATGTTTCAAAAGAAAAATCTTAATTTTCAATCTTGGACTTTAGTTTTCTACAATGAAAAGTTATCAACTCACGTAACTCTCAGGAAAATAAAGCTCCTTTACAAATTCGATTCCATATTTTTCTGAAGTCATATAATCAATTTTTTTGTTGATCGACTCCATGGTGCATTCATTGAAGCCAGAAGAAATGTATTTCGAACCAAATTCATAGTCATGGATCACTTCGCGATAAGATTGTTCACCAATAATCTTAAGCGAAGAAGCTGAACCCAATAATGTGATGGTATGCTAAAGAAGAAGCGATAGCAATTATTTACACTGAATATTTTTAGTTTATGATAAAATGGAAAATTAGTGAATATAATAACAGGAAAAGTATCCATTTTTTGAAAATTGACTTCGACACGAAATAAATTATAACTTAAAAAGACTAAATTAACTATTGCATAGCTATTATTTGGAAATTTTTTCACTACAAACCTAAAAGATCTTTTAACTATACGTTAACGTTAGCTTGTCTTACTTGTTCAGTAATAGATGACCGGGATTTGTCTCGTTTCTTTGATATTGAACTCACAGAATATTGAAATAATAGAATGAGAAACTAAAGAAATCATAGCCAAAAATCGGCAAATTGCTTACCTGATTTGTTGTGTTTGCGGTTATAGTATTTGTTCCATTATATCTAGTGATTGATTCATTGAATTTATAATGAATATATTTGAATGGCAAAGGTACCATTGAACTTTGAAGAGGCTCAATTTGTATTATAGATAAAACAGCCATAAGAGAGGTGTGATTGCCTGTGTCGCTAAAGCCCTCTAACTTGATTTGTCCAGAATTTTTCCTTCTCATCAATATTCTTGAATTCGGATCTAAAAAAAGTAAAACATGAAATTATTTGAAAACTTGTTCAATTGAGCCTCAGTTACAGACGAACCTGAAAAACGAAATTTAAATTTGAATTGGCTAAAACCTTCAATGTCCCAATCATTAATATAAACTTCATTTGTTGTTTCATTTGCAAAATATGAAATGATACGATAAGGCCCCATCAACAATATTTGTTTGAAAAATGTAGCTAACAATTCAAAGATACCCTTCAAATTGAGATGCCAGAATTTTTCATAACGATCACAATTATTTTCTAATGAGTAAATATGGAATCAATGATAACAATAAGTAAGTGAACGAATGATATCATGTTTTACACGATAAATTGTTTGGTTACTTACGAAAGCAAATCAATGAAATGATTTGAGTTTTAAAATCACGAAACACTTTTATTTCGCTGCCTCCACTTTCTTGGGTTATTGATGTAACGATACTGTTTTTTTCATCGCCAAACACCGACTCTTTTATCAACCACTCCACTTTTTCTGATCCCTATAGCAAATTAATTAATTTTTATGAACAAAGAAAGTTAATCAAGTGAATGAAACTTACCTCGTAACTTAATTTAGCTTTTATTAAAAAATTGGTTTGATCCTCGAAGAATTGCTCCAATCCATTCGGTTGATGATTTCCACCTGTTTTGACGGGAGATCAATTTTTATTGTAAATACGTTTGTGTTTACATGATAATTCGAACACAACGAAATTACCTGCACTAGATTTGATGAAAAAATATGAAACAATAAATATCGATGCAAAATATTTACTTGGAAACATATTTTATTGGAACGTGTTGAGTAAATACTGATTGGGTTTTCAATTGATTATTGACGTTATTGTTCAACTTATTTGATAAAATGTTTCTTCATGAATGTACCTCTCTCATCTAAACTTTACTTTCTTTCAACATAACAAATTGTCTGAGCAAAGGGAAAAAGGTATTTAATCTCCTAATTTGGACTCAAAATGGTCTTTGATTTTTATGTTGATGTAGTAGATGGTGAATCATTTGAGAATATTTCTAAATAGCTTTAAAATATTTAATTGTTTTGTTAAATCCGGTGATTAATTACTAATCTCTTCTTTAGTTAATAGACGAAAATCATTATAAAAGGTGTTTCCGATGAAAAATTTATTAAGATTGAATCCGATTCATTGTCAATAAATTGTGACGTTTTGTGACGTCACAATGGATTTTTCCGGTGAAATGTTGATTGGATTCACTTCCGGTGACTCTTTTGACCTGGGAATGTTTTTTTCAGCTTTTAGATCATTTTTAGAACAAATTAAGTCCAAAAATGTCGATGTAAATTGATCTGAATCGACTTTTTTGGATCCAGATAACTTGATCCATTTTTCATCGGAAACACCCAAAATCATGGAAACATAATCACGCCAGTTAAATGAATTCATTAATAGTTGTTATTTTTGAGTGGTAAAAATATTTTTTATTCGATAACAAAAATCGTGATTACATTTAATTTGTAAATCAAATACTCAGCCTTGGTTTGCCTCCAAATGCACTCAATACCAGAATACCGGCAAATTTAGTCAATGTGATTCCAGATAAAACAGATGAACCCATTGTAGCCAAGGCTTCTTGGGATCGTTTAACACGACTTGCTTCATTACTCAATAGGTAAGCATGAGTAATATGAGAACAAAATTCAACTGAAATACCAGCAGCCATAACAAGATTAACCAAAGACAAGGCATTCAGTGAAATGTCCCACCAATACATCATTCCCATAAGATTGATTACTATACATATAATGGTGAGAACGACAATCAGTGATGCTTTGATATCAAATCCATATAAAACAAAGGATACCAAGAAAATAGCTTGATTGATAAGGCAAGACTTCTGATGGAATCGCCCTAGATAATGTGGTATTGCTCGTAATAAACGTAGGCATGGAAATATTTCCTGAAACCGACCGACTTGTGTAATTTTTCCATTATTTATTGATTTATCTTTTTAGTTAATATTTTATTATACATGTAGGGTGTTTGAACTCATGAAGTCAATCCAAGTCTAGTAACTGTATATAAATTTGAGCGAGCTTAAAATGTACTCACAACATCGCTTGCCTCTTTGCGTTTTTTGTATTCAGTGCAATAATTTCAGTGCAAGTATTAATGAAAATAAAAATTTCCAATAAGATTTTACTAAAACGAGCTGATTTGCTAGGTTATCAGCAAGTCTTGGTAGCTAATCCATGGTCTTATGAATAGCTATCAGGTGACTAACGTAACAGCATATTCTTGACCTTTTTGAAAAGCGCGCGGCAAGTTCTTGCAGAGCCATCTGCTGTTGACCATCATTGACATTTCCTGAGATTGTTCTACGATAATTCGTTCTTCAAGATTTTTATGGCTGAAGTTTTCGTAGTTTTTTCTCTTTTCGATAAAATTCATTTATTTATTCAAAAATCATGGCAAGTGTTTGCTCATTCACAAAACACTTTTATTTTGACGATAACACGAGACCTATCAGATCATTTTTCGACCAAGAATCCGGTAAGTTCATCTCGCTTTAGTTTGTTGAATTCTTGACAGTAAGATTGTGACCTAATCTGTTTCTTTTTTGTAGATATTTACTTTATTGGTAAAATTGAGTTGAATTCACATTTTGTTATGGACTCATTCAAATCCCTACAAGAACTTCGCAGCGATATTACATCTTTATCTGTCGAAATGGAAAATTTTGAAGTCAACTTGACAGGTCATGAAAAAAAGACGATCGAGCTCTTATTTTTTGGCAAGATTGTTCAATGCTTAGGATATGCCAAAGCTAATGATATTGATAATTTTTTTGAGCTATCTTACCTAAAATACCAACAAGAAAGCTCAGGTAAGAAATTGAGTTTATGTAAATCAGTACATATTAAATTTTGATTTTATTTCTTTTTCTCTCACATTTCAGCGCAGACATTTCAGCAAGAAGTGACTGACTTTTCGCCAAGATCACAAAGTTATAACTCTGTTGCTCAGAGATTATCAGTCATGGAAACTGGTTTAGCGAATTTACAAACTTCTTTCGAAGCATTTGCTACTGTAGCCAATAAGATCTTGGCAAAATTGGACCAAATAAGTGCTTCTGGAACTACGACCACTTACACACCAAAAGCTGCTTTAACACTTTATTATCAAGAAGAATTCACAAAAAGTTTATGTTCTCGTAGATTAGCAGAAGCTTGGCGACAAAAAATTAAAAGCTATTCTGATCAGCGGATTGATCCTGTCAAGCTAAAATTTATCAAGCAGGAGTTTTTATCAGGAACAAGCAATCCTACAAAATTTGTACGAAGTATTGCCGAGATCGTGTTTGGAAAAGAAACACTTATAAAGACAGCAATGGGAAAGGATGGCAAGCCGTTGAAAGGTCTCAAGCAGGGTTTTGATAGAAAAATTTATTTCGAATCGGCTGATGAAGCATTAATGAAAGATCTTATTAGTTTGGTTGACAAGGAATTATTTATGGACGCCGGTGCTTTTGAGTATCTTGTCAGGAGACCTATCAACCAAGCTGGCAGAGATGCTAAAAAATCGAAAGAAATCGAAGTTTAAGTATCTAGTTAAGTAACAATACTTACGTGCACAATACTGTTATGAAAATTGTATCAATTATCTTGTGATTCATAGTTAGTTCAGTGTTAGAATGGTTGACAAAGGTAGAAAAGCATTGAAAAGGTTTTCAGTTATTTATAACCCACTCATCACATGAATTAAAAGAAGCGAGATCTGAACGGAAATCTTTTGTTACTGCAAATTTAACGAAAATAAAACTTAAAAAAACACTATTTTGTGTAAATTGACCCTTTACTTCAACACGCGTCTGCATAGCCATCTTGAATCTACTGAACATTAATCCAGCAATAACCATTCTTTCACTCGTTCAGTCGCTGTACTTTTGAATGTATTGAATGAAACACAAATGTATTTTTGGTTGACTTTGTTATACTTTTAATATTCTTGAAAATTACTCTCTTGAATTAAATGCTCTAAGCGACACTGAATCAACAAGTGCATATGTTTTAGGTTGACCCAGTTGGTAGAAGATTATCACAATAAGACAGAATATTATAGTGATGAGAACCAGGAAAATTGAAAACAAGGAAAAGTATTTGGAAGATACAGCCTGAATGTTTGATGCAGCCTCTTCTGGGCTTACATTTCTTAAATAAACAACAAGATGAGCACCATTAAAATAGTAGAATAGACTTCCATTCAAATTGTAATAAGATTTTCGTATTTCACTCAAAGAAACGTCTGCAAATAATTTAGTTAAACTGCGATCTGAATTGTTGAACAGCACACAGTTCAATCCATTTTCGCCTCTATCTGGCAATGATTTTTCATGATCGATTCCAAGGCAGAAGTTTCCAGTTTCACAGGATATTATAAACCTAATAAAACAAGTTTTACACGTTAATGCAGTTATTAAGAAATTAATTGCAAAGAATTTACTGACTTGTTTTCGGCTTTTGAACCTTCATGACGTACACATTCATCAATGACTGATGAATAAAGACCAGATTCAGTTGATTTAATTCTGAATCTATGCGAAGTTCCTTGTATTTTTGTTTCTTAGTAAAAATAATATCATTAGTTGAACAAATCAATGATTGAATTTCGAGAAACTTACTCGAGTAGGTGACGAATGACTCAACTATCTCAACCTTTGCCATAATAGTATATTCATCAAAAAAGTCAAACTTGATCAGGTTGATTCTTAAATATGATATGTTCAGCTTATCCATTATCATTCTTCGCAATTCATGTTTAATATTCTGGATGTGGCTTGAAAAGTATTGAATTGTTCGCACAGACGAACGTTCTGTTGATTAAAATGAAGAGTAATTATTAAAATGAAACTTCATTAGGATGAAATAAGAATGTTACCTAAAAATGAAATCTTTAGATCGAGAATAACTTTATCATTTTTGTCTCCGAAACATGCATTATCCATATGTGTTATCATTTGCGGTCCGTCATTCGCTACAGAAAACTCCATTGCTTCGGTGAAACATTTTTTTCGCACTCCAATGAGATAAAACTGAGACTAATAGTATCAAAAAATATTCATGTGTAAGTCAAATATAAAGGGTTTCATCATACCTCATGTGATCCAGACTTTGAATAAAGATTCAACAGCACGCAAAAATCTTTGAGTATATCAGTAATGTTCATACGGATTCTGGAATATCCGTTAACCTGCGAGGAAAAAAACAATTAGTTTTGCACCATTGACTATTAAATTAAGTTTACCTCTAGAACAGACCTCGAATAAGTTGTCACAACCAAATCATACTCAACATTATCAATCAGTTTATTGTATTCAGCTTTCATCCCCAATTTGAAGCTAAACGATTCAACCTGTTCAGGCAAATCAAAGTATGATACTTAAGTGAGTCTTCAAAGGCGAACTCGAACAAGAAAGAAAGAAGATGTTTATGTTTCAAATGAATAATATTATTATAATTTTCAATCTTGGATTCTAATTTTTAACAAACGATACAATTGAGTGTCAAAACTAAGGACTTTACTAACAGTTTACCCTTTAAGCTTCAATTTTTTGTCTATTGGATCAATCAATGAGAAAGCAACTCACGGCACTCTCAGGAAAATAAAGTTCCTTTACAAATTCGATTCCATATCTTTTTGAAGTCATGTAATTAATTTTTTTGTTGCTTAACTCCACGGTACATTCATTGAAGCCAGAAGTGTATTTCAAACCAAATTTATAGTCATGAATCAATCCTCGGTAAGGTCGTTCCCCAATAATCTCGAGCGAACAAATTGGATCCAAATGTGTGATGATAAACTAAAGAAGAATCGATAACGAATAATATCACTGAATCTTTTTAGTTTATAATGAATTACTAGAAAAGGGGTGAATATAAGAACAGGAAAAGTATCCATTTTTTGAAACTTGACTTCGAAATGAAATAAATTATAATTTAAAGAGAGTAACGCAAGTTAACTATTAAATACTTTGAATAGCTTTCATTGTTAACAAAAAGAAACTTTGGATTGTATTATAACTTGTCTTACTTGTTCAGTAATAGATGATCGAGATTTATCTCGTGTTTTCAATATTGAACTCACAGAGTATCAAAATAATAGAATACGAAACGAAAGAAATGATAATCAAGAATCGAAAATTGCTTACGTGATTTGTTGTTGTTTTGTAAATTTTTGATCCATTATGTCTAGTAAACGATTCACTGAATTTGTAATGAATATATTTGGGTGGCAAAGGTACCATTGAACTTTGAAGAGGCTCAATTTGTATTATAGATAAAACAGCCGTTAGATGGGGATCGATGTATTGGTTTATGCCGCGCACGCCTATTTGTCCAGGATTTTTCCTTCTTATCAATATTTTTGAATTCGCATCTACAAAAAAAGTAAAACATGAAATTATTCAATTGTTCAATTGAGCATCTGCCACAGACGAACCTGAAAAATCAAATTTCAAGCGCAATCGGCGAAAACCTTGAAGGCCATTTTTTTCAACTTCATTTGTTGGTTCATTTGCAAAATATGAAATGATACGATAAGGTCCCATCAACAATATTCTTTTCAAATATTCGGCTAACCAACTGTTCGTAACTTGATGCCATAACGATATCGTGTCGTATCGATCACATCTATTTTCTAATGAATAAATATGGAATCAATGCTAACGATGAGTAAGTGAAATATCATATATAATATCATCTTTTATACGATAATCTATTGGAATATTTACGTAAACAAATCAATGAAGTGGTTTGAGTTTTAAAATCACGAAACACCTTTATTTCGCCCCATCCATTTTCTTGGGTTATTGATGTAACGATATTGTTTTTTTCATCGCCAAATACCGACTCTTCTATTAACCAATCCGCATTTTCAAATCCCTTCAGAAAATTGTTTGATTTTTTAAGTACAAAGAAGTTAATCAAGTAAATGAAACTTACCTCGAAACTTAATTTAGCTTTTATTAAAAAATTGGTTTGATCCTCGAAGAATTGCTCCAATCCGTTGGGTTGATGATTTCCACCTGTTTTGATGAGAAATCAATTTTGAAAATGAACAAGTTTGTGGTCACATGGAAATTTGAATAAAACGAAATTACCTGCACTAGATTTGATGATAAAATATAAAACAATAAATATCGATGCAAAATATTTACATGGAAACATATTTTGTTGAAACGTGTTGAGTAAATACTGATTAGGTTTTCACACTTGATTAATTATGCTGTTTTTCAATTTTTCCGATAAAATGTTTCTCCATGAATTTACCTTTGCCATCTAAACTTTACTTTCATTAAGCCTAACAAACTGTCTGCGCAAAGGAAAAAAAGTATTTAATCTCCAAATTTGGACTCAAAATGGTCTTTGATTTTTATGTTGATGTAGTAGATGGTGAATCATTTGAGAATATTTCTAAATTACTTTTCAATATTTAATTGTTTTGTTAAATCCGGTGATTAATTATTAATCTCTTCTTTAGTTAATAGACAGAATATAAACATGGAAACTTATTATAATCACGCCAGTTAGATGAATTTATTAATAGTTGTTATTTTTGAGTGGTGAAATATTTTTTATTCAATAACAAAATCATGATCATCATTTCATTAGCAAATGAACTGCCCAGCTTTGGTTCAGCTCCAAATACACTCAACAGTACTGGCAATAAAATAAGACCATGAAGTGCTCCAATAATAACGATACCGAAATACATTCGGAAATAAAATACAACGAAAATTTGTGATGTTGACCAAGCTAATACCAGAATACCGGCAAATTCAGTCAATGTGATTCCAGATAAAACAGATGAACCCAGTGATGCTTCGATACCAAATCCGTACAAAACAAAGGATACCAAGAAAATAGCTGTTATTGATAAGGCAAGACTTCGGATGGAGTCACCATAGATAGTAAGGTATTGCTCGTAATAAACGTAGACAAGAGAATATGGAAATACTTTAACTTCTTCGCCTGGCTTTAAAGCGGTTGATACTGCTCGTTCAATGTTTGATGCTAAGAAACGAGCACTTTTCATTGCTTCGATGAAATCACTAGATTTGACTAGAGGTGCATGCTGCATCAGGATTGATGGCTTTAGATGATTTGAAGCAACACAGAATGAAGACAGCAATGAGAACAGCAATATAGAAACTCATTTGTAGTAAAAAAACCATTCTTTACTTAACTTACTTTTAACTGCAGCATTCAGTTTGTTTACTTTTGAATGTAAACTGTGTGAACAAACTACGGGACTTTTACCGATACAAATATTAATACATTGATAATACATTATAATACGCCCCGTAATTTATCCACTCAGGTTACTGTTGATTTATCGGGATGAATGCAAATTGTTTTTTTATTTGATTTTGTTTTATTACTTAATTTTTTCATAGTTTTAGTATTTTGGAAAATTACTCTCTTGAATTAAATGCTCTAAGCGACACTGAATCAACAAGTGCATAAGCTTTAGGTTGACACAATTGGCAGAGTATTATCATAATAAGACAAAATATCATAATGATGGGAAACAGGAAAATTGTAAACAAGTAAAAGTATTTTGGAGATATGTTTGATGCAGACTTTTCTGGGCTTAAATTTGTTACATTAACAACAACGAATGTAGAGCCATCGAAATGGTAGAATTGACTTCCATTCAAAGTAAGATAAGATTCTCGTATTTCTTTCAAAGAAACGTCTGGAAATAATTTAGTAAAACTGTGATCTGAATTGTTGAGCAGCATACAGTTCAATCCATTTTTGTCTCTATCTGGCGAAGAGTGTTCATGATCGATTCCCAGGCATAAATAGTCTCCAGTTTTACAGGTTAGAATGAACCTAATAATAAAAAGTTTTTACACGTTAATACAGTTATTAAGAAGTTGATAACAATGAATTTACTGACTTGTTTTTGGCTTTAGAGCCTTTAGAAAGTAAACATTCATCCATTGTTGATGAATGCAGACCAGGTTCAGTTGATTTAATTCTGAATCTATGCGAAGTTCCTTGTATTTTTGTTTCTTAGTAAAAATAATATCATTAGTTGAACAAATCAATGATTGAATTTCGAGAAACTTACTCGAGTAGGTGACAAATGACTCAACTATCTCAACCTTTGCCATAATAGTATATGCATCAAAAAAGTCAAACTTGATCAGGTTTATTCTTAAATATGATATGCTCAGCTTATCCATTATAACTCTTCGCAATTCATGTTTAATATTATGGATGTGGCTTGAAAAGTATTGAATTGTTCGCACAGAGGAACGTTCTGTTGATTAAAATGAAGAGTAATTATTAAAATGAAACTTCATTAGGATGAAATAAGAATGTTACCTAAAAATGAAATCTTTAGATCGAGAATAACTTTATCATTTTTGTCTCCGAAACATGCATTATCCATATTTGTTATCATTTGAGGCCATTCAGCTTCCGCAGATAATTCCATTACTTCGGTGAAGCATTTCTTTCGCACCTCAATGAGATAAAACTGTGATTAATAGTACCAAGAAATGTTCAATTGTAAAATTTACATAAACGGTTTCTTCGTACCTCACTAGATCCATATGTTGTATAAAGATGCAACAGAACGCAAAAATCTTTGAGTATATCAGAAATGTTCATGCGAATCCTGGAAGACTCGTACAACTGCCAGGAAAAAACAATTAGTTTTATATTATTGACTATTAAATTGGACTTACCTCTAGAACAGGCCTCGAATAAGTTGTTAAAACCAAATCAAACTCAACATTATCAATCAGTTTATTATATTCCCTTTTCACCCACAATTTGTTGCTAGACGATTCAACCTACTCAGGCAAATTAAAGTATGATAGTTGTAAGTCTTCAAGTCTTTTACCTCTGAACTCTAACAAGAAAGAAAGAAAATGTTTCATGTTTCAAAAGAAGCATATTAATTCTCAATCTACGATTCTAATTTTCTACAAAAGATGCAATTAATCCAATTTAGAGTCAAAAATAAGAACTTTACCAACAATTTACACTTTTTGTTTATTGAATTTGTCAATGAAAAATTATCAACTCACGGCACTCTCAGGAAAATAAAGTTCCTTTACAAATTCGATTCCATATTTTTCTGAAGTCATGTAATTAATTTCATCGTTGCTTAACTCCACGGTACATTCATTGAAACCAGAAGAATTGTATTTCAAACCAAATTCATAGTCATGGACCACTTCGCGATAAGATTGTTCACCAATAACCTTAAGCGAAGAAGCTGAATCCAATAATGTGACGATATGCTAAAGAATAATTGATAGCAAAAAATATCACTGAATAATTTTAGTTTATGATAAATTAATACGATAGGGGGTGAATATAAGAACAGGAAATGAATTTTTTGAAACTTGACCTCGACATGAAATAAATTGTAATTTAAAAAAAATAACGCAAAGTTATCAAACAACTTGAAATTTTTTCACTACAAACGCAAAGAAACTTAACAAGTTAACTAAGGTTAGTAATCATAGTCAAGAATCGAAAATTGCTTACCTGATTTGTTGTGTTTTGGTACATGGTTATTCCATACTGTCCATATTTAATGATTGATTCATTGAATTTGTAATGAATATATTTGGATGGCAACGACACCATTGAACTTTCAAGAGGCTCGATTTGCATTATAGATAAAACAGCCATTGGACCTCCAGGCATGTAATCCGTTAGATCGTACCCTGAATCGTACATTGTGTATCTTGCGCCATTTATATCGATTCGTCCAGAATTTTTCCTTCTCATCAATATTCTTGAACTCGGATCTACAAAAAAAAGTAAAACATGAAATTATTTGAAAACTTGTTCAATCGATCTTCTGTTACAGACGAACCTGAAAAATGAAATTTTAAGAACAATAGGCGTGAATTTCCATCTTTCCATTGTTTAATGTTCAACTTTTCAACTTCATTTGTCGTTTCATTTGCAAAATATGAAATCAGACGATAAGGTCCCAGCAACAATACTTGTTGCAAAAAACTGGTTACTGTTAGATAGTAGAGGTTCCAAGTTAAATGCCAGACTTTTCCTTCGCCGTAAAGATCACAATTATTTTCTAATGAGTAAATATGGAATCAATGGCAACAATAAGTGCAATAATATGATCTTTTATAAAATAAACTGATTGGTTACTTACGAATACAGGTCAATGAAACGGTTTGAGTTTTAAAATCACGAAACACTTTTATTTGAATTCCTCCCTTTTCTTCGGAGATTAATGTAACAATACTGTTTTTTTCATCGCCAAATACCGACTCTTCTATCAGCCAATTCCTTGAAATCCAATCATAATTATTTGGATAATATTCCTTTATAAAATTAAGCAATTTAAGAATCCCTTTAATAATTAAGTTATTTAATTCTTTATGAACAAAGTAAGTTTATCGAGTAGATGAAACTTACCTCAAAACTTAATTTAGCTTTTATTAAAAAATTGGTTTGATCTCCAAAGAATTGCTCCAATCCATTCGGTTGATGATTTCCACCTGTTTTGACGAGAGATCAATTTTGAAAATGAATGCGTTTGTCTTTACATGGAAATTTGAACATAACGAAATTACCTGAACTAGATTTGATGAAAAAATATAAAATAATGAATATCAATTCAAAATATTTACTTGGAAACATATTTTGTTGAAAAGTGTTGAGTAAATACTGATTAGGTTTTCACACTTGATTATTGACGTTATTGTTCAACTTTTTTGTTATAATGTTCCTTTGTGAATGTACCTTTGTTATCTAAACTTTACTTCTTTGCAACTAAAAAATTGTCTGAGGAAAAGAGAAAGCTATTTAATCTCCAAATTTGGACATAGAATGGCCTACGGTTGTAATGTTGATGCAGTGCATAGTGATTCATTTGATAATATTTCTAAATCACTTTTCCATGTTTAATTGTTTTGTCAGATCCGGTGATTAATTACTGATCTCATCTTTAGTTAATAGACAGAAATCATTATATAATCATGGAAACATATTATAATCACGCCAGTTAAATGAATTGAGTTGTTATTTTTGAGTAATAAAAATATTCTTTATTCAATAACAAAAAATCATGATTACATTTCATTTGCATATGAACTGCTCAGCTTTGGTTTACCTCCAAATACACTCAACAGTACTGGTAATAAAATAAGACCATGAAGTGCTCCAATAATAACGATACCGAAATACATTCGGAAATAAAATACAACGAAAATTTGTGATGTTGACCAAGCTAACACCAGAATACCGGCAAATTTAGTCAATGTGATTCCAGATAAAACAGATGAACCCATTGTAGCCAAGGCTTCTTGTGATCGCTTAACACGGCTTGCGCCATTACTCAATAGGTAAGCATGAGTTATATGTGAACAAAATTCAACTGAAATACCAGCAGCCATAACGAGGTTAACCAAAGACAAGGCATTCAGTGAAATGTCCCACCAATACATCATTCCCATAAGATTGATTACGATACATATAATGGTGAAAACGACAATCAGTGATGCTTTGATATCAAATCCGTACAAAACAAAGGATACCAAGAAAATAGCTGTAATGGATAAGGCAAGACTTCGGATGGAGTCACCATAGATAGTAAGGTATTGCTCGTAATAAACGTAGACAAGAGAATATGGAAATACTTTAACTTCTTCGCCTGGCCTTAAAGCGGTTGATACTGCTCGTTCAATGTTTGATGCTAAGAAACGAGCACTTTTCATTGCTTCGATAAAATCACTTGATTTGACTAGAGGTGAATGATACGAACTATAGTGACTAGCCAATACATTATTATTTTCATCTAATTTTACAGAAGATCCATAAGCAGCACGGCCAGCTTTAGGGCAAGAGGTAGTTGGTATATCTGATAGATAATCAGGTAGAAACTTGTAAAATTGAGCAGAATTTATCATTTCATCATCGCCTTCAAGCTGACATTTCTTGCATTCATTGTTTCGGTTAATATCTGTTAATGTAGACGGACAGAAGATATTTGTATCATTTTTGAAAAGTCGGCAACAAGATGATGTATCAGCCCAACCGAAGTAATCATCAAGCCATGAGGCAGGAGAGTCAACAATGTAACTAGACTCGGGTTCGTGAGATGCTTGACTGATTTGATTAAAGAGAGAATTTTCGCTACAGTAACTGCTTCCACATATAACTTCTTGGTGAAAGTTATCAGAATAATCAAATTTGCCACCAACAACAAAATAAACAGGAGGTCCGACGCGTAAATCATTTTTCTGAGCTTTGAAATATTTAAGGACGTATGAATCATGAGGCATTGATAGTTCTTGGTCCAACCCAACTTCAATTTTGTTTACAACAGCAATAGAAGAGCAAACCCATAGAGTAAAACCAATGGATATAGCTAAACGAACTTTATCTTTCATGAGGAATGGTGCATAATGATCTTTACAGATTTTGTGAAGTAATCCAACTTCAACATCATCAGGTATTACATCAGGATCGATGGCTTTAGATGATTTGAAGCAACATAGAATATCAAATCTAGATGATTTTTGTCTCTCCAAATCAAGATATAAAACAGCAATGAAGACACTCATTTGTAGTAAAAAGTCGATTAGAAGAGCTAAAGCAGCATTCAATGCAAACATTCTGATAGCGGGCATAGTTGATAAAGCTCCAATAAAGAAACATGTAACTTCACAGGCAAAAGCCATAAGAATAGATGGTCCACATTTGCCCAGAACCTTAGCTACTTGATCTTGAGAAGACTCATTTTGTTTAGGATTATAACGCTAAGATTGTAAAAAGGAAAATATATTTTCATTAATTTTTGAATAAATTTGATTTTTGAATAATTTTTACCTGTATGTGTTGAGCAAGAATAAAAATATTATCTACTCCAACAGCCAAAACCAAAAAGGGAATAACCTCTACAATGATAAGGGTTAAATTAAACCCTAGAAGAATCATCAAACCAATAGATGATATAACGCTGGCAATAACGATTGTTATACCGATGAGACCCAAACTAATTTTTGAGTGGACAAAAAAATCACTTTTTCGAGAGATTCTACCCAAAGTCAAAGATACATAAGCAAACATTACCAGGTAACTCGCAATAATAGTTGATACATCGTATAAACTCTGACGGTTGATTTCATCTTGAACTGATCTCTTTTGAAAACATTGGGAAAAATAATGGATTATTCAAGGAAGTTGTGAAAATGGAGAATCGCTTACCTCTGAAAAATAAGCAATATCAAAATCAGGAAATCTAGTATGATTGAATGAATGTAAGTAATCCAGAAACACTTGTTCCCACGCTTCTGCTTTTTTATTTTGACTCTTATCGGCATGATTATTGATCAAAATTGTAATTACCAGTGATGTAGCCTGAGTATAAGCATCAGCAGCATCTTTTTGGGAATCAGCAATATTGAAACCTCCTAGTGCCACTTTAGGTAAAGCTGGTCCTCCATATTCACCCAAACAAGGATAGTGAAATGGCTTCAAATTATCATCAGGAGCAAATGGGTTACCAAGACAAGAAATAATGTGATCGAGGTAAGTATAATTTGAGTTGGGATCATCATCAAAGTGAGTGGCATTTTCCTGGAACCAGCCGAAAACACTTTGAACTGCACATAAGCCATTGCCTAAAGGACTGAAACATATGTCATTCAATTTAATTGTTTCTCCATCCAATTTTGCTGTGAGCGATGTAATTTCTTGCTGCAGTTCAAGAGTCTTCAATAAAAATTCCTTATCAAATATTGGGTTGAATGAATAATTCTTGTCATTTGCATAATAATCGAAGTTAGGTTCATTCGTTGTTTTCTTGATAATCAATTGATTAACTCGATAAAATGGTCCGAAATTTGTATCAAAAAACAGTTTCTCTTGACGAGCATGACTTTCGGGGGAACTCCACAATTCAACTGGATCTGAAGTTATTTTGGAAGAAATGTTTGCAACTTCAAGACCTGTTATTAAAATCGAAACAGCTCCAATAATTATGGTCAAAGTGGGTCTAGATGTAACGATGTATCCCCATTGCTTGAAACTATGCTCAAGAAAATTTTCTAATATTGAGCCAATTCCTTTATTGGTCACTTTTGATGATTTCACGTTAACCATGGTTTCATCTGAAATTGATTGAATAATTAGAATGGATGTTCTTTGAATAAGATTATGATAAATTGAAATAGAGAGGTTAGGGGTCAGTGTTTAGTATGATTTTGATTTAACTGATTGGGTTAGTGTAAATTAGTAGAAGGCACTTAACAGTTAGTAGGATCATCGAAATTAGCCATTGGATAGGATCCAGCGTCATCTGCTAAAAGACAACAAAATGCAAATTTACCGAGATCTTTACACAATATTTCTGACAACAAAAATTCGTAATACCTTTAGTAAAATTTGTTTTTCGTTGATAGTAAGTGTAATAAATAATCACTGCCGTCGTTGTAATTATGAACACACAGGACATTACAATGGTCATACCATCTGTACCCAAAATGCAAAATCTTTCATGAGCTTCGGGCCGAGGTAAAGGTTTACAAACAGTTGGACAATCTGAACATGAGCAGGCAGTTTTGTTAGGAACTCCGGGACTCTCGAAACATTGAGTTGATGAAAGCTGAAGGGGTGAGATTGATGTTTCAGCTGAATAAGGAAAATAATGAAAATTGATCCCGAATGGCGAAGAATCATTCTTTCCAATAGATTCAAGAAGTCGATGAGCATTACATTGGTCACCCCATTGGTCGCACATTAAATGGACTGGTTTAAAGTTAGCGCCTGGCGCCAAGACATTTACACATGAATTAAACAAGGTTTGAGCAAATTTCTCCTCAATTGCGTATGAGATCCAAGAGACTTGTTGCTTTTCAGGATATTTTTCCGATGGTTTGGCCTCATCAAGTCTTAAAAATTCCGACTGTTTGGGTGAACATGTCATGTGACACAAAAAATTGGCAAAATTGTAGAAACATGATGGACAACGACCTAGCATCCCTCTTGGCGTAGCCAATTGGTCTATTAAAATATTGATTTGGTCCTCATCACAACATAGAGTTGGATTATTCACTACAGAGACAGGGGAGAGAAAACACAATCAAAGAATTAGTTCAAGACAATTGAAGTAAAGTCAATTTACCTGGATCAAGATATGGACAGATTTCTTGAAGCGAGCGTAAAGTAGTCTCATTGTTGATGGGTTGAGGAGCACCATTATATACACATGGAATTTTGAGAGATAACATATACTTGTTTTGAATATCATCACACGTTGATCTGAAGATACAATCACAATACACATAATTATTCACTGAGATAAGCAAAAGGTGAAGCACTGTCAAAATTAAATAATTTATCAATGTAAACATGTTGAAGGTTACTGATTATTCAGTCGGTACTTTTAATGTACTTGCTATTGACCAATTTGATTTATAAGGAGATGTAAACACTTACTTATTATAAAAAATTCATTAAAAATAGATGTATCAAGGGTGGAATGAAGTATTAAGATAGGATTCCAATATAGCAGCTTCAAGTGTATACACATAATGGAAAAAGATATAGTGAAAGAATTGAGTTAACAGATCTAAAAGTATCTGATTATAAATTAAAATTGAAGCTGACTCACAAACTAGCATAGATTATCCTCTTTGTTAAGGTATAAAAAAAGTAACATGAAACTGTAAGCGCAAATTATTAGTAATATTTTGAACTTTGTTTAAAAGATAACAAATAAACTCTGAATAAGTGACACTAAAAGATAAAGGCTTGACAAAATGGACAAGTTTAGACTAACAGTTTGTAAGGTTAAATCCAGATGCAGTCATTTTAGTTCAATATTTGGATAGAGAATTTAATTACAAAATTTACAATTTTCAATATACAGTGTTGATAATAATTGAAATACCAGCATTGAAACAACAATCCCCATCAAACTGATCAAACAGAGGTACAAACAACAACCAGTAATTATAGCTGTTTTGCCACTCAATCCTAAGAGCAAAACATCTCATCACATCAACAGGTTTCATATGGAAAAGTACGAATCAAAACTGAATGACATTCGATACATGAACCTTTTTACTGTGAAAATGTAAATCTGAATTGAAACTTACCCATTGTTTGATAAATTCAGATAGCAATCACAGATGAGAAAGTGAATAATTTTTCCGACAGCAAAATCTTTTGTCAATCTAATCACAATCGGCCTTAAATGGAATGAGAATGAGACTCTAATTCATTTTGATTTAAAATCATTAACTGATCACAAACCCACAAGGTATTGAAAGGCTTGAAACAAGTTGAAGCTTTTTGTATTTATCACAATTTATTTATTAAAAAGTGAAAATGTTTTATTTATTGTTTACATTAGTGTCAATTTTCGGGTCCATTGAAGGTAAAAGATTAACAACAAAATAACTTGGAATTATTGATAAATTGATTATTTATGGTGTATTCAAAGGTTTAAGTCTCATGGATTTTATTATGGAAGTGCCACAAGAAAATGTGCTTTTCCGTGCAACATTAACTAACGCGGTAAGATGATATATTAATAGTTAATAAACAAAATTGATTTTACTTTTAATTTTATCCAGTTAACCCTTGAACAATGGCAAATAACTGAGCAACTTGCAGCCAAATCAAAAGTTCATGGTAAAATCTCATTAACATCTGCAAATTCCCCCAAAATTGACATTTTTTACGATAAAGATCACGAGGGCCATCGGATTATTATCGCTGGTAAGTTTGTACCGATGATGGCCTTTTGCCATGCCTTTTGCTTCCATCGCGTTAAAATGCACCATGTTTTTCATCCGTTCATTTATCAGTCTCATAATCAGAGTATTACTAGTTTTACACTCAAAACGCCTTTATTAAACAGTAGTCAATCTCGACAATAAAATTTCAGTAGTCAGCGATTGAATCAGTTGATATTAATAAAAGTAGAAGACGCCTCAATCTCGATAAATTGATTGCTGAATATGAACTAGTAATGTACCGTTTGAATTTGACTGAATAAATGGATGGGATAACCATGGTAAATTATGGTCATTAGTTCTATGCATGATTGAATTGACCAGAAATTAATTGATGAATTTTTAAGATATCCAATTTAATTTAAATGTTTTCTTCTTTAACCAGAAAATCGTTGCACAATATCTACTTTGGGTATCACCAGATGGAGTGGTGTGTTACCAGGAGTCTATGACGACTTGGTAGACATGATTTTAACGCTTGGTCCATCTTTAATTTATCGTTTTGATACATTTGCATTTAAATGGGTAATTTTGTTGATTCATGATAAGTTTTTAAGGTCACCAAGAAACTGTTTTTTTGAATTTACAGGAAGAAGAGTCGAGGGAGGAAATTAGAGGGATAGAAGTACAAAGCTTTTCAGCCACAATTGGACCCAATTTGAGAATAATTTTCTTCTTCAAAAGTAAGTACAAGCATTTCAAGTTTTGATTGTTTTAATTTTCGTGATTGGTTTCGATCAGAGTTCAAACTCTAGTGTAATAAATCGTAAATAGTCAATGATCTAGACTATCATTGAAAATTAGTTTTAAATTTTGAATATTTATATTTTTGTATCTAAATTTTCTAGCCGGGATTGACTTAGAATCTGGTTTACTTCAGCCAGTTCGTGTTGTTTTTGAAGATTCAAAAACTGGTTCGAAAGTAACCTCAAAAGTTATCCTTGACATTTATTCATTGACTTATACCGACACTAAACTTGATGAATTGGTTGAGGTAAGTGACGTGAATTTGTTCAATTTCTTGTCTAATAAATTGATGGATTATAATTACAGATAACTCCTGGTATTGGTTGCCAACTTTATTTTCAATCGAATCGGCCAGTTCCTAATTTAAAATCGTCTGGACATCAAATTTATGTATCCATAACTGAAACAACTTACGACTCAAACTCAAGTTTTCAAGGATCGCCAAAGGAGAATAAAATTGAAGTAATTTTCAACAATTAATATTGGTTTCACAGTCGATTAAAACATTTGTTTTCTTCAAAATAGGTTTATGTTGATACGGAGTTGGATGTTTTACGTGTTAATAACCATGTTTATGGTTCACCTCCAACTGAGACTTTATACGATTATGATCTCGGTATTGGTTACTATTTTGATAGTAAACTTGGCTCCTGTCAATCAACCCACCTTGACGTTAATACACCAGGAATAACTAGTACAGGATCATTTACTTTGAATGAAATTTTCTGGTTCCAATTAGTTGGTCGATATCTTGGAAATGTCTACATGGTAACTTGCAAACCAATAGAAAGCACCAAATTTGTAAAGCTAGTCTAATTAACATATATTTAACTTATTGTGTTCATTAACCAGCCCAATGAATGGCCATTCACTGTTGACTGTTGGGAATCAACTCAGTATAACCGAATGGTTTCTCAAACAAACATGGACAAAGTTGTCACAACTCATTATTTTGCGACTCCGGTGAGTATATTGTTTTCACAAACTAAATTATCTGATTAATTCAATGTTCAATTTGATGACTTTATATCACATAGGCTGACTCGCTTGGGATGAGGAGCCATGTAGATCATTCAATACCGATTGCTGCTGTAAAAAATTACTACAAAAAAGATGAGACGGTTAGATTTAATCTTTTTTTGTCAACTTTGGCTTATTAATCTAGTTTCCATCTATTATTTAGAATAAATTTGTTCTACTGATGTCAAAAAGAAGAGATTTCCATGACTTCAGAGTGAATATACCAGAGGAACAATATCAAGGCCTGTTTCAAATCAAAGATTGTATCAAAGATTGCAAAGATCGTAAAACTTTAGCCCTACGTATTAAGCCTAATGAAGGTAAAATCATTACTTTACATAATTGTTTGAATATTCATCAACTTTAATACTTTAATATCAACTATTAATTTACACTTTTGTTTTGCTCTAGGTGTAGATGGCCTGAAATATGCTGAAAGAAATGTTAACCAATTAAGAGAATCAATCAAAAAGCTTTTAACCAGTGAAATGAATTTATCGCCGTTGCGAATAGTAGATATTGATATTTTGTTTGGTGAGGATAATATTGTAACGGCCATGGTTGACATCAGTGATAAACCAAAGCTTGAAGGTATTTTTGTATTAGTACATTCATGTACAGCCTGAGCTACAGTCATGTATCTAATGATGGTATTCATTTCAGATTCATTTGAGAAAACCAACGCTAATCTTGATATAGATTTCTTGGTTCGGGAAAACTATCCTTTCAAGAGTGCAAATGCGGCAGAATGTTTGGAAATAGTATCATCTAATACTGAGATCAAGTAAGTAAATCATACTCATAATTGTATTTCATGAAGTTATTTTATTTAACATTTTTTCAGGGCTGTTGTTTACTGTGATAAATTACAGGCATGCATTGGAATCAAAGATATTTCCATTTTGAATAATGAAGTTCACAAGTCATCAACGGATTCATGTACCATCTTTCATATTCCCTTTAGCAATTTACTTCATTTAAAAAGACAGATTTCACCGAAACAAGTTTATGAAACATTATTGGACAAATATACTTATTTAAATATCGAATTGGCAGATCAAAATGGAACCGTTTCAACGCGATTTTCCTACAGTTTTCAAGAGATCAAGGATGTAACAATGGACACAATAGAAACAGCCAATAGACAATCATTTTCAATTGTTAAGGAAGGTGCAATGTTAAATAGACAAAATCCTAACAGTTTGGTTATTCCAGTTAAAGCTAACAGTTTTAGTGAATGTTATCGAGCCTGTGAAACTTCAGATCAACTTGATTGTGCTCTATTCTCATACTGTTACTCAAGCAGCTCTGCTGAGTGCTTAGTGGCAGCTGATTTGAATATAACCTCCGATGAAGCTTTAGTAATTACTGCTGATAAATATTGTACAGTTAATCGACGAAATTTGCTTTTTAATTACAAGAAAATATCTTCAAGGAAATTTGCAAATTTAAATGTTCTTGGACAGTTCAAGTCAAATGTTGAAGATTGTGCCAGTCAATGCTTTTCATCTGCTGATTGCCATTCATTTCAATATTGTAACAATCAGTTATGTTACTCTGTCAGTAGTCGAAATCAAATTAAGTCAAACGTTTCTACAGACTGTGATATCTATATTCGTAAGTATCTAATACCTTGTAGTATAATTTATTTTATTTATTATTTAATGTTATTTCATGTTTCCTGTAGCTTCAATTTCACACCAATTTAAATTGACTGGATCTCAATTGGTTGGAAAGGTTGCCCACACCGAGATAGATTTAACCTTAGATCAGTGTGCATCATTTTGTGCTCACTGGGACTCAATTGATGAGGGCTCATCCACACCAATTAAGTGTAAATCAATCAATTTTTGCTCGCACGGTGAAAAAAATGTGTGTCAACTCACTGGATACACCATTCAAGATGCAAATGCTCAATTAACTCAGACGAATGGTTGTTTAAATTATGAAAGAATAGAGTTGAACAATAACGGTAAACAGTCAAATGATAAAGCCTCATCAAATGGAGCTTCATCTATTGGTTTGATCTTCTTATTTCTAGTCATTGGATTGTCGTTTGGATTGGTTTCACCTTTTGTACTCAACAAGTTAAAACGCAAATATGGTTCAAATTCAGTACCTTTACAAAGGTTTCTTTAAATTTAAATTATTGATTAAACAATACCCTAGGCTTACACCTTTAAAATTGTCAATTGAATTTGATCTTTAATCAGACTGAGATTTAGGAAATTTAACAGATTTTTGCACACAATTATTGTGGGTCAGTCCGGCATACTTTTTTGTTTAAAAGCTGATTACAGGGGTTTTAATTCATTTCACCTAGTAATAAAGAGGTAGGAACATTCGTATGGCTATTCTTCGAGCTAAGCCAATGCATCTGGTTCGACTTAAGGCTGATGGAAGCTTCGGAAAACTACAAAACAAATTAATGTGCAGTAAATTCACACTTATTTTGACCGAAAAATTAGAACCATCTATTGGTATCCAAACTCTAGCGCTAAACAGTGTTAGGATAATTTAAATAAATTTACATGTAGTATTCTCATCTTACATTGGGAATATAACAGACGGCGCTGTTTTTTGGTCAAAATAAGTGCGAATTTACTGTAGTTGACAATTAACTTAATTCAAATCTTGGATTAGCTTTAATTAACAAGAGAAATATATAAATGGCATAACTGGCATTCGAGAATTCATTTTAGTTTGAGTCTTCTTTTTTCGAAATGTCTTAACAAACTAAACTTTGATGCAGTTATTGTTTCCCCAAATGATTCGGTTTTCGCTTGCAATATATTAATATCATCGATTCGAAACTTATCCCCAATGAGCAAGCAAAAAGTGTATTAAGCATGGTTGTGATGGAATGATGATTCTAAGCGCTATTAAACTCTCAAAGTTTTGTTTGTAGGAATTTTAACAAAAAAATAAATTGGACGAAAGTAAGTATCTTCGAAATCTGCAAATTGACCATTTTGACTTATCTGAAGCTAAACTTCTGGTGGTGTCAAAACGAATCGATCAAAGCTACATCGATAAATCTAGAAATCCATTTTAAAACTGTCTCACTGTCATGTTAAAATGCTAAGAATGGTAGGGAATGGCTATTAATATAAATATTGTTCTAATTTGCGTGGGTATAACAAACTGCAGCATGAATTTTACTGGTCATTAGATAATCAATTTCATGTTTTCTCTTTGTGTCTTTGAAGTTTCGCGGAACTAATTCAGTTTTCAACATGAGGTAACAAAGTAAAATTTCCTTTTTCTGAGTTTTGACTTTTTTTCAGTATCAATATTCCGGCAAAAATAGATGTTTTTAATATTTAAATCTCCAGCTAACACAACTGCATCCACTTGCTCTATTTTTTGTCCAGAAGAATCGGTTCCGCCAGTCTGTAACCGTATTGCTGCTGCGAAAGCAGAAGTCAGAAAATCATAAGTAATGTGCGTACTACTGCTGGTATTGTGACAATTGATCACTCCGATCCTTCTGCCTTTGAATTCAATAATGCTGATGAGGAGATCATGGCGACCAGGGTAAAATGTCGATAAGGATCCTCCACTGTGCGATCGAGTGAAACAGGTCAAAATATTTTTTATATGCGCATATCTCCAAAGAGATCGCCTTGTCTTCCTCGGAGAAGTCCTGGCAAAAGCGTCCATACGGTCTGCAAACCCTTGGTCAAGTTGACGGATCACATCTCTAGGGAGTTCCTGGGTACAAACTATACACCACAAGTTTGGATTTTTTTTCGCTAAGCTGTCTAGAGTTTGCCAAAGAAGATCTCGCTGTCGGTATAAATTGTGTGTATAAATCCACAAGAGCCATAGTCGAAAAATAGTCGGAAACACTTGATTAATAACAAATCTACAGGATACTTATAAAAGAGAATTTTGCGCTTTAAAGCTTTATTTCCATGGAAACGCAAATACATTGTCACTATGGAAATGCGCATCTACATGTATTTTCAAAAAATTATTGTTAACATTCATTGTCATTAGTTTTCAACCTTATTTTTCTGTTTTTTCTTTTTATTTGTTTTATTCAAGTGAAATGAAAACATCACAATCAAAAATTGTTAAATTCAAGCGACCCAAATTATATCGCTTCAAGAAGCCAGTGGTAAGTAAAAAACTAATTATCTGATTCTGAACACTAACTGATTCTATTTATTTAAGCTTATTTTCAGGCTTACAAAAGAAAGCGAAGTGGCAACTCTAAACGAAAATCGTATGGAAAAGCCAACTGCAGTAAATGTGACTGCTTCACACATCCTTACCCTGTGGTAAGTTACATTAGTACACAAAAGCAATAACATAATAACTACAATAACTATTGTTTATTTCTTTCTATTTATGAACTTTCCAGACAATCCGCGAAATTGAAATTATCAAGAAATGGCTTCCAGATCCAGAGTTTATTCAGTGGGCGAGGCCATTTTTTGCCGAAATAATGACCAAAATTCAATTTAAATACGAACTCCCGAAAAATCCGTGCTTCTATGACTCATGGCATTACCTGGAAGGAGTCTGTGACATGAAATCAAATTGAGCTTCTAATTCCAATTCCCAGTTATTTTATGTATAACTATAATATGTTATAATAAAACTCTATTGATTCATTAATGGCGCCATCTTTTTTAATTAACTTCGAAAAATCTACAAGAAGCAACAACGTTTTCTTGAACCACTGTGTTTTTTCGATAATTAAATTGTTTTGAATTACTTTTAATCTTTTATTTTATTTTTTATTTCAGCATTTGAAGTGTTCTGAACGCTATTGGGTCGATAATCTGGATCTCTTCATCAAAAGGACGTCAGACTTAGAAGCAAAGATTGCTTTAACCGGGTCCTCGACAGTATAACTTAAATTTTCAAAGTTTTCCCGCATCCATCGTAATTTACTTTCTTGCTCATCTAGCGCATCCGAGCGAATCATAAGCAAGACTTTTTTGGCTGTTGCTTCGGCCACTAATTCGATCTGATTCCACTGCAATTTATAAATTATTATCAACAGGGTGTTCAATATAAGTACTTCCAAACTGGTGGAGGTTAGATTAGGTAAAAAAGATAACATCACAATGAAAATTGCACGCGTAGTTTAAGCTCTACCAGTTTGAAAGTAATAAAGTACTTACATCACACGAAAACAGATTACTTACATAACGCACTTGTGATGATGGAATTGGTGTTGCACTACGGGGTTCATTAGTGTTTTATTCTTCCGAATCCTGCTATTGGAGTGCACCACAACATCAGCTAAATTTGTTATGCATAATTAAAAGCTTACCTGTGACTGTTGTACAGTTTGAGTTGTTACTTCTGTCTGACTTCTTTCAGTAGTTACTGAACTTCTCTCAGTAGTTAATGAACCACTCTCGGTCTATTATACAATAATAAAAAGAATACATTAAAAATGATACAAAAATTTACGATATAACAACTAACCTCAATATTAATCTGTAACATGATTCTCTGTTGAAAGCTGTAAAATGCAATTGTAATTGCAATTAAAATGGACTTTTGTTAAAAATGAATAACTAGTCTGTTCAGCAATAAGATGATGAAATACTAAATATGGATAAATCGATTAGACACGACTATGAACAATCGATTGAGTTTCGATATATTACATTTTGATCTTGAATTTAAATTTTGCATTTTAATACAAATAATATTATAAAATAAATTTTATAAATTTTATATTTTAAAATTTTATAAAATAATACAAATTACAATTTATCAGGTTCAATCTCTTTATTGCAGAGTGCTAGTTAATATATTAATAAAATGCTTAGCAGCAAAAGGTGTCAAAACAAATCGATCGATCGACACATCGATGGATCTAGAAATCAATTATAAAACTGTCTCACTGTCATGTTCAATTGCTAAGAATGGTAGGAAGTTGTGGCTATTAATATGCATATTTTTAACTATTCTTTAACTATTTAATTTCTCTAATTTGCATAGGTTTAACAAAAGCCAGCAAACTTTATTCTAAAAATCGCCAAGCTTTCGAAACACTTCGCATTACCATTCATCTGCGTCGTAGATCGTCACAATCAACATCTCTTTACGCACCCTTGTATCACCCCTTAACAGAAGACATTCTCGAAAGAGCCGTTGCAACTCTGAATGATCAAGATAACTTCTGTGTGTTAAGTTTTGTTGAAACTGAGATCACTCCAGAATTGAGATACATTATAAACACATGAGGCTATGTTGAAATTGGAAAGCATGGTCGCACAGAAGTATTTGCGACTGAAGTTTTAATTTTCGGATTGAGAGGATTGGATAGCAGATGGAAACAAATATGCTCATTTTATTTCTTACCTCGAGGCGGTTTCACCGCAAAAATCATTAAAACGATTGTAAAACAAGGAGAATTCAGCCGCCACAATCCAAGAAGGATTCCGTGTTGTTTCAAACGTTTGTGATGGACACTCGGTGAATCAAGTTCGCCAGATACTAGCTCGGTCGTTGCGTACATCGACCGATTCTCCTTCATTTGAATGTTACGATAGCCTTTCTTTGAGATATTCCTTACATTTTCAAATTGATAAGGAATAACTGGTTAACTAAACCATTGTCTCTGGGATTAGGAAAGCCTAAGGGAATCATAAGAAGTTTAACATTTAACTATTCCTCCGTCCTCAAATAAAAGCTTATCGTTAATAAATAGCAAATAATAAAAATTATCGTTAAATTTTCCGGAATGCCATCATTCGTCTCGACACCGATTGACCTCGCTTACAAGTTGTGAGCTAGACGAGGATAGAACACTTGTTTCCCAGGGTGGCTTGTCTAAAGATGAGCCAGAAGCATCACCAGGGAATACACCTTCGCAAATAGCACGGTGAAAATAGCAGATAAGTTGCCGAAGCATAATGTCAGGAAAGCCTACCGGTTGGCAAATTTATCATTAAATAAAAAATCTAAGCATCAAAATCCTCAAAATCAATTAAGATTGTAATGAAAGTAAAAAAAGAGTCTTTTTCTCGCGCCATTTTCTGACACCGCAAAAAAAATTTCGGTATAAAGTTGTATTGAATTGCTCTCTCTTCTTCCTTTACTCTTTGTTGCTAGCTCAAGCTCAAAAGAGATACTTTTTAATCTCTGATCAACAGAACCTGTTAATTTGAAATCAAGTTATCAATGGACTTTATTGTTTAAACATATCTTACGACAATGTTTTCTTGTTGAGAAGATCCAGGGTAAAGATTTATTATCGATGAGTAAAGATAAAGTAATTTGATTGCACTAAATGAATTAATCACTCACAAGTTTTACTATCGATTTATCTCATCCCTGAATCTCGATTGTAGTATCTTCTGAAGTAACATTAAATGACTTAACCAAGCATATCGCACAAAGTATCCAGGCCTCAAGTGCTTATTATATTTAATCTCAAAAATTTCATCTTAATTATAATCAAAAGCCTGGACCTAGGAATTGTTAGCAATCAATAAATTTCCCAGGTAAACTCTGATTAGTTCGTTGCAAAAACGGATTATCACTCAAAGGATTACCAAAAATAGCGAAGCATTGAATAAAAAGTTATCAATAAATGGCCTGATCAATCAACAAAAGCACTAAAATTTCGAGTTTATTTCACTTAATCTAGGGATAATCAAATCTCCAACAATTGTGAAGATCAAACAAATCTGCAATGAACCAACAATAAGCACATTAATGCAGAACCCGAAATTGAAATTAATAGCGAGTTACACAGTTTAATAATTGAAGATCCCTTGTGTAAGGCAATGCTTAATCAGCTTTAATTGCAATTAATCCAATCACTTTTGGGTAACTTGATGTTGTACGTGAAAAAAAGTGGAGTCATGTTGAGCCTCAATTATAATGCATATTCAAGTAAACCAACGATCTTGATTGTTAATAAAAAACAACAATTTAAATTGTAAAAGGTCCAAAAATGATGCTATTAATGATGATAAATTTGATTAGTTTCAATAACCTTAATAGCAACAATAACTTGTAATCATTAATTATCAGTCAACTTGTTCAATGACTTTCAATGTAAAAGTTTAATCCAATAATAGATTGCCAAAAATATAGTCTACATGCCATGGTTCAAACCAAATATTATCATATCATCATTCATTATTAATCAATGATCTAACAATTTTGAATATTCATCATGATGGTGCATTAATAACATCATCACTGTATTATCATAATGAAGTTTCATGAAGCAATATGTTGGTCAGTTGATCAAAAGGCAAAAAGTAAGGCTTAAACCATGAAAATAATTAGTTTACCTTTCAACCTATTGTAACCATAGTTATTGATGATAATACAAAACGGTTTAATGGTTTAGGTTAAAATACTTTTGCCTCACTTTTTACATGGTTAACAGTCTGAATAAACCTGAATACCAGGGTGAGGTTGAAATATTTTATTATCTTTTTCTTTCTCTCTTTAACCATAGTCTCTGTTGCATCTGAAATGAACCAATTTTCAGTTCATCTTGCACTTGCGACGCTTCAATTTATTTACTTAACTTGTATTTTCCTATTTACCAGAAAAACAATTTACCAATTTAATAGTCTTTCAGCCTTAAATAGCTCAATTAAATTTGTTTACACCCAAACAGTCTCAGTTGAACTATTTCAAACAGAAACAATATTTGAAGGAATATTGATGAACATCAATAGTTATTAGGTGTTGGTAAGGTTGTGATCAGCCAAATTTTCAGATATAAATGTCTATGAATATCCACCTTGAATATTTGTTAATATTATGGTTTGAATTGATAAACACAAAGAATCTATTTTTTACTATGAAAAGCTCTTGAGATTGAAAATAAAAGCAGACGAATTTAATGAAACATTTATTATGTGAAAGCAACATGCTAAGATTATTGTTATGGATTTATTTCTTTAAATAGATTCATATGCTGATTTTGATCACGCAAGTATATAATACTCGTGATAAACAGTGTGACAAGTGATAAAGTCATGAAAGCTTTCAACTTCCGAAGCCTAAGCAGAAAGGGACGAAATCATCTAACATGAAAAATTTTCTGGTCCATAACAGCAGAAAGATGATGAGAATAGTCAATCTCAAACAGTTTTTTTAACGGTCACTCTCAACTCAGCTTGTGATAATCAATACCATTTTAATCAATACCTTAAATTTCCTTCCGTTTTCAATTTCCCAAAGTTACCTAGCTTCAATGTCTTGAATTGCAGTCTAGTTTCGAGTAAACAAACTCGGAGTTGTTCATGGCATTTCTACTAGGATTTCAAATGACTTCATTGGAAAACATTTCCAGATTGTATTTCATTTTGGATCAATGTTGAGTTGAAATTTTCTCAAGTCATAAAAATCAATTAACTGATTGATGATATTTTAAAGGCATGTTTGCGGTGACCAAACTTCATTTTCATCAATGGTTTCTGATTTTTTGGGTTACACTGATCAAAGAGTCAGGCAAACACAAATTACAGAGATGATTGCTGAAGCTAGGATGTTAGATTCGGCATGCATCTTGAGATCGAACCTGTGACTCTTTTTCTGGGGGATTGACTGAGAAACAAGTTCATTTCAAGGACAAAAATCAATGATTTAGTAAACATTTTTTTCTGAAATTTGGTAGTTGGTTCACGCAACACCAGGTAGCATTGTTTTTTTCAGTTTAAACAATTTTACCGATTTTACAATCACAAGCTTTTCATTTCACTTTTCAGGGATTTAGTTAATGATGTTTGTCGATTTAATCGTGAAGAGGTAAAGCGAAAAATTAAAGACTAATTTCTCTATTCTAGGCTCTCTTTCTAGTCTTTTCCCATTATTATCGATCCCTTTGTTAGGCAGTCTCAACCTGGTAAATTTATCAAAAGATATCAATATGTATAGCGAGTCTTTTATGTTTCATGAGTTTAAGAGGAAACCAGGTTGTCTGATTTACTTACTCTTCTTTCTTTCCTAAACCCACCACCTTCATCTTTACCTAGCTGCTTCTGTAGCTTGCTTTTGTCTTCTCTCTCTCTCTTTTTCTCTTATAGTTTTATCATTTTTTTTATTCTTAACCTTATATTAAACCTTATTCAATATCATCATCAGTTCAACTTTGAAGGTTTCCCTTTCTTTGTCTCATTTTCATTCTTCCGCTTCTAAAGCTCACAAAGTGAAAGTTTACTCCATCTAATGCATCATTTTGCTTTTCATTCAAGTTCCTCTTACATCAAGTTTACCAGTTTACTTGAGGCTGTCCATTTTTTGGTATTATTTTGCAATTAATGTAACCACCAACACTCCGTGCTTCAACGTGTTTCATCTCTTGTTTTAAGCTGCTCATTTGGACAGGAAAACTATTACACTTGTATTTTATTGCTGTTGTTTGATATCGTAAAACATTTACAATTTAGTTCCTTCTAATGCTAGTTTTATTTTTTTCTCTTCTTTGCTTGTGATTATATTTGTACCTATTATGTGCTATTTTTAATCTCAACCACTGTGTTTTCCTTTCGTCATCTTCATCATTTATCTGGATGTCATCTTATCATCTTTTCTCTGTTTTTTACCTTCAAATCAATTCTGTTCTAGATTATTTACCTGATCCTGCAAGTGAATCAAAGTGAACTAAAAACATAAAGTGATATAAATATCAAAATACATGTTGTTACTCAACTGTTAAGAGGAGAAAATTGAGAAAACAGAAACATGACAACAAAACGATTTACATTGATGCCAATCATAACCCCAGTTAATTGTTGATTTCTAATTTTTTTTATCAAAAAAATATTTATCATTAACGTCGTCATCTTATTTGCCAATTGCCTATGAAAACTTCCTGTTGTGCAAAAAAATCAAGTTTAAGAGTCAATAAAAGTGATAGAACGAGCCATTTGTTCTTCAATCTGTAGAGTAATAATCAACATCACCTTTCAATGTTCATCTTTGCATCAGCTGTGTCAATTGCAATTTCAATCAGTTCGTGATAAATTAAACATCACTCAGGATTGATATTTGTTTCAATATTTACTCAACCAGCCACTTTGATAAAATTGTTTGATTCTAATTGTCGTGTCATAATATAAGATTGTCAATCTTCAAAACATTGCTTCTTCCAGTTACTTTTTTTACAACGACAAGAAATTAAAATGCCAATCTACAAAAGACGTGATACAGATGACACAGATGATCCCCTGATAACGCAAAAAACACGACGATTTTCCCTTGGATCAAAGATTAAAGCCATAAAAAATGCTAGACGAGGACAACGCTGTCGTAAAATATCACAATACTCAGAAAACTTCACTTCATGTGATACAAAATCACCCTTAACATTACACAAAAGATATGGAAACACCTTCAACTGTGTGGAAGAACGAATATCAACTTGCCATGGAAGCTTATTGGTAGCTCGACAAGGAGCCAAACCTGGCCCGAAAACTCCAGTCATACTAACTTATCACGATTTAGGACTCAATTACATTTCTAATTATGAAGGGTTCTTCTCTCTCAGTGAAAACTGTTCCCTTTTAGCATCATTCACTATCTACCATATCAACGCTCCTGGTCAAGAGTCACACAAACTTGACCCAGACTACAAGTTTCCCTCAATCGACATTTTAGCAAATCAGATAAAAGATGTTCTTGATTATTACAAGATTAGAACGTTTATTGGACTTGGAACCGGTGTTGGTGCCAACATTTTAACTCGTTTTGCATTAGCAAACCCAAAACCCGTTGAAGGATTAATTTTGATAAATGCAAATTGTTCCCAAGCTTCATGGAGAGATTGGTTTTGGGCTAAGAGAAATATCAAATCATTAATCAGTTCTTCCTCATCTTCACCTCCCTCATCCATGGATCTAAACTCGTCTTCAAATTATCTTCCAAATAATGTTACAGATTATCTACTTTGGCATCATTTTGGAACCAATCTCAGGCATCGTGATTCACCAAATCGAGACATTATTGACATTTATCGTTCCTATTTTAATGGAATCACCGTTCATCCCGCCAATCTGGGTCTATTTCTGGAATCATATTTCAAACGAAGTCCCATTCGACTCTCACGGAATCCTCATGCCTCCAAGACAAAACTATCCTGTCAAGTGCTTCTCGTCACAGGATCAGCTTCACCATATCTCGATTCAACAATAATCATGAATTCAAGACTTGACCCAAAATCAACGACATGGCTGAAAATTGATGGATCAGCCATGGTGCTTGAGGAGAAGCCACACAAAGTATCTCAAGCCTTGCATCTTTTCCTTCAAGGGTTAGGCTATCCTTTGAAAGAGATGGTTCTTAAACGCGCTCGACTTTCAGGTTTAAGCTTACCAAGTATAACCATGGGCACTTCATTGCTATCAATTCCTTCCATACCATCAGTACCATCAACACCAGTTTCACCCATTAGTGCTCAACAAGTGTTTTTTGCTTGAAAATATGACATATTGCTATTGGTAACTCCAATGACACGATCAATATGATTATGATACATACTAGCCCTTTATTTTACACTCACGACGATATCAAAAAACATGCCAAAGCATAAACTTTCCTTTTTTTCCCATGTAGATCAATTTCAATCGCTTTATTGACTTGATTTCAAAATTTATTGTCAATCTTTTACTCTTATTGTAATCACTTTTGCAAATCATATGCTTAATTCAACTTATTGCTGGACAAGAGTATTTTTACATCAACCTTCTTCCTAACATCCATTAATAACAATAGCCAACAACTGCAAATAGTTTCAAGCCATTTCAATTGTAATGCAAGAACAAGAAAATTAATACAAATTGTCTTTTTATTGCGCCTAATCTAATCTTGCTATTTCGCAGTGCCAAGAGACGCGATTAAACTCAATCAACTTATCATGAAACAAGTGCCTCTTATTTAATTTCTTCATCTCTACAACCATTGAAAACAATTACTTTAATCATCCCGAATAGTTCAAAGGTTTTTATCTGAAATCATCTGAACCAATAGTCTTTTATTCATTAGATGATGAAATGGAAATTACAGAGTTTGTCGATTAGATTCTTGTTGTGTCAAAGAATTCATTTTCGAAAGTTATAGATTCTTCTTGTTCGGACCGGTTTCTCTTGAAAATTTTAAGTATGAAAGGAGTAATGACTCCAATTAAAAGACCAAGAAGCACAAAAACGCTAATAATCCCGATGCTTGAAACATCAGATTTGTCTGTTTGTTTTTCCAATGTCAAGGATTGTTTGTCTAATTCATTGTGAAATTCATAATTAGAGCAATAATCTGATGTTTTTGCAGAAATACGTTGACCATCGGATGAAATTGAATAGCTTGTTATCTGACAAATGCTCTCGGCTTCGCTTTTTGGACAGTAATTAAATGACTTGCAATCAACCCGATCTTCAGAGTTAACAGATTTCCAATCAGAGCAAATAGCTGCACATTGCTCCAAAGTTAAATCAACCTCGCTATGAATAACATCAGGAATCATTAAATGAGCATTTTTAACATAATTTTGAATCTTTTTTGCTAGAGAAATAAAATGAAAGAAAAATTGGATTAAAAAACTAATTGTTAACAGTCAAGAACTAACTTACGAATGTAAATATCACAGTCTTTGATTGGAACAAGATTTTGACGATTAAAATGATTACCAAACGAGCAATAACGATGATCACAAACTTGGAAAGCATGACAATCATCTAAGTCTGAACAAGCTCGAGCACATTCTTCGACTGAACGTGTTGTTAACGGATTTTTATTTGGCTTGATGAATTTAAAAGATGAAATCTTGTGGTAATCAAGGAGACGATTTTTCGTATAGACATTACAAGCAGAGTGATCGACTGTCAAATTTTTCGATGCATCATAAAGCTCGTTTGAAATTAGGCATTCATTTTGATCTCCAACTTCACAGAATGAAAAGGTTTCGCAAGGTGATTTGTCAGAGTTAGAGCAAGAACGATAACAGTCTCCTAAATTTCCAACACCAACCACCAACTGACCATCTTTCAATTTGGCTCCATCCATGACATCAGAAAATAGCAACCGTTCAGCTTCAGTATCAATTGAAGGTGAATCTTGGTAAGCGTTAACAATTGAATAAAGATGTTGAGTTGGTTTTGTGCAATTTAAACAATCAAGGCTAAATCGAATGCCAATTATATCCAAATAATGGGAAACCAAATTTCTCAGAGAGACTTCAGAAACTAGTTTTTTCAATGTACTAAACGGATTGTAAAACACTGAACAATATGTCCCTGATTGGCTTTCCTTGGGCATTGTTTGTTCACTTCTCACTACAATGCACAAATTTTTCAAGTCACCACAGCTGATTACATGGCTGGTCAATCAAATAGAAAGCAAAAAATTAGGTTAATCTAACAGATTTCAGAATCACAATTTAGGTAACTTACGTGACATCGTTTTGTGAAGCTGCGGCTTCCAAACATTCCTGTTGGCCTTTGATAGATACTTTATCGTAATCATTGAACGAGTTTACATCAAATTTAATTTCAGATCGTGCCAATGAATCTATAGATTGAGTTGAAATTAAAGTAATATGTTTAAAAATGATTAAAAAGAGTTGAAAAAGAGGGTTGACTTGAAAAGCTCACCGATTAGATATGGAGCTTCGACGATTTCAATATGAGCCAAAATGTAAACCTTTTCAAACTCGAAATCGATTGAAGTTATCCTTAAATATGATATGTTCAGATTGTCAGCAATTGTCCTTTTAATGGTCTCAAGCAATTGATTTATATTTACAGCAGCATAATCAATACTCTCGGAAAAATTCAAATCTGAAAGGAGGAATCAACCAACGAGATTATTAGAAAAAATAGAAATACCAAAAATTTATCATTACCTATGCTTGATATTTGCAGAGTTATATACATTTTCTCATAAGGATCATCATAGCATCCATTGAGTTGAAATTTATCATGATATTCAGCCTCGCCAAATGTTTTTGTTGTAAAATCAAAAAAATCACGTTTTCGTGACTCAATTAGAACATATTTATCCTAAATTGTTGAAACAGTAAACAGAAAATGAGTAATTAATGGCACTGAAATTGGCTGTTTAATGGGTTGGTTATCAACTTACCAAAATGATTTTGTAAAATCGTTTTTCGGCAGCTATCGGGAGATAATCTGATTTGTATAATGAATTGCCAGAAATATCAGTCTGCAAATCAAATGGAAATTAAACGCTGATAATCAAATTTATTTATTAGCTTGTTTATTTACTTGTTTTGCCAGCAGCTGAGTTGTAACCACTTTGTCGTAAAAATTTTCGCCCACAAATTTGTTCAACTCCATTGATTCCCAAACATCAACTAATTCTGATCGATGTTCCTATTGGTGAGATAAAAGATATTGGTAAAACTAGATCGGAATATGATTGAAAACAAAGCATCTCGTAACTCAACGCGTCAAAGAGCTTGATTACAGACTGAAACTCGAGTTGTCTTACATATTTAGTTTTCCCGACGTATTTGTATTGACCCTCCATCCACATGATTTGATCAACCGTAAACAAATCATCTACTTTCACAATTGGGCTGGTTTTGCATTTACCATCGCTTTCCAATTCATATTTGATACCAAGGTTGTGATCTATCATTGATTCTTTTAAAACGTCTTGGTCAAAAGATGTAACTCTCGTTATGCCATTCTTTGTGTCAATGTAATACTGAAATAGACAATGAAAAACAATCAGCAAAGCTTTGAATATATGAACCAGGACTAATAAAAGGTTACATTACCCCATTATGATGCCATTTTTGGTTGCCTGATTTGGTAACGATTTCAGTTATTTTAACATGGAATTGTTCATCTTTCAAACGAGGAAACATCTGGTTCTTTTCAAGATAACTCGGACATCCAATACCAAGAGTTGGCTATCAAATGAGAAAAAAAAATGAAAGTTAAACTGAGGACGAATATGAAATTCACGCTCTTGATACTTACTGTGGTTAATCCTGCATTATCAACCTCTTTTTCAGAATAAATATCAAAAAAGAGAGTTTCTTTCAAGATACTTTGGGATTCGTTAAAGGAATCAGCTACCCAACCATCAAGCTTCAATCTTTTGGGCTTTTCAATTCCTTCCCAGATATCCTCGCCAGCTTAAGGTAAAAAAGAAAAGGCTAATTAGAAAAATATTTTAATCTCAATTGCTGAATCACTAGTTTACCTGGAAATGTAAAGGATATCCTAAGATTAAGGTCGACTAAAATAGCAACGCTTTGCATGGTTTCTCCTCTTATTTGGACAGGATCTTCCGCTAGCTGTTAATGATTTTTCCATTTCCAAATCCAAATTGTAAATAAACATAAAGCTGAAGTAATGATTGATTAATGATTACAATGCACTAGATACAACTTACAACTTTTCCCGTCTTTTCCTGCAAACGATGATACAAAGAAGGGCCCATTAATAGTGCCATATTAAGTAACGGTTTGTGTATAGTTGGCAACATTGAATTCCAACCATGGTGATTATATCTCATTTCAAAGCATGCATTATCTGTAAAACAAATTAAACTGGGAAATAAAATGTTGAACATAAATTGTATCACTATATTACATTATAAGAAATCCTTTGAATATTTAAGTACTTTGTATTTGATATTACACTTAATGAAGAAACTCTGCAAATGCAGCAAAAATTCATGTAAACAAACATTCTAGGAAGCACTTTTGAACTCTAACAATTGATAAATACAAAATTGAAAGAAAATTTTCACCAATTATTCAATTAGAAACACAAAAAAAGATTAATTACAATTATTATACAATCATTATATCGGAATAAACATGTTACAAAACAGTCTAACATGTTAGTCCAATGATACAGCTGATATAAGTCTGGTGCGTTACTTAACGGTTAAAGCTACTTTTAGAAGCCTTTCACTAGTCAACAACCAATTTTGTTTCATTAATGACAACACTTTAATGTTTTACTAATTACTTACCATGCATTACCAGTTTAAATTCATCGTCATTCTCATGATAAAATACTTGTATCCTATTATTTCCTTGGGTTATCTCAATTTTACCATGAATTTTGGGTTCAACGTTTAGAGTCTCTTTTATAATCCAATTTTCTTGTGTTAACTGTAACCAATAAGTGGGAAACAAGTCCATTAAAGAAGTAAAGGTTTTTTTCACTGAATTACCTGATCAGTTAAGCTTGCAAGAATTGTAACATTTCCTTTTGGTGAATTGAATGGACTATCGAGAAGATTACCTTTTGAAATTGGTACACAATAGGAAAGCAATGAGATCAAGTTTGAACAAAACAAAATACAATTTACCTTGGCTTGATTTAATAAATAAAAAGATCAACACTATTGGTGGCAACATTTTAATTTTTACACAAAAATGAAACTCTTTACAATACGGAAACTAAAAAAGTCAAATAATAGAGATTTGATGATTTTAGATGACCAGAAAAGTGAATCATTTGCAGTTATGATTTACAATGAAAATCAATTCCAGAGTCTTATTTAATCATAAATCGGCATTTTTTGCCTAAATCATTCAATCGATACAAAAAATAAGATAGAAGCCCCTTTTAGGTCCTTTGTAAAAATAACGCCTTATTAGAAGCTACTGTTTCAGTTGAAATTATCAATTGATTACATTTTAATGTTAAACCATTTTCATAATCTGATGGATGAAGATTTGAACAATTACAGCTCATCCGATTACTAGTCAGTAATATAGTCAATAGAAGTTAAAAATAGATTCATTTAGTTGATTAGACATTGAATGATTCTTAGGAATAAATTTAAGGATGAACTAAACATGAACTGTTGAATGGTTTTAATGGTTAATTCAGGTTTTCTGGATTTATTTCCTATTTTGTGTTACAATTTAGGTTATCCATTCATCATTAAATCAAGAGATAAGTGTAAATGATGTAATTGAGTAAATTATACGGTAAATTGGTTGAGATGTTGTAAGCAAATATGATCAGTCTTACAGGATAAGATGATTTCATTATTTCCCTGTTGATAAACACTGAGCTTTCTTGGTTCTCTTCAGTTCTCAGTTTACCTTAACTTGACGACATAATTTAATAATGTATGACTTGGTGATCAACTCACAAGTGTTAACAATACAGCAAAAAAGCAATTACAATGCAAAAAAGCTAAAGTGTTTTGCCAGCCTGCAAATTTACGATTTCCAGCTCATTTCCAAAGTAAAACCGTTAATAGTGTAAATATAAAGTCATTTGCTTATTGTGCTTCATCCAGTGATCAACATTTGATTGAAAGTTAATCATCAAAGATGAATCCAATTACTGTTAACAGTTTACTTTTGTTGACAATTTTGGCGTCAAATCTAAATACAATTGAAGGTGATTATAATTCAATTATAAAAAATTTGATATGATTTGTCTAACCTCTTTGACATTTTTCAACGCAAACTTGATTGTTTTAAACAAATCTCGAGTTACAATTTTTCATTGTTTTAACTTGAACCGCAAGTTGTAATTACAGATATTGATGTTAAATTATTTCAATTAGTCATTATTTTTCAGTTTAATTGACAAAAGTGTTTTTAATATCTTTATCGTTTAGTGTTTTGTTTTGTTTTTGCAAAACAGCTTATTAACATAAACTTTCATTATCTGGATTCGGGTTCAATTACTGTTATTCCCATAAATTGGGTTTTGAGTTAAATTATCATTTGATGACTGGCTAATCAATTTTTAATCGTTTTTTTTCAATCAGGTAAACCGTTTGTCTTGGCAGTTCCTTTGATCACAACAGAACAGATAAAAGCTTTCTTCGCATCTTTAACAAGTGGAACCAAAGATTCAACTGTTTATCCGCCAAGTGTCACTCGTATAGTTGATTCTTGTCATAAAGCGTTTACACTCGAAGGTGACGTGATTGAGCCTAAACTGGACTTTCAGCAATATCCTATGGATTTGTCATCGCCTTATTTCCTTTATTCGAGTGATAATCAAACGGACGTCTTTTCACATATTTTTAGCCGGATAAAGAATGGCACTTCTCCTTGTCCAGTAGATCCAACAGTCTGTGACCTTTTGGTTCATATTGTTTCAAAAGATGTGCCAATGAGTTATGTAGTTAGTAATCTTGTTGACAACTATTGGGAATCCTGTATGACTTTAACTAACAGCTTAAACAGTGGAACCAGTAATGATAATGAAAGCAACAATTTACACCCTTCAACAGAAAGGAATGACCAAGTACAAATTGTCGAGTGATTGTTTTCTCGCTATCTAATCCAATCCAATTTTTGTATCGTTTGTTTACAGATAGATAAATTGAATTAAAATAATAATTTACACCGTTTCAAGTTTGATTACCATTTGTTTTTTACTTAAATATAACATATATATTTAGATGAAAAAAAGTCATTTTAATGATAATCTGTTTTTCGTTTTGTTTTTGTTTGCAGCTTGTGTGTTATGATTAATTCATATTAAACAATCAGTTGATATTAACTAATTTGTAGTGGCTGTTGAATCCCAATATCTCTGAGGTCTCCGTAATAGCAAATTGTACAGACGCGGACTGGCTTTGGAAACCCATAGTGAGCTAAGGGAACAAAATAATTACAGCAACTGTTGCAGTAAATGTTACCACAATTGCGACAATGGTGTCGACGGCGTATTAAGGTAAATTGAGAGTCACATAAAATACAAGCGGAGACCATTTCATCAGGTACCCATATGGGTGGAAGTAGACGGCGAGTTGTTTCCCGTTGATTTGTGTTATTTAGAATGTTGGAAGTTTCGGCAGAGGTTGATGATGGATGAATTTGATTATGGGTTGACTGTTGATGATGATGATTATTATTGGTATTTCCAGATTCACTGGCACCACAGACTCCACCAGCGCTATTAAACTGATTAACTGAATTGCTATTAACATATGAGCTTCCCGGAAAGGTTATATTGGCTGCCTCTGAGGGTGAAGTTGCGTTGGACGATGATGCCGATGTAGCATCTTCAGAATCCTCTTGAGCTTCTAAAGCTTCTTCAACGCTACCCAAGTCCTCATCATTGTCATCTGAACTGGAACTGTGAAGATTATATACATTTTGAAGGATGGTTCGAAGTTCGCTGGCATAGTTTGTTTGTAATTGATCTGCAATGCCTATTATTGGAAGATAGAGAATAAAAATTTGTTAAAAGACTATTATTAAAGGTGAAGGGTTAAAAGTAAAACTATAATTACCAGCAACAGATACAAAGAGATTATGAAGTAGCTCTTTGCTACCAGGAGAAACATATTTGGAATGTTTGGCACCGATCGCCAATGCAATCTCGAATGAGTCAACAGTTGAGTTAGTTGTAGTTGTAGCATTAGATGCAAGGCTATCATTATCGTCACATAATTGTCGATCGTTAGCGGAATAATTTCCACACTCTTTGGAGTCCGGTTTGGTCAAAATGTACATCAATGATATTGATGAGAAACACTTTTTCAACGGCCTTTCTACAAATGAATCTTTTCTACTGTTTTCATAATTATCTTCTCCGTCATCCTCTTCATCATCCTCTCCATTACCAGCCAGCCAACCAGATGCTTGGTCAACAATTCCTGGATCAGAGTAGCGACGTTGTGATAAATGGTCACCAATTAAGTTTACACCTTTTAACCATGAAAATGAGTCCATAGCCGATAATTCACTATCTTTGTTAATCAAAATTTTCTCAAGTATTTCTATCTCAACAGGTCTTAGGAATTGAAGAAGCGAATGAATACGATGAAGTCTCCTGCAATAATGAAAGAAAACAAGAATTACATTAAATATTGAAAAATATAACTTGAAAATGGTGAAATGGTGAATTTTAAGAGTAAAATGTCGGTAAAATGGAAAACACTATCACAATCTTATCTGACAGCAATTCATGAGTTAAGTGCATCAATTTGAAATGAGGTTAAAAAGTATAATATAAATAATGAGTGAAAATCTGAATTAAGAAATCAGATCAAAAAAATTAACAGAAAGAAGTAAAGTTAATGCAAAATAACAATTGAGGAAACTGGTTTAAGATAATAATTCTGATTGACTTAAGTGTCAACAACAATTTAGCCAAATCAAACCATTTTTTTCTGTGCTTATCGTAACAAACAGTGGATCGAAATTGATTTCAAAGCTGAACGGAGGATAGAGAAGAAAACGTGATTCGTTTGTTTACTGAACATTTAAAGGATTGTAGACAAGCTTTGGACACGATAATTCTCGTGATTTATAATACCAATCATGTTTTTAAGATGATTATCCTTTAGTGTTTGGATAAATTGTCAAAGAAAAATATTGAACCTGGATCAATCATAAAAGGCTTAAAATGTTGCAAAAGGTAATGATACAAAATTACTAGCTCTATCATCGTTTTGTTTATGAAACAAGCTTACCAAAAATTATATCTGAGCTTCATTAATATCATCAGGATAAGCCATATGTGAAAATAGGATCAAATTTCAGTTTGTATTGTAATACAATGTTGTTTTCATTGAGTCAATAGCTTAAAATGAGTCTGTATTTATGCTATTTTCAATGAAGACTAAATAATTCAAAGAAAAAAATCAATTAATAATGGATCGAAAATACTGGATTTAGTCCACAGTTGTGATTAAGTACAATCAATAATGAGCTTGGAAGAGTCTTCAGTTTAATTTCAAGTTGTTAGTTTGAATGCACATCAAGTGCTTTAAAAATCAAAAGCCTGTGAATAGCCTTGATTTCAATATTGACGCATATAAACAATGACAAACAGCAATTAATGAATCATTCTAACATGATCAAGATGTTTTTATCTAAAACATCACTTTTCTAGTAGAGTTCAGGCTCCATGAAGAAATGTTTCAGCTTGCAATTGCCGCACAATTGAGTAAATTTTGTAAACTGTTGCGAAAATGGCTAGCAAGTTTAAAGAGTTGATCGTCAAGTAAATTGCAACTAAAATGAAACAATAATGTGCTGAGAACAGAACAATTGATGAGAAATTGAAAAGGCACGAAAAAAGCTCAACTGAAAGGGAACAATGAGAAAATTATCAGATAAAATGATTGGACTATTATATTGCCTTTACTTGTATGTGAAAAAACATGTCAATTTGCAATTGTAAAAAAAGATTGACATTATTTTTTGAGGGTTAATCTGATGAATAGAGAATAATTTTGAGAGGTTCTTAGTAAACGATGAGACTTTAGTATTTTCCGTCAAATCTGTTATCCCCTCATGTCTATGATAAGTTTTATGGAGAAGCAAAAAAGTAACTGTTAAAGTAATAAGTCAATAAACGTCAACAAGTTGACTTTAGGTAAATTGGATTACCTTCAACCAATGACAGTATTAAGTTTTTTGTGTGTGTCTCTCCTTTTTTATTACCTTAGTTTCACTATGAAGCCAAATTTATATCATGACGTAGATTGATATTGATTATTGGTGAATGTAAAGGATTGAAATTAATTATAGTAAATATACACGAATTCATCGAAAGAATAACAAATGGAAACTATAGTTATTGAAGTCAATTTCCGATTAAGATTAAAGTTACAGGGGTTAACATGATTTGGAAGCAATAACACAACTGTTAACTCTTTTATGATAATGACGTTAATCGAGGGTAAAAAGAGAGTTGAAAAAGCTTTGACAAGAGCTACAAAGGTAGAACTATTAATTGATTGTAGACGCAAGAAAATTTGTAATTAAATCAATATGAAGAATGTAAAATCGGAAACAAGTGATCATTATAAAGAAGAGGTCATCAAACTGAAAAAATGGTGATCTTGTTCTCAAGAAATTGTACTAATAGAGGTGAAAATAGATGAGATGATACAAAGAAGTAACAGTAGTTTTAACCATTTTTGTTCATTCAAGTTCAAGAATTGTAAACATGAGAAATGTTTACATAAGTTGATATGAATAGAGAAAGGAAAATGTTCTGTTAAATGTTCGGATCAAAGGAATTGAGTTAGGGTAATGATGATGAGATGGAGGAGGAAGACAGTTGAATAAGGAAAAGATGTGAAGCAAGTTGAGCACATTGACTGAGTGTCATGATCTTCAATTTTGTTGTATTAGACGATGTCTACTTGTCTTCCATGTAAATCCTGATTCCTGATTTAAAGGTATATACACATCTAAAAATAAATATGTACATTGATTGTGACAAAAGAGAGAAGGAAGGAAATTATATCATATTTCATGATAGGGTGAGTCTGAGAAACCAGAATGTCTAACATGTTGATGTTGTTAGAGGTTAATCAACTTGAAAATAATGTAAACGTGAAAGTTAAGGTAACGCTAGATACATGGAAATATTGAAATTGTTGACTTTTTATTATTTGATCTACTGTAGACGTAATAACGGGAAGATTGATTGTAATGATGATTAATCTTTTGTTTTGTTTTCAACTGAAAAAAAACAGTAAACATTTGAAATAAATATTGTAACCAGTAATGATAATTTTTAACAATGCTCAAAATGAAATTCAATAGCAATTAATCTAGTTCATCGCCATTCAGTGAATCAATCATGATTAAACCATGTAAACCGATTTTCAGTTTGGCTGAAACAAAGCTCAAATTGAATGACTATTACATTGATAATATCATGATTTTTGATGTCCAAATTGATTAGAGATCCGAATTTCCTGCTAATCATTGGAAATTCATAACAATCAGATGTCTAGATAAGTTTAACATTAACACGAACAAGAACAAGTATACTTATGAAAATTACACTCGTGAACAAAACTGGTATCAACAGTTGTTGACATTGAGTTAGCAAAGCATATGACAAAGGACGGAAAGATAATATGAATTGCTTAAATTAATGATATGATAAGATTTAAAAAATTTCTGTTTCGATGAAAGTTAAATTGTAGCAAAATGCTTGAAAAAGACCAACAAAAGTGTATATAAAACACTCATAAAGCATATCTTTTCTTTCATTTGAATAGCTTGAAATGAAGTTCATCCATATCCTTTAAGTAAAAAGGGCAAAACCAAGTTGCTACAGAAACAAGGTAACATTGGAACGGAAATAAATTTCAACTGTTTTTGAGCTGATCATTTAACCTTTAATATTGAAAGTTTATTTCAAAAGGTACATAAAACCATCGTAATTACCAATCTCTGAAGAATGAAAATCAAAAATGATTCAAAATTTCAGCATTGAATGGCAATAATTGATTAATGAAAAGAAGAAAAAAATCTTTCTTTTCCAATGCGTCCCATTTTATATTGCAGGATAGACTAGCATTGCATGACATTTTGCTAAATCTATGATTCCTCGAATAGAGTATGAAAAAATATCGTTATTATCTTTTTCATTTTTCAAGAAATTCATGATTGCCTGGAGAATCAACAAAACTAAATTTGATAATATTTGATCCCATATGTTAGAAAGGTGAACATGAAAAATAGCTACAAGAAGCTGAAATAAGCGTCTTTCCAAAATCTGTAAAAATATCGCTAATTTTCTGTAACTCAGTCAGTGCCTAGCAAAGGTGGAACAAGTATTTGTAAAAGACTCTGTTTTCAGTGAATTTTCTAGTCATTCAGCTGTGGTTTGAATAATGCGGGTAGACCTTGAGCATTTATTCAAAACTCGTCCAGTGATTTGAACAATTACTGGAAAAAGCTTAACATATAAATATTTGTGGGCCGTATCCTGAAAAGATTTAGTTTGTTGAACGAATATTTGATCAGAGTTTCAATGAAAAATATATTTTGCTGTAATTCAATGTGTTTCAAAAGTCACACATTTAGATGAGTTTTGACTTCTAATGAATTGAGATCTAAAAAAGTCTCAAGATGTTTTTTTCAGGATCTAACCGGGAATTATAAAATATATTTTTATTCTCAGGAACTTTTGCATGATATTCATTGGAATAAAGATCAACTATAATTGAAGATGAAGATGTTCCAGGTAGAGTCAACATACAAACAAATACATGAAAAATTCAAGTCCAACTATAATTAGAGTGGATAGAGGTTGGATAAACAACAGCAAAACTACTACTTTCTGACGTAAATTGAGTCCCATAATGAACTGAATAACAGTGAAAAGTTTTAAATAATGTTGAATGTTGCCGTGCAAAGTGTAGGCGTTCAACGCCCTTCTTGATCTTCTTTCACTCGCCATCTTAAAGTTGAATACAATATTATCTCTTGAAAGGAGAGGGTTTACAGAAGGAATAGTAATAACCTTCTCTTCCGTTAACCAATCATAATTAAAAGGTAGGAGGAAATGGTTGAAAGCATGGTTAAACTTGATACAATCGTCCCTGAGAAACCAGCACGCATTAAACCTGACGATTCTTTATTTCAAGAAATAGTTCTTTCCAAATAGTCAATTTTAAGGATATGCATTGATCTAAAATTCAACTAACTGGTGGTGTTGAATCACCGTGAAAGTTGAAAAGGTTTTCAACAGTAAAAAAACTCCTGCTTCTTGTAGCATTGCTGTTGTTGTGATTAAATTATTTCAGTTTTTTTGATGGGATGGTACGAAAAACCATGCTTTCCTTGTTCGATTGAAAAGCTATTTTGAAACAAGCTTGGAAAATAATAGAGTAATAGTAGTGTAAAAAATATTGGAGTAAATAGATAAAGAAATATATATTTATATATATTTGATGAAATACAGTAACATGAAAAAATCATGAATGGATAAGAGGGGAGGATGGAGAAGAAAGAATGATAAACAAGAGATTGTTTCACCTTTTGTTTTACCTTTCTTTCAACTCTTTAACTCCCCTTTAAACCTGAGGCAATCTTAGAACAATTAACTACCACTCACAAATTTTGTTCAATAACGATCAACAATAGTTTTTTTGGCTTCTTTCAGACAACTTTTCATTCAATTGATCGAAAAATTGATTTACTCTATAATGTTGTTTAACAGTTTTTTTAACGGTTGAGACAGCAAATTTGAAAGAGAAAGAGAAAGAAGAGAAAAAAATTGAATTTCGGGATTTCCCTGTAAAACACGATTGTAATTAAATTTTGATTGCACTTAGAGAATGAAGATACTCATTTGATGTGGATATTGGATGAAATGAGAAAAATTAGAAGAAAAAAAAAGAATAAAAATCGGAAATTGATTTTCTTTTCAACTCAACTTTCTTATATTTTTCTGGCTAAATTGAACTTCACAATAACAAAGTGAAAGTTAAAGGGTAAGACTGACATACTAATCATGATTACGGCCAATTAACCGGGTAAAGATTAACACTTTTGTTATTGTATCTTGACACCGACAAGCAAGTTACTGAGAAAAATCTATTTAAACTTACGAATGAAAAGGCTTAAAAACAGAAGATAACTGGCTTTTGTCTCTTTTAAGAATTGGACTTTCCTGGCCACAGCGTACGAGACCGTGTATTATAGCCAGTCTAGGTATGTTGATAATCACAGTTGGTTCACATTCATCGAATTCATCTTGAGATATCAATCCTCTTTTAAGGGCACTTTGTACACTTTCACTGAACAGCACCATAAGATCCTGTTGTTGTTCAATCTCCTTAACAGTTTTTATGGGTAACATGGCCTTTACATATTCATATTCAAAATTGGCAAATATCCTGTCAAATTGCTGCAATTTAAACATTAGATCCAAACCAATTCGATCCTTGTAAATCATAAAACTATGGTTAACATGAGTAAGAGAAAAAAAGGAAAACGGTTAGGTTAAGATAGTAAAAGACAAAGAAGTATAAAGATAATAAAAATGAGGAATTATGTTGCTGGTAATAAGTGAATTAAACAATGCATGAATCAACAAAAAATAACAATTATCCACAACAAATTGACAGAATGAGTGAAGAGATTCGTGAAGATGGGCAAATAAAAGAGAAATTACTTGTCATCAATATCTGCACAGCAATGTCTAAGCTCTAATCGAAGTTGGTCAAGTTTTACAGTCAATGTTTTAGCGATTGGTCGAAGGGCATCTGATTCTGACTCATGGTTCATGATGTTGGACCCAGCGGCTAAGCATTCAGCACCAAACCATATTTGCCCATTCAGTGATTCACCATTTTCATTTCCAGCTAACAAATCATCTGGAAATTTTATACGATAGTCCCTCGATGTTCTTTCACAGTTCCATTCGTCCATGAGACGAAATAATATGGTTATGAGTTTATCCTGTGCTGACCTGTTTACCATGCCAGAAAAAAAAGTAAAAAAAAGTAAATTAGAATAGCGTAAGCTTATTCATCCAATTTAATGAGAAAAGGAAAAAAAATCAAGAAAGGTGGGTGAAGAAGACAATAAATTTGATGTCAGGGTAAGTAGAAGCAAGTGGTCAAATAGAGGGAGGTGATGAGAACGAAGGATGAATTATAATGAAAACAACAAACGATGGATGTAAGATAAACAGAAGCATGCATAAAGAGCCAGTCAAATAGCATGAACATGATTAAACTGACCTCAATTGATTTACTAGATTAGTACATCGAACAGGATCACGTCGACCATCAAATGAATCTAATTCAGAGGCAACCATATTCAACTCTTCATCAGCATAATAAAATTGAAGCAATGTGTCTTGTCGATGAAGAAAATCTTGATTGTTTCCATTGGCCTGATTAAAACTGTTACCAAATAGTCGGCTAAAGTTACCATTACGTTGATTATTTTCACTGTTTAGAACAGCTTGTTGAGCAAACATTTTAGCAGCGAACCATTTACGCAGAGAGTACATCTTGCAGTGGTGTATGCCTTACAAAATTAAGATAAGAAAAATTGTGCTCAGAAAGTGAGCTTAAGAAATACAAAAACAGTGGAAAGCAAATCCCAAATAACAAACAGTCAAGATTGTTATTAACCAACAGAAATCACATAAACCTGTATTTTTAATTAATCCTTGATAAACACAGTATTAAAATTAAATCTCACATTGATCAGGGAACTTAAATTTGTTGAAGTAATCGGGGTTAATTGAAACAAACATTGTGAAGAAAATTTGTTGTGAATCAAGAAAGGTTTTTACTGAAAATGACTGGTTCAGGATTGACTATCTTGTTGGATCCGATATCAATAATATCGATACTTTTTTATTCAGATAATTCTGGTTCGCATGTATTGAATGCTCCTGATTAAAATTAAGTTTTAATTAATTTTCAACGTAATTAAATTCTGTTTTAGAATAAATTGTGAAATCTAACGGTAAGTAGAATCTGAAAAATACATGATTTTTATAATCAGCCCCTAAAATAAATAATTAGAAAGTACAGTCTATCCAAACATGGTAAGACGGAAGTCAGAAGATATGTTACTAACATACTTTTGTTGTAATATACAGAATATTATAATCTGAATTAAAATTTTATTATTTATAGATGTCAACTACTTTGGATAATCCTGAAATGGACTTCTCCAAAAGTATTCATGATTTAGACGGCTTCCTTCAAGATACTTGTACTGGACAAACACCGGAAGAAACCGCTGCATTGGTCAAAACATATAAGAAAACTGAATTGGATAAGTTCAAAACCATAATTACTAAGATCAGAACTACCCCTAAAGACACACTTCCGATTAGCGATGGCTTATTAGTGGATCTGGACTTTTTCTTGGAAGCCACAAAATGGGATATACCTTGCGAATCAAATGACAAAGACACAGAAGATGAATTTAAAAAGCAAACAGCTCGTGAATTCAACAATAATGTCAATTTGAATTCAACATTCATTGAGAAAGACACACGTGAGATTACAGAGGATGAATTTGCGGCATTGGACAACTTTTTGGGAAATGTTTGTGCAGGTTCGGATGACCAAGAAATTCGAAATTTGGTTGCCGTTCAGTTTCAATCAGACATTGATGCATTTTATGATATAATATGCGAAATCAATAATCCAAAGAATAAAGAAAAAAAGGCACTTTTACCGGTTCCACTAGTTTCCAACATAGACAAGTTATCTGCTATTGAGCACTGGAACATAGTTAAAGTTAATGTACCCAAGGATAAACCTGAAATGGTCGTCTCCCAAGGTACAGTTATTACGGACGAAGACATTGATAAACTCAAGAAATTCATGTCTAAAACAATGAATAACAAACTCCCAGTAGCTACACAAAAGATTGTTAGAGGATATGATCGAGCAGAGATAAAAGATATCAGACGTACGGTCACTGCCATATTATATCCTGACAAATTGAATCAGAACCTAATTCATCTTACTGAGTTGAGAGAACGGACAAAAAAGTTTGTTGGAATTGTAAAATGGAGAATTAAGCAAACGATTCCTGACAAAGAAGATGATGATAAACGTTCGAATGACGAATCAAGTCCTACACCATTTAAAAAAATGAAAAACTCTATTGATATGAACATACTTCCTTCTTCAAGCAATGCTTTGAAAGTATCAAAGGCTATAAATAACACAGAATCAAATAATTTGGATGATCTCTCATTTGTTACTCAGCCACCATCAAGTGAATCCAAAGAAGTTTCCATTCAAAATTCTTCCCAAATAAAAAGTCCAAAAAAGAATGACGAAACTCAATTGGAGCAATATTCAACAAGAGGAGGTGAATTATATTGTATCAAGAAACCACAAAATACAAGAAAGCAATGGGCTGTGAACCCTAGATCGCATATTGTTAATTGGCAAGCTGTCAGACCAGCGGGTTATGGTGTTTATATAGATGGACCTGAATACCATTCGGGGTGTGTAAAAGACATACTTACCAACACAAAGAAGGAATTCGGTGAATTCAAAAGATTTCACCAAGATGACAAATATACACTATTGGTCATGACAACTAAAGCAGCTAGAGACACTATTATGGATATTATCAATAATGATGTTACGGGATTAGAGGCTAAAATAGCAACCTATCGCTTCCCTCAGATTAAAATTTCAGTTCACAAAGATAGAATGAAAGATCCAAAACAAATGGTCAAAGAAATTCATATGTTCAACTTTAAAAATTATCTAAAACACAAATTTGAATTGTTTGGCACTCACCAAGTCAAAAACTCACCGTATATTACATTGATAATTCAAGTTGACCCACAAATACGAAGTTACATCTCGGATAGGAAACAAGGTAAAATATGGCACAACATTGAATTGGACGTGGTTGATCACTTCACACTTAAAAGATGCTACACTTGCGGTCACCTCGGTCATTTCAAGTGCAAACGTACCCAACCTGTGTGTATCAGATGTAGTCTTCACCATCAGCGAAACAAATGTACGGCCACCACCTTACGATGTCCGACATGTTCCGGAAATCATGAAGCTTTCACTTTATCATGTGACAAATTTAGACAAATGATAGATAACGAAATGGACAAAGTGGATTATGATTACACCAACATAATGATTGGCAGATGTTTTTAAATTGCAGATTTACTCTCCTTTTACCTACAATATTATTTTACCTTTATTATGCTTCATTCAATATTTTCTTAAGACATTGTGAATTTTCTCTACATATATCATTACTAGTTAGTCCTGAAATGGAGTTCACTAGATATAATTACACATTTAAATTCATTTGTTTACTTTAACATCATTTTCTTATCTTTCATTATCACATTAAATATTGATTACTATTATGCGACTACTATTGAAATCGCATTCATAGAAGGTTATTCTTGAAATAGAGTTCACCTTCGATGAATGCAAGCCATATACCGCTGAAATTTGATTTGCTTCAAAGATTGTTGTAAAACTTAACTATTAATATTTGATTAAAACATTTTTTGAATTGATTGAACCGCCTCACATATTGTTACCATAGGTTACAAGCATCAGACGACAATAACTTCCATGCTGGATACCAAAATACTTCATGTTTAATAAGTTCAACATGGATAAACTAACTAGTGAAACTAAATTGCTTTTGGAAAAAACACTAAATGAAAATGTTACGTTGAGAAAATTATTAGATGAGGTGTATTCAAGTGATTCATCAACACTTTTTATTCGTGAAGATATCTCTAAAACAAAAATAAAAGAGTGGATGCTGTGCTTCATTATCAAAGGATTTTCTGATGAAAAATGGTTATATTCAATACCTAAATTATTTGACACTTTTCAAATGTTGAAAGCCACTATACTTACCGCTCGTGAATTTGCTGAACAAGAGATCAAGAATACAAGTCAAGATCATTCATCGGAATTAAATACTAGATTGATAATAGACTTCAGGAAAGAAATGGATTTTACAGCCCTAAACATAAAGAAAGAAGAACTTCAATTTATTCAACATTTAAATCATGGAAAAATTAAAAAACAACTCATTTTCCCAGAGACACTCCGGATGACACGAGCTCTTCAGATAACATCCAACTCGCAAGATTTCATTCAATTTGCGATGGAGAATTGGTGGTACTTACGACAAGTCGATACAAATTCAACAGATGTGCAGATTGAAATTGATAACTTGAGACAAGAAAATCTTACAAATAAAGGGGAATTTTGGTTCAAACAAGAAGTTTCAAAACAAATATTTAGAAATTACGTATTTATTAGGGACGCTCACCGTTACAAAGAAATTCAGAAACAGAAATTTATTTATGTTATTAACAAATTTAAAATAACCTTCTCTTCTCAAGCCAGATTTGTGCTATGTAAGGACTGTAATTTGGCTTACAGTGGATATCATCAGATGACCATTTGTAATGAAGTCAAAAACTCAAGTAAATAAAAAGATACAGTTATGTCTAAAACAGTTATTTCATTAACAAATCATTTAAATTGGTATTTATTAATCAATTATAAATAAAGATGAAGTGAATACAATTTCATGTTTAACTTTGTCATTTTATAAATATATTTTGGGTGACCACAATTTCATGTGTAACCTAAAAACTATCGTTCAGGGTAAAAATCAACAAATCTTAAAACCAAGTCGGGTAAGAAACAATCATATTCTTTTAATTGATAAAAATGCATCGAGCCTGGAGTCGCTTTCTTGAAAAGTCGCGTATCGACAGGATATATCTCTCCGTTATTGACCTCGTACCAGCCATGAATTGTATTAATCTGGAGATAGGTATGCCATGTAGTGAACTTATCAGTACAAGAAGGTTTGCGGAAAAAAGGAGGATAAGGTTCTCCTTCAATATTTTCATAGCATTTTATGACAACAGAACTACAAAGTCGTTTATACTTTTTGGTCTCTCCTTTGACAACCAAAGTTAACTTATCAGGTACATTAATTTCCTCATCGGATTTACCAAATTCGTACCTTACACATAAAACTTCTGGATGCTCTAAGAATTCACAGAAGTCTATATCTCGAAGCCTACCAGGACAATGATATGGTTCTCCATGCGTTCGGGATAATCTCTGTGCAGTAGCGAGGGCAATGGGCTCATTAAATAGACTCTGAAAATTTTTATTAACAGGAACTGATATATAAGGTAAGGCAAATTCATGAGTATAGGGTCCTCCACAGCAATTACCACAAACAAAATTTGCCTTAAATCTAAACATAATCTCTCCATAAAGCTCGGGATTAGTTGCACAGAGTTTGGTCATAATAAAGCCATAAGCTTGACACTCATCTCCTCCTGGCTTGAGATAGTCCGTATCACAATAATTACCGAGCATGTTACATATTCCTTTAATTAAAGCGACATCCAACATGATATCATACCGAGGATTAACAGGTCTATCGGGAAGTTCAGGATTGCTACGAGACTCAGGAAATATACGCTTCTGAAGATACCCCAAATTTACCATATCGTAATAGCCTTTACTTGAAACCTTATGAAAATCATGATAACATTTTAATAGAGATTGTATCCACATTCTTGGTGTTTCTATGCGAGGACGCTTGCTGGGTCGCTTTAAGCCCAATCCTAAATTGACCTCGAGAACAGATTGACAATTTATCCGGAATAATCTTTGCATAATAGGGAAAGAATAAAATACAGGCAGGACTGCTGCTATCAAAAAACAGTGACCACGTATATTGGGGAATCCAATAAGATAAGGTGGCTAATAGAAGATAAAAACAATTTAAATAATTAATGAGTGACATTCATTTCAGAATTAACTCGTAAATAATTTGAACTTACCATTATAGCAAGAGGACAATTTTCCAACAATATCTCGCCTAAGCGATAACACGCGATATCAGAAGCACGCTTTTGTTCAATATGACAACCATAGGCTTCGTAAATTACTCCATCATCATCAGTAATTGTACATTTAACCAATGTATGGTGATATGGATGATTAAAGGATTGTCGGTATCGGGTAAAGGTCTCTGACCAACTGGGACGACACCATAGGAAACACTGTGTGAAAGTGAAAGTCCAACCTTTCCGGCATTCATCATCTTCATAAATATCCCGAGAACGCCTTATGTCAAAAGGGAAGATAATATTCTTAAAACTATAAGTACCATCAATATCAACAGCATTATCCTACAATAAACAAAAACAAAACAAAATTAGTTTGAAGCACTTGTAATAAACATAAAAAGAAGAACGAGGTGAGACTTACATCCATATCGTCTGAGTTAGATAGACACAAAATATAAATAAAACATAAAATAAGTAATGTTAAGAAGACGCAACAATCAACCTTATTTAAATAATCACATTAGCATTAAGCTAGTGTGAATTAAAGAGGACTACTAGAGTCAAGCTATTGCATCATTAGCTAGCTTTATTTCAAAGATAGCGCAAAAAAACTATGGAAACATTAGGTTAGGACTGAAATGTCGGTCACCTAAGTTTTAAATGTAAAAGCGGGATAACCATGACAACAACGTGGTAACATTCATTCATCAATATGCTATTTTATACTATTAATGTGAATAAAATACAATTAGTTCATCAGAAAGCTATTGAAATATCTGAGAAGCGTAAAAATGTTTGTGTTTGCGTATGTGATGTGAATATATTCAACTCCAGCAAACTAGCAACTACTTTTAATATGATTTTGAATAAACGAGTGGCCATTCATTTGTCGAGTAATCTTAAATGGCAACATATCGATACACTGACTGACGACCTAATAGTAGCTCGACTGGTAAACCATAATACTATCATTATTGCGTGCTATATGACGACCTTTGCGAAGACAAACTTTAAACTTGCGAATGAACAATTAATGAAAATAAAGCAGTTAATATCGAAATATAATGATCATGAAATAGTGATACTAGGTGACTTAAACTCAGTTCACCCATCTTGGACTCAAGACATGCCGAAATATGGTTTCTTTCAACTTAAATTTGGGAGACAATTAAGAGATATATTGGATCAATCGGGTTTAAAGGTTATAAATGATCCTAGCATTCCTACATCTTTGAGATCAACTGCCGTAATCGACTTAATCATAACAAAGCAACATACGAATATAAAATGGGTTCGGGTAATAAAATTTCCTTTAACTGATCACTATGCAGTTGCTGCGAAAATGATAATCAAAAGAACAGCAATACCTGGTAAAAGATTTTTGAAGGTTAGCTCATGGAAATGGACAGGAGAAAGAATGGTTATTCAACCAGAAGCTCGCAAATGGACTAAAGAATCACCCATTGTGAAATTGTGTCATGATATCATACATTTCCCTGACAATCATGGGAGATGGATGGTTAAAAACAAGGATAAATCTGTAATTGGCAGTGATTCTCAAACAAAAAAGAGCATTTACCTCAGACTTAAAGAAGCAAAAAACTCTACTGAAATTTGGCCATTGATAAATAAATACATTTTTCCTACTACTAAAATTAACATTTGGCAAAATCAAAAAACATGTTTATCAAAGGGAGAACTCATCAAGGATTTTAGCAAAAAGAAACCAACATACTATGACTGCCCAGCAAATTACAAAGGTTATATAACAAAAGAGGAAATAGAGATGATAAAGAAATTCAAACCCAAGTCATCGAGCATAACAGCAGACAATTATTCATCGGGAATGTGGAAAAAATTTTCAAAAAAGAACGTACATTTCGTGGTACAGGCCATATCGATAATATTCCAGTATTCTCATATACCCCAAAAAGTAGCTACACTCGGTTGTGGCTTTGTTCTGAAAGCGGATGGCATCAACGTACGAATGGTCAAGAGTCCGAATTACCTGTTTAAAATAATAGATAAAATATTACAACAAAGATTAATGTTACACATTGATAAAATGGTGAACAGGAAATTACAATTTGGATTTTTGACGAATACTGGGAGATTTGATCTTATTCAGTCAACACTTGAATATATCCATTTGATGAACCCTATTTCAAGGCTAATCAAATTGGATATTTCAAAAGCATTTGATACGGTTAACACCGCAGGGGCGATGAGACAAATTTATAAACATTGTGACCACTCAACATACTACATGATCAACTCAGTAGTTCGCAATCGATGGCTCAAACATCATGAACACAACACAAACTTTTATAAAAGAGAAACTGATGGCGTTCCACAAGGGACATCAATTGGTCCGATAATTTTTATTATAGCGCTAAACGAGACATTGCAAAACCTATCTACAAAAATGACTATTAGAGCATTTGCTGATGATATTTTGATCATTACTGACGAAATGAAGCAAACACTGGATACGGTACAATTTGAATTAATGAAAATAAATCTGAAACTTAACAGAGAGAAAACAGAATTGTTTACAAAAGCAGAAATTGAAGAAGGAAAACTTACCATACTTGGTGCTGATATCATTGGTTTTAATTCAAATTCCATGTTACGGGACAGACAGAGACTCAGAGAATCAGGATTGAGACAATTATCGAAATGGGATCCTAAAATGGACATGAGATCGCTACCGTTACAAACTAAGATAATCGTTTACAATACGGTGCTCCTTGCTTTGGTTAAAGATACTGCAATATCCTATCTTCTCACAACCGATAACCTAGATAAAATGAAAGATAGATTTGAACTTATATTAGAAGAAATTACCAGGGTCTTTAAACAAGTGGAAATGAGGACTCGTAGAAGCTCGAAAAAATCTTACCTACTGGAAGGATTTGACAAATCTGTCAAGAATATTGCCCGAGAAACACTCAGGATAAAACAAAAACATGAACAGCTATTGTTGACAGACAAATATATGCTTGCTACTCCGATGATGTGCTTTACCATTAGAGCTAGAGAACGACGTTTACTTTCTGGTACATTCTGGTACATTAAAACAAGGAAACGACATGAGACATTTTCGTACCAAATCTGCAAGATAGAAGATAAAAAAGAATGGATTATTTTCTCAGGACAGACAAAGGAGGTAGGATCAATCTACGAGATACAATTACATGCACTTCATCAGTTACTACGAATTAAATTCCCATGTACACTGGTTAATCCTGAAACGGAGTTCACCAGTGACAAAGAAACATTTACGATCATGCTTACCAAAGAGATGACCAAATACGTAACAAGTGAAGGTAGATTTACCAAGTCATTTCTATATGTAATGTACGAATTCAGAGAACTAGAATGGTACTGGCAGAGATTTGACCTATCAATGACGATGCCGTGGGAGGAACGTCGGGAAACACAAATACATCCAGATATGACATGTTACTCAGTGGATAGGGCAAACATGAAGAGAGTGCAGGTATGGTATGATGAGTATTGGAAGAAAGGAATTGGCATTTGGCAGAAATTTTATCCATCAGGGAAGGTAAGAGATACACATAGATTCATATTCCTCAAATCTATGGAAGAAAAATTCGCCATCAGCTGTTCATGTGGAGAGAGATGTGCGGGCATGGAACACATAATATTCGAGTGTGGAACGATTGAAGATTTGAAAAAAGACGCCTCCTTGGATTTGGAATTGATACCACAACACATACAAGATTGGAAAATTGATGCCCTGTCAAAAGATCAATGGAAACAAATATCAAAATGGATGGAATGGTTACTGGACAAATTAAAGGACATTAGAAGTACAAAGTGAAGAGGCTTACCCAATTAGATAATGGACCAAGGATGGATTATTCTAAATAAATACTTTATAAATTAACTTATGTATTGATAAAATTGTAAACAATCATGAGCTGACAAGCATGGTATGGTCAATAGGGGGCAGCATTAGAAGCTGCTCAACCATACGGTTTCTGTAACTTGTTTACTTATAATAAAAGTTCATCCATTTTTTTCTGGTAATTATCATCAAAATCAGGATGCTTGAATAATCACGAGTTTATTTATGTTTTAATGATTACCCGTGAAATCATTATTAATAATGCTATTACAATATTCCCCTTTCTTTATCTCCTCTTATGCTGAGTTTTGTCTACCTACATTTTTTACTCTTAACTTATCAATACAAGGTAACTCAACTCTTTTCTATCCTTTTCATTTGATAAAATTGATAGATTGGCTATGATGCTGATTATTGTGAGCAATTTCAGATTCATTGACGTATACTTGATTGGTCAATCACCATTGAATTGATTCGACTTTAGCTTCTTGTTAAATTGGACTTACTGGTGGAAACATTCAAGCCTATCTGGAAGTAAACAAGAGTGAATTGACTTATAACTGGATAAAGACAATGTGATGAGACATGGCGATGGGATATCGTACTTATTATTCAGATTGTAGCTGATCGTGTTTATTAAGAGATAACTATTGTTGATCACCATTAAACAATGGGATTATCGTTGGAAATGACGGAACGAGAATAAGCTTGAAAATGGCTTGAACATGTTTTTTATCTTATGGATATCAAGTTGAGGTTAATGCAAGCCAGGATTGGTAATGAAGAAATTAAATTATGCTTTAGGTTAGAGCCTACAGTCATTTTAACATAATATCTTGTCACATGGTTTTCAGACTGATTGGATAATCGAGTGATTAGCTTCGAAGGATATGGGAAAAGTGGAAATATAATCTGTTCGATTAACCAAATCTAGCCTTTCTCAACTATCAACCATTTTCATGTTCTTCTACTCGCATCTATTCAAGTTTTGACTCTTATGACGAGTCTTTTTTTATCGTCAAGCCTTTCATTATTGTATTACAACTATCATTGTGATCATTACGATGGAGTCAACTGTAAATACATGAAACAAGCTGATGATGAATCAACCTGAATTAATAGGGCGAAATTAATTATTTACCCTTAATCAAGGGCAATTGTAAGCTAATATTTCGATTATTTGTTGTTGTGCCTTCATACACATGCCTTCAATGTGCTTCTGCCTCTTTAATTCAAATCATGATTAGTGAAGGTCACCTTTTGAGATATTAATCGTCACTGACTTCACCAGAAACTACTTGCTGTGTTTTAAGTAATTATCTTCATGATGGCTCCACAGATGACTATAATCAGACTGTAATTCTGACTCTCTCCACAACACAAACATCAACAAAATTAACCTTCCTATAAATTTAATTCATGTAAACACCAGTTTACCAGTAACATGTGATAAAACCGGATAATAAACCCAATAGATCCAAGTATGATTCAAACAATCGACAATTTACTCTTTCAAAATTAACCACAAAATATCTACCAGTGAAATTAATCAGTCAAATTGCGAAAAGGGAATGAGTTTTTCTGGTTAATGGGCAATTCAGTTCTATTAGAAATATTAAACACTATTAAGATAACATCATCATTGAAAAAAAAACTGAACAACCTTGAAAGGCTAAAGACCCGAATGATAAAGTTAATTATTTAGTTTACCATCTTAATCAGTTGTCTTGATAAATAAGCAAACATCAAACAGAAATAGATTGATATTTGAAAATGTTTCTCGTTTCTTCCATTGCGTTTACTCTTACATGTGAACCTTAAAATCATGTTTCATTGACTCATTAATTCCATGGCTCGATCAATTTTCCCTGAAATCAAAGATTCCTTTTATGACCAACTTGTGAAGTATCAAATTTCCCGATAAAAATCAACAATTGTCATTGTCTTTACCCAATATTACCAGTTTCTGGTTAAAATATTTTTCCTTGTAAACCAGACCAAAGATACTGATCAAGATGATCTCGTCTTATCATTAATTTTGATCATATTCATGGTTATACTTTAATAATGTGACTAATGGAAACGTCAAAGTCAAACCTTTATTATTACAATAACAAAAAAGCGGTTGCCTGTTGAAATTAACAACATCCAACCAAATTAGTCTTTAATCTAACCAATTCCAGCTAAAATCATTAGACATTGAACACCTAACTGTTGGCTTTAATATGTAGCTGGCAACAATTGTTATATCTTTGGGTTGTGATGGTTGATTTAGTTAAATTGTGGGATTAAAATGAAATGAGTTTCACTGTGCGACTGTGTGATTTAGATGAAATTGTGGGTAAATTGTATCATTGTTTCTCATTACAGATTCAACTACAATTGGATACAAATCAATAAAATGTGTTGAATGTGTAACTACCAAAGTTAGATGTTAATGTTAAATCATTTACAATATTCAACCAGTAAACAGTGATTAAGTTGAAATGCATTAGTCTAGTAATGATCCTTAAAAGGTTAAATAGCCATTGGTAAGTTATTAAATGAGCAAAAGCTTCCTTATTGATGTTACAATACAAAAATGAAGCGATAAAATTACCATTTAAAGTGTAATTCGAGCAAATTTAAAGATCATTATTGATATAAATGTTAATTTTACCACATTTAAAGTAAAAAATAAAACAATCTTTGGATTCCAATTTCATCTATAAATATCACTTTTACGTAAGCTCAATTGTAAGTTTCATTTTATCAGATTACTTCAAATTGGCCCTTAATTGTGATCATTTAACCTTTCAATAGAAAGATTTTTAGACTTTTCAAAATTAATCATTAAATTTAAAAGCTGATGAAAGTAATCATGTAATTATCATCAACAAGTGTCCAACAGTTAAAGGTTTTCAAAAAAACATGTAATTGCTCATCATTATGCTGTATTCAATTTCACAACCAAAACCAAATTAATATGTAAATAATGATGTAATTAGGAGACAATTTAAATTACACACAATTAGAGAGGTTATTTGTCAACTACAAGACTATGAGTTGTTAGGAATTGTCTTAAACTATCATCAAAATGGAGTTTTCATGAATTGATAACTTGGGAATCATCGACTGCGATTGAAGGCTTCACGATTTCAATCAACTCTAAGCTCAATCGGCTCAATTTTCTTGATTTATGGCAACATAATCAATTAGCATTCAGAATTAATTAAACTAGAAAACAATTGTAGTGAAAAAATATGTTCATATTGCTTCAATTCTTTATGAATTAATTTAACAATCAAGTGGTTTTAATTTATTATTAGCGTAATCGTCTCCATTCTGTTTGTTTGGCCTTTATTCAACTTTGTTTGTGAGGTATAATTGTCCATTTAAAGATCAGATCAGATCAGTCATATAAGAAGGAATCAAATTGATCAACAATTTTGATCAAGATTCTAAGGCTATTCAACTTTCCCTCGCTACTGAGACTCATCTCGATTGGACGTTGCCAATGACAATGCTGCTCAACAACAATTATTCATCGTTCATATTTGTTTTTGCAACTCTTTTGTATTCTTGTTCAGCTGCTTTTAATCAATCTGATTGTAATTGTAGGATCAATCCTGCTGAAGATACTTTCAAAATTGTAAATGGCACTGAATTTTATCCACATAAATATCCTTGGTTGGTGTCACTACAAATTGAACGATCCGCTGGAGAGTAAGTATTTAAGTTGATTAATTAACCTTGTTGAGCGACATTTGGAGTTTCTTAATTTAATTTGCTTTTTGCCTCATTTTTAGCTATGCTCATAACTGTGGTGGGTCAATACTTAATGATCAATGGATTGTAACTGCTGGTCATTGTTTTTTCGCGAATTTAACTCGTCTATCAGTATTAGTTGGAGCTCATGATTTGGCCACTTCGGGTAGACGGTACAAAGTAGCTCAATTTATTCAACACCCTGACTACAATACTTCTCCAGTTGTTCGTAATGATATCGCCTTGATTCAATTAGCTGAACCAATCCCCAGTTTTAGCAGAAATGTTCAACCTGCCTGTTTAATATCTCGTAACATTTATTTTACATCCAATGATTTGTACGTTGCGGGCTGGGGAGTTACAGATACGGAGGAAAATGAGACAACCGAAAGACCGCTGGAATTACAAATGGACCATGTTAACTTTTTGAGCTGTACAATTTCATGGTTCGGTTTATTATCTTATCGGGCTCATATTTGTGCTCGAGCAAATCGTGCAAGCCCATGTTTTGGTGATTCAGGGGGACCTTTAATGGTTGAATCTCAAGAAAGGATTAAGCTGTATGTAATTGGTCTTGTTTCATTTGGTAATGCGTGTACTGATGAAATGCCAACTGTGTTTACACGAGTTACTTCATACCTGAATTGGATTGAATCGATTGTTAAAAGTTACTGCAAAGCCGATGGTCAAGATATCAATGCATATCCGAGATGATCAATCTAGATATTTCCTATTATTAGGTTTACATTTGAGTTTGTTAGCAAGTTGCTATAATTGCTTGCCTGTTATAATCTGCAACTATCAAATGTAAATCAAACTACACTGTGATTGTGGAACTTGTTCATAAGTTGAAACAATCATGAAGATGCCATATTTGATTTTTTAATATGAAAAAATACAATTAATTTGGACAAAACGTTTTCCTAAGATAAATTTGAATATAATTAAAGTAAAAAAGGTTTTTCCTAAAAGTTTAATGACAATGTCATTCATGTATCAATGGTTTAACCATAAGAGTCCAATAGTTTCAACGTCTTTTTATCAAGAAAGATTGGTAAAATAAAATGTCTGAAAACAAAAAGAATTGGTTAGATGAAATAGACACGAGGTTATGGAGTAAGAAACCTTAATGGAACTTAATTTGACTGAAATGTACTCACCTAACAGGAATTAAAAGAGCAATAAAGACAGGAAAAGCCATTTTAAGGTATGCCCATGGAGCTATTAAACCGACATAAACTAGAATAACTAGTTGAATTATTTCGCACACTGTGAATAGATGGACAATGCGTTGACGTGCTCGACGGACATAATGATTTGGAGGATAAGAAGACTAAATTCAATAAAAGATGGAAAAAGAGATTTAAAATTAACAAAGTTTCTTATATAAGAAATGTGTAGACTTTAGCTCTTTGAAAAGTATCGAAATCACTATTTTGATTTAATTCTTTAATATTTCAAGATTTTGTGAATCGATAATTACCTGTTCTTGAAAGAGTAAACAAATTCTTTGGAACATTGAGCTTCCCCTGAAAGAGGCAAAGGCACAATAAAGAAACAGTCCATCCAAAACTGGAGTTGAAATCAGGTTAAGTGGATAGGGTATCATGAATAGTGAGAGTCCGATGAGTATATTTGATAAAAGGGCTGTTATACGAGTCTCTCGAACACGAATAATATGTGTTTCAATAAGTCCCTGATTATTTCGCTCCTCTGTATCAGCCAAGGAACGAAGGAACGAACATGAAGTGGTGAATGTGGAAGAATACCATGCATACCTTTGATTGAATTTATAAGTTCTTAGCGATAACCAAACAGTTCCTAAAGCTAAGAGCAAATGAAGAAGTGAATCCTCTCGTTGACAGATTATTGGAGTTTCCAGTGTGGTCACATTTAATTCACCATCCGTTAGTTTTCTAAAATTAGCACAAGCTTTCGTGTGATAGTATTTGTTGAAACCTGAAAAAATAACGAAAGTATTCACAAGTTAGTAATATTTTCAGGGGAAATTAATGAAATTGAAGATGAAAAATTGCAATCACTCACTTTCAACGCAATCATTGATGGCATCATAAAAGAAACAAATCGTTATAAACTGTGCAAATATCTCTTCAACCGATCTTGTGGCATATTTGATCAATTTACTCCATCCAAATACTGCATAGGCCAAAACAAAAAGTGTATTCCAGAAGCCAACCGTTGCATACATAACGAAAAAATCGACGTCTAATTGTTCACTTATTTCATAGACAACTGGAGACAAAAATAATCATTAAATATTATTTAGGTTAACTAATAGGTTAACTTTACCTTTTATATACAATGACACCAGTGCAGTAGTTGCAATGATAACCAAAGGCTTGACCAACTAACGCTCTTTTTGGCCCTAATTTAGATTTAAAGATATATTAACTGGGTAAACAAGCAATGTGTTTCAAGATGAATACCTATCAATCCATTGGTATTTTTTGAGTTAAGGAGACCAAAAGCGATGGCAGGTAATATACAGCCAAAATACAAGAATAGTGAAGTTGCTAATGTTTTGTGAATCGTCTTTTTACCAACAATACCATCAACGAAATCAGTATGGTAACACCGAACTCGACGAGAAATGTTTTCCCATAAACTTGTATCCAAACCATGAATTACTTTTCTTTTAACTTGATTTGATTTGGTTGATAATTCAGCTGCCTTGTCTTTAAGTATTTCTTTAATCGATTCTTTCGATGAGTCCAGTAGATCGAAGCGTAATGAGTGATCATTAAAAGAGTTGAAAATGTCCTACCAATTTCATAAGAGCTTTTAGTGTGTTTCTGTAAAGATTAGAGTAAAGAAAGGAACCAAGATTAACATTTCAAGCCATTAAAATTAGATCTATTATTCTTTAATACCAGCACTAACCTCAATTGTCGGTGTTAAAATAATTAAAATAAATCTAATTTGTTCCATTCCATGGCCCTTTAGTGGAGTCTCTGTGATTCCTAAAGCAATCATATTTTCTTGACAGATACACCAGAACCTCTATAAAAAAGAGTTATTGAGTTAATTTAAATTTAACAGTTAAGATAGACTGATTTACTTACAATATACAAACCCATGATTGATCAAAAACAGTTGGAGATGAATTAGATTCTAACCTTAGATTACGATTATTAATCACTCTAGCTGTAAAATGGAAAGAAGAGAAATGTTATTTAGCTTATTGAGATTACCAATTAACAGAGCGTCGTTGGATTTTTCGATTGAACTATTTGCATTCTTTCTCGCAAAATATTGATTCCATTATTTCATCGAGATCCAATTTAGCTTTGGTCTCCTCTTTCATCTGTAATGTAAAATAATCAAAATTAATTTTATTAACTCAAATTGCTTCACCTATCAATAAGCAGAAAGCAATGCAACATTGTCAACAAAGCATCGGCTCAATTGAACGGCTGGGAAATTATGCTAATCTTATAAATCATAATAGGCATTAAAGTGATAATTGGCTTAAATTTTTATCATTAGTTATTAGACCGCTTCATACCCTTCAATATATTGAAATAAGCATCTAAATTGTAAATAATGAATAGTTTCATAGTGTTAATGAATGTATTAAATTTAGATCAACCTTCAATCTTAACCCCTATTAGTTTTAACGAGTGACAACCACCAGTCTATTTTTAAATCCATGATCATTGTAAGGGCAATATGAATAATCAACTGTGTAGATAAATTGAGCAACCATTGACAATCAGTAAATTGTGGGCAAAGATAATAACGATATTAAATTTTGATGATCGTTGAGTTTTAATGATTTGCATTACAGCTAACTCCATCTATATTTTTAAATTTTAATTTTAATCAACACCGAATCTAACATCGCATAAACTTTTTAATCCAACAGAAAAGTTGAACTGATTTGCAACATTATTTATGTTTGACATAACAATTATTTTTATTTAAATGTAAAATTATGGGATCCATCAACTTGATTTTATCCAACTTGAGTTTCTAGGGGATATCCTTTGAAATGTTAGAATCTGATAGAAATAATAAAATTGTTTTCGTAAAACTAAACTAAAATTTGAAGAAACTCACTTAATTGTCTCAAGATTTATAAGCCTTTTGTCCAAAGAGTAATACAATTAAACCGGCAAACTCTAATCAAGCCTTTGATATTATGAAGACATTAAGATATTAAAGGATGAAATGAAGTGAGTTTTAGATTAACTTTTTGTAGTTTTTTTATTGACATTAAAAGTCCATTTTATTTGATTATTTAACATTTTACTCTCAAACTAATAGCATCACCCATGATTTGATGTGATTTGAATGAAGATTCTTATGATACATTTTCAACAGGATTTTTCACATAAGTTTAGGATGCGTCTTTGCATTGACAGTTTTAATCTTTAGTGTCAAATTAAGGCTGAATAACAGTTCTCAATGTAATTTTGTTTATGGAGCAAGTTTCCATGATGAAGCATCACATGATCTAGGTGCAAGTTTCCGATCAAGATGATTTTCCAAATGATTTTTCTTGGCTTCTGACACATTGATTTTTGGTGGGATCAGGAAAGTTTGCAAGAGTTATGTTGGGTTTGATTTGTTAAGTGCTTAAAATTGCAATACAAGCATTGGCTTCAATTGAAAGTAAATGAAGTTTTGAGAGTTTCAAAAGAGATGGAGAGAAAGATAGAGATCAGTTGTTTATGAAGGAACCATTGGGAGGTGATAATTAGTAGATGTGTTAGCGGCTCTGAAATAATGAAGGTGATGATGAGAAGATTAATTGAGATGATTATGATTATGATGTTGGTACAGATGATGATCATCTTATATGTCGACATTTGAAAAGAAAGAGAAAGGCTGTTTTTTGATATAATTAAGACATTAAATCAACCGGCTGATTGGAGGGAAAGTTTTGTACAACTTTACGCTAATTAATCAATAAATTTCATTCCATAATCAATCGATTGGTTTTCGTTGTTTGGTTTCTTGTTGAACAACAACTGGTTGATTCAAAGTTAGGCTTTTAGCAAGAGAAAAGGTTTTGCCCAGTAAATGGATTTGAAAGGCTTAAAAAACATAATTTTGGCTTCTCTATTAATTTTCAGTCTCTATCAATTGTTTGAAAAAAACAAATCCTTGATCGACACAATTGATCATTACAGATGTTCAAGAACAAGAAAATTAATGATTGGAGGTGTAAAAGAAAGGAAAAGATGTTCACTGATTTAGAGAGAAAACTGAGAAATTAAAGAATTTCTGAAAGAAGGTTGAAGATGAGTTAAGGTATTGAAAGGATATGGAGATTAGTGATGTTATGATATTTTACAATGATTCGAGATCGCCATTTTTTAGCATAAATGCTAATAGACATTTCGAAGTTTGTCCTGTTTGTTCATTGAGACGGAAATTAAATTATTTTCAATGATACTATTTTGGTGAGATTCAAACTTTCCATGCTGAGACATTGAGACTGAGAAAGATGCTTTTATACCATTATAATCATCATCATCATAATCAACACCATCATCAGAATCATTGTAATAATAATACTAATGATAATCATAATAGTTTTAAAAAGGAGAAAAAGGCAAAGTAGATTAAATGAGGTTGGCGAATCAAACTGGACAAGAGAAGAACGAACCTCAAATAGATGTTTGAGTGTTGAAAAAAAACTATACAAATTATATAAGCCTCTGTCAATTTGATTATTGTACAAATTGTAAAACCCAATTTGTTGATGAATTGAAACTGTTGATGATTCTTTCCATGATTGTTTATCGTTTGTTTTTGTCATTGATGGTCCTGATGATTTGAGTTACACATTTTGATGAAAATGCATGTTGTAAATATATATATAAAAATTATATATATTTGTCCATAATTCATTGATTCTTCGTTGATATATACTTTTCACGATTAATAACTGCATGTTGATGTTTCTTGTCACTGATATAAACTTATGTTGCCTTTTGATTTTAAACTCTTTCGGTGAAATAATCTTTTTACACTTTTTCGCTTTGCATTTTGGTTTGTCCCTTAAGCTTTCAGATCACCTCCGTTTGTTTGTGTATGTACAATTGTCCTTTCTTTATAATAAATCTCTTCTGTCTCCTTGTCACAAAGTAATAACAGTATGGCTCCAAGTAAAAATATGGCAGCTCCCCATCCAACTCCATAGGCCCATCCAAGTTCCCAAATTTGGCGATTACTCTCATTAAATTCAGCAGCAAAATAAGCAGGATAGACAACCAAGGCAATTAATATAACAACGACTGTAAATAATAAAATTAAATCAAATTAGTCAATAAATAAATGAATGGAAAGCGAGTTAACAGTATAAACAAGGTCTTCCCCAACCCTAGCCCTTTCATCCAGTAAAACTACTGCAGTTACTTTACATCTGTGAGAAATGGTCAGTATAATTCAATTAACCAATAAGATTAGCTTTTAGAGTGCAAATTTAGTTTGTAAATTGGTTTAGAGGCCAAACGGGGAGTTTGAATAGATTGTATTATCAAAAAATCTAGTATTTTACGCTGTAAAAGCTTTCAATATTTAGCCAGGTTGAAATTAAATTTTGTTGATCAATGATTAGGGGCAACATTGAAAGACATGGAAAGTATGTGAGTTGCGATTAAATTGGAAATTTTGTAAATCAAGTTGGATACATTACTCATTTACGTGAAACTAATAAAGTTTGTTTATATATTTTGCTTGATTTATTCTGCATCTCAACAAGATTATAAATACATTAAAGTATTTATCTCACACTCACTCACTATTTTCAAAGAGTAAACTCATAGAGCAAATCTAGGTGAGGTTATGATGAGCAAGAATGGGATTTTGTTTCATTTTTCTCATCTTCATTTTCATCATGTCTGTTTCTATTTCCTTAATGCAATTGTTAAGAAGTGAGTCTAAAAATATTCCTCCATCAGATAGAGAGGATTGAAGGATAAGTGAGGATGAAAATTGAACAGAAAGAGTAAAATGAGTATTCTCTCATTATCGTTGCAATCAAATAAGGCAAAATTATTTTTCTGTAAATAGCCTCTCGCATTGTTGTACCACCAAACCCTCTATTATTGTACGCGTAAGAAAGGAAGGAAGAAAGGAAGGAAAGAAAGATGAAGAAAGAGGAATGGCTAATATTAAGGTTGAACTAGGGCGAAATATGAAGATGGTGAAGACCGGTTTTCAAGTGGACTTAGTTTGAGCAATGTAATGGTTCACAAATCAAGACTCTCCATCTACCCTTTCTTTTCATTCTTTGTTCAATTGCAATTTGTAATTCTCTTTTTTTTCAACTGCAGTTGTTGTGAGAAATAAAAAAACATGATATTGAAACACTCACATGCAGCAACCATGATATATAAAGCAAATCGATAGAGAGTGTATTTTTTCCTTGGGTCTTTGCTGCTAAGGCCAAAACCAGTCATGATGGTTGCGAGAAAATCAAACCCCAAACCAAAGCAACAGAGTATTCCAGCTAATTTGATGTAGCCTGAGTAGATAAAAAATGGAGAATAATAGGAAGAAGAAAAAAAGTTCAACAATGAATTAAATAAAGCAACTCATTCATGAGAGTAAAAACGTCGTGTCAAGGATGAATAAAGCTGAATTTTTTGATAAAATATCAGGTGGAAAGAATGGTGAAAGCAAAAAGTCATTTCTTTTGAAAATTGAAAAGCTACTGAGGGGAGGAGGAGTAATGATGATGGAAAAGTTACTTTTACTAGCGTATATATCCATCTAATGTTGAATTTGATACATCAATATGTTATGGAAAAGGCTGTAATAATAATGCTCAAACGATTTGTAAATTGGACTTGTGATTAAGCTATAAGATGGATAAGTTTCCATGAGAAAGAATAAGAAATTTAGTAAATAAAACAGAAATCGAAATGTTAACTATCCTATTTTAGGAAGTGAATGATGATTTATGATGTTTATGATGAGGATCCAATGTTTTTTTTCAATCATCATCACAAATGTATTCACCATCTGGAATTCAGGTTTTCTGTTCTATTTTTGTATTGTTTAAACTTTTCAATTCTTATCAGTCTAGTGAAAATACAAAATATTTATACAAGAAAAGGATTGATTGAAATAAAACATACCGGCGTCTCTACCCGGGAAACATCCAGGGCCATTTTTGAGATTAAAAGGCAACGGTTGAATGGCGTCTTCTTCAATACAATATTCCCATAGACCTTGCCGATACTTTTCTGAAGTCAACCAATTTGATGATCCGATGCATAGTGTCATAAGAAACAACACAATTATACCACATATGAATGCGATTACCTGTTTAATTAAATGGACGAGGAAGAAGAGAAAAGAAAAGTAAATTCAAAACATTTGATTCAAATAAAAAGGAAACTAAATAATCGTTGATTTTTTAGAGTACAGTTATAAAAAGATTGAGTGTCTAAATCATATTAAACTTGATTAGAAGTAATAATTGAATTGATTGATTGTATCTGAAAATTATTGAATGCTTCTAAATTAGTTCGAAATATTAGAAGAGTTATCAAAAGATGAAGATGAATCTTACCTTTAATGGTCTCACAATAGTAACCGTTTCAATGGTCGTAGTGGGAGCAATCATCTTAAAAGCAAATGACATAAATGATCGAGTGTATTGGTAACAGGGCAAAACTAATAATAATGCAAAATAATGATGACAAATGAACGTTGAAAAATGGAATCACCTAAAAGAAAGAAAAAAAGTTACAGTTGATAAAAATCACAAAAAAAGATAATCAAAGCTATTAGCGAAGAAATGACGAGAATCAAATTATTAGCAATCCCTGCGTGTATCACTTGCAATAATTGAACTTCACATTGATCGGTGAACTAGATTTTTAACTAGATTTAATAAAATTGGCGAAAGCAATTGAGCTAATGATATTTAACATTCTTTCAAAATAGCAATTACTGAAGAAAACGATTAGCTTTTAATGTTTGCAAAATAAGGAGATGAAGAAATGAAAGGTGAATGCAAAATAGACAAACTTACATACAAACAGACATACTACAACAAGTAACGAGTAAGGAAAGAGAGAGAGAGTGTGTGGGGAAAAATGGTGATGAGGAGGGGATGAAAAATAAGCAAGAGATGAATAAAAGGAAATTAAATGCAAGTATAAACTTGGAGAGTCACAAATTTCGTGAAAAGATGAAACTGAAATGACCAATGTGAATGGTAAGAGCATAAAAAAAGTGACAATAAATGATAAATCGTGTTAACTATGAGAAATGTGATGGATAAAAAAATAGCAACATACCTTCAAAATAAGAGGACAGCCTTGGGAAGGTGAAAACAAAATTGTTTACAAAGAATGAGCTTGAGTATTTCTGGTTCCAGGTCAACAAAAAATGTTGTCAGGGTATATTCAATAATAATCCTTGATTCATCACTAGCTAATAATTAGCAATTAAACTTCACATTGGCCAAAGAATGAAAATAAACTGAATTATATTGTGTGATAAATTTTATTAAATTTGATTTTGACATAAGAATCAAAAACAGTCTCAAAAAAGGAAAAGAAATGAAAGTTAAAAATCTCTCTAATAGAGGTCCACTTTAGTAACTTTTAACCGCGGCTACTTTGAAATTTCTCAAAGTATGATACTAATTTTAATAATCTTCTGAATTCAATCAGCTTACAATCAATATACTTCTTTTAATTATAAATTAATAAAACTCAATAGACATAATCTCTTTCTGTAGGTGAATTTTTTGCTCATGTTTAGTTATAAGTTGAATTAAATCATTTTAAAGATGTTCACCCAAATGAACTTACTTGGAGTTGGAAGATATTTCAGTTAAATTTTTGTATATCGCATGCGAATGTTTCCTTTTTATGATTTCAGGGAGAGATAGAGCGATTTATTTGGTGTGTAAATAGATAAGTTGTTATAATAATCAAGATTTCAATGGATTATTAGATAATTCAATTGCATAATCTATCAATTTTTAGTATTGTTGATAATACGTCTCATAGATGTCAGTACATTTCTAAACTCCTCCTCCTGTCGGTTGTAACATTTGAAATTTTTGTTGTTGTTTTGATAAAAAAATTCGCGGCATTTTATTCTCGCTGTTTTTTCTTCTTCTATTTTATCGATTAATTGTTTATTAATTAAAATTAGTTCAAAAATGCCTGAAAGAAATGAGGAAGCAACCGATCCAGATGAAGAGTTGTTCGATGAACCCGGAGGATATTGTGAGTATCTTCATGTTATTGTCACTGTTAGTTTCAGTCTTAAAATATTTTGATTTTACTGTTGTTTTACGTTTAATTTTTACTTAATAGATCTGGACGATATTTACATTCCTCCACCACCACCTTTGCCTAGCTATCGCGGTGATGAAACTGGTACTAGATTGATAATCACGCATATCGAAAATGTTAATTTTAAGTCATATGCAGGATTACAAGTTTTGGGACCTTTTCATAAAGTAAGTTACGCTTAACCATCTATCGCTTTCATTGTGCATATAACAATTTATTTACTCTCCATGACAGAGTTTTACAGCCATTGTTGGTCCTAATGGAAGTGGTAAATCGAATGTCATTGATTCTATGTTGTTTGTGTTCGGATTTCGAGCAACCAAACTGCGTCTGAAGAAATTGAGTTCTCTCATTCACAAGAGTGATACCTATCCTGACTTTGATTTTTGTTCGGTTATTGTTCATTTCACTTTAATTGAAGATACGGTGAGTACCTTTCATCTCGTTATTCGAGTTGTTAAATAACTGATTTTTTCATATACCTTTCAGGAAGGAGAAGAGTTCACTATCGTCGAAGGATCTCAATTCACTGTTAGTCGGACTGTTCACAAAAATAATAACTCTTACTACAAGATCAGTGATAAAGTTGTCCAGTTTAAAGATGTTTCTCAGCGACTTCAATCTTATGGAATTGATTTGAGATACAATAGATTTTTAATTTTACAAGGAGAAGTTGAACAGATAGCTTTAATGAAGCCTAAAGCCGAAAGTGAAAACGATACTGGAATGTTAGAGTTTCTTGAAGATATTATTGGAAGTAACCGATTGAAGACTCCGATTTCTCAACTTCAAGTTAAGTTGGAAGCTAAAAACGAAATTCGTGCTGAAAAGATGAACCGTGTTAGAACCATCCAAAAGGAGAAAGACAGTTTAGAGAAAGCTAAAAACGAAGCAGTCGCTTATTTAGAGATCGAAAATAATTTGACTCTCGAAAGAAATAAACAATTTCAGCTGTGCAAAGCGGAAGCAATAGCCAACATGAGTGATGTAGTAGAAGAATACGAACGAGCTAAAAGCATATTTCAAGAAATTCAAGATAAAGCTGAAGAGTTAAAGAAGAAACGTGTCGAATTGGAAGAAGGTATGAAAAAACTCAGCGAGGAACTTACTTCAGCTACTAAACAAGCTGAAGAATATAACGAAGCTTACAAAGCAATTGAAAGAAAAGATGTTCAACTTCGGGACAAGATCAAACACACGAAAACCAAAAGCAAACGTTTGGTGACTGATATTGAAAAAGAAAGACAGCATTTAGAAGAGTTACAAGCATTACCAGAAAGAGTTGCTCAAGAAGTTGAACAGTTGGAACAAGAGAAAGCTGAATTAGAAATGCAAAAAATTAAAGCTGGTGAGCAACTTTCAGCAGCCATGGAGTTGGTTAAAACCGAGACTAAAGCCTCACAGGAATCCAAAGATAAATATGAAAAAGAATTACTCGATCTACAAGCGGGACTCAATGAAGCAAGATCCAATCTTGAATTGGCTCAATCAGAACTTGATCTTTATTTAAGCAGAGAGAAAACTGAAAAGGCCAAATTAGATCAACTTCAAATGAAATATGAAAGAAATGAAAATGACGTTAAAGAAAAGGAAAAAGCGTTGAAAGAATTTGAGAGTAAAGTTCCTGACTTGGAGAAAAAACTTTCAACACTGGAAAGAGAAATGGCAAAGATTGAAGAAGAAAAAACAAGGATTGAAGAAAATTTGCAAAGGAAATCTCAAAAGTTAGAAGAAGTTAGACATACATTAACTTCATCGACATCAAGAAGTAGAGTTCTAAATGCTTTGATGGAACAGAAAAGAAACGGATCTCTGCACGGTGTTTATGGTAGACTTGGTGATCTCGGTGCGATTGACAAGAAATATGACATTGCCATCTCAACTGCCTGTGGGCCTTTAGATAATATTGTTACTGACACCATGGAAAATGCTATCAAATGTTCCGAGTTTTTGAAAGCTAATAATATTGGTACAGCAACTTTCATTGCTTTAGATAAGATGGATCGTTTCTCCAACTTTGAAGAGATCGATACACCTGAGAATGTGCCAAGACTTTTTGATCTAATCCAAGTGAAAGACAACGCTGTGTTACCTGCTTTCTATTATGCAATAAGAGATACTCTTGTCGCCAATGATTTAACGCAGGCAACTAGAATAGGTCTTCGTGGTTCTCAACGATGGAGAGTAGTAACGATCAATGGTGAGCTAGTTGAAGCCTCTGGAGCAATGACTGGTGGTGGTCGACCCTTGAAAGGTCGTATGGGAAGTTCAATTGCGGACTCTGAATACAGTGAAGATGATTTATCTGCCATGGAAGATGAGGTTCGCTCTCTTGAGGAGCAGTTTCACCAACTGAGAAGCAAAAAGGATCTTATTCAAGCTGATTTCAATAAATCGAAAGATCAGTTGGATGGTATCAAAAAGAATAGACCTAAATATGAAATGGATTTACAAATGGCTGCTAATTCACAACAAGAACTGGCAAAAGTAATCAAAGAGCTAGAAGGAGTCGTTGAATCTGTCGCATCTGATCCTAGAGAGGTTAAAAAGATGGAAAGTAAAGTCGAAAAATTGTCCAAGATTTTTGATGAAAAAGAAAAGCAATGTTCTGTTATCAAGGAAAAAGTTACCGAGATTGACAAAGCTATGAAGAAGCTCATTGATGAAAAAGTTGGAACAGCACGGAAAAAAGCTGACTCGCTCGATAAAAAAATTAATGATCTAGTCAATTCAATAACAAAAGCCAACGTCTCCCTGAAAATGAATACCCGCAACGTTGAAAAGTGCGAAGAAAAGATAAAAAATCTTGAACAAGAAATAGAAAACTCGAAAACACTTATTGAAGAATCAAAAAAGGAAATGTCTGAATTAGAAGCACAAGCAACTGAAGCTGTCGAAAAATATAAAGTTGCTTTAGATACTAAAGAACAGTGTGAACAAAAATACAAAGAACAAGCAGAAAATGTTTCATCAATTAAAACTAAAGAAGGAAAATTAAAGTCGGAAAACTTGGATGCCAAAAATGAACTTGATGCCCATGAAAAAGCAGTTAAGGAGAGACAAAGTGCAGTAGATCATTGGCAAGCTAAAATTAATGAACTTAAAATCAATGAAATCGAAGGCAAAACGTCAATTGAACAATTACCGATTTTAAGTGATGAAGAATTGTCTGAATTGAATATAAGAGGTCTTGAAAAAGAAATTGAAACAATTAAGAAAACATTGGCTGGAATGAAACCAAATATGGCTTCTATAGCTGAATTCAAAAAGAAAGAAGCCATTTGGTGTGAACGAGTTAAGGAATTGACTGAAGTTACTGCACAAAGAGATGAAATTCGAGCCAAAATGGATCAATTGAAAGCCAAACGCTTTGAAGAATTCAAAGACGGTTTCGTGATTATTGCCAGAAAATTGAAAGAAATTTATCGAGCTTTAACTTCTGGAGGTGATGCTGGTCTTGAATGGATGGACTCATTGGATCCATTTTCAGAAGGAATCAATTTTACAGTTAGACCCAATAAGAAAACTTGGAAACGAATGGCCAATCTTTCCGGTGGAGAAAAAACACTTTCCTCATTGGCCTTAATTTTCGCTGTTCACCATTTCAAACCATCTCCGTTGTACGTTATGGATGAAATTGATGCTGCATTAGATTTTAAAAATGTTTCCTTGGTTGGTAACTTTGTTAAACAAAGAACTCGTAATACCCAATTCTTAATCATCTCCCTTCGTTACAATATGTACGAACTTGCCGATCGACTGGTGGGAATTTATAAAACACATAATGCCACTAAATCAGTTACTATCAATCCGGACAAAATTGAATCTGTTATAGTTACTTGAACATTATATTTTTTAAACAGTTTAATATCATTGTATCATTCACTTTTCCATTTACAATAATTTTTGTAATATCATCCGTTCAAAGAAATATTACACGAAAGCTCAAAACGAAATAAGAATTAAAATTATTTATCTCTACATCTATAAGATTTTCCTGTTCATTATTTTTTGCCAATATTTACTGTTAAAGGATTGAAAACTGATTCTAAAAAATGTCGATTCATTAATTTTACAATAACAGAAATTTTAATTGGTTTGAAAATGTCAAAACAATTCTCAAAGAACTGAGTTTATTCCGTTCACCCAAATTATCAAAGTCTCTATGGATTGAATGTGTTCATCATAATAAATTGTAAACACCACAGTTTTCGTTCCCTCCTCATTTTAATAAAACATTGAAACGTGAAATCATCTGACTTATGCTTTGATTAAAATAACAATAAACAATTTATGAAATTCAATTTACACATAGAATCATTTTATCGTTTGATTGCTAAACTGAATAGCTGTAGAGATAAAAGGGCTGGTTGGTGTTGAATGATGAAAGTAATGATGACTAAAGTAGCAATAATTATGTTTGCTTATTGGTGAGCTTTAAAACATAATTTTTAACCCCAAAACAACAAATCTTTCTTTTGTAAGCTTTTAAAGAAATGAAAGAGAAATCAAAAGAATAAAAGAATCAACAAACAACTCAATTCAAGGTTTCACTGAATCAAGTTTGATTAGATGATTTTCCTTTTTTCTTCAACAGCATTTCAACCACTCTCCTTACATTTTCATTTAACAACACTTTTTTCACTCAACTTTTCTTCAAATGTTGATCCCGTTCATGGATTGAAGTCATTGTCACCTCAGCATATTCATGTAATCATTTGAACTCGTTCAATGTTTCCTGCAATTAACTAGTTAGTAATCAAATGGACTATCTTTGAAATAACAGAACTCTTTTTTAGACCATTTTCGGCTGTTTCAGGCAATAATTGAATTGTTTAAATAGTGACAGTTTCTGTTCTTTCTCCTGATGCATATTTCTATCGTTAAAATTATCGTTTCCTGATTATTTGGTGATTAACTGTTTTTTGATGTATCAAACACATAAATATCAAATATCTGAGTAGATTCATTTCTCTTTCCCTCTTTCTTTCATTCTCTCTCTATCTATTACTCTCTCTCTTTCTCTCCTTTTCTCCTTCTTTTTCCACTCACTGTTTTGTGACTTTGTGTTGTTGCTGCTTGCTTGGGATAAACATTCTGGTGAACAGAAAATTTTCTTCTACTCTTATTCATTTTTTTGTTTCTTTGGATATTTATTTGTTAGTTTATTGATGTATTTTCAATCAATTAAATTGTGCTCCTCTTTGTTGAACTTGACTTTTGGATTTTCTATTGAGACCAGCTAGAATACAACAAAAATTTACAACCTCTAAAGCAATCATGAAAGCTATTGTTAGTTTGGAAGAATGCCTCAAAGATTCTCCTCATTTCAGGTAATAATTTTGCTGATTTAATTATTTTAATTTCACCTTAACTTAATAACCTTTCTACTAAATCTTATTTTTTTACCGTCAACAGGTCAATCTTAAACAAAAATGAAGATGACATTCGCAAATTGGAGGAAAAGCTTGTTAAGGTCGGTGTGACTTTTCTCTCTTTCCAATGCTAATTCATCACTTTTTTTACATTCATGTTCCTTATCCATAATTCAATCTTTATTATTAAACCATATTTGTGACTGATTGTAAACATTATCTTTGTCTCTTTTTACCTCTCTTTCCATGGTTAGGTCATCAAATCATGCCATGATATGATAGATGCGGCTGAGGTTTTCAAACGATCCGAAGGGTATTTAATTTGTTTCTTTGTTTCTCAGTCATATGAGTGACCAACGTTGAGCGAAACTTGGTGGATAATTATCTAAAATGAAATTTCCATTATCAACATCCTGTGTACACTTGTTATCACCTTTAGATTAATGACAAGCTGAGTTTTGCACCAGCGTTTATCACTTATCGCTTACGTTATGACTAAGAGCGCGTTCACAGTGACAGCAATGATTGTCTATATGTTAATTTCCTCTAGCTTGTTTTTAGCTTCCCTTTTATTTTCATCCGGTTACTTTTTGTTTCATCCTTCATAACTAATTTCATTTTTGTACTCTTGCTGTTTTTTTCTTTCTAATTCTCTTTCTACTTTTAGGGTATTCATCAATGGGTTGTTTGATTTAACCGTCTATTTCAAAGATGATGCACCAGTTTACAATACACTTTCTGAGATAAATGACACCATGAAAAAATTACTTCACTACCAAAGCATGCTAGTCGAACAAATGGATCGTGCTGTCTCCAAAAAATTATCCGATTTTGTTGATAAAAAAATACTCGAGGTTAAAAAGACCAAGCGCCATTTTGATAAAATTTCAGAATCATATGATGAAGCTTTAATCAAAAACTCACAAATACCCAAAAGTAAACCAGCTGAATGTGAAGATGTTCGTAATCTTCTGACTGCAACACGAGGCTGTTTTCAACATACTACACTTGATTACATTAGACAAATAAGTTGTCTCCAATCTCAAAAACGTTACGAAGTTCTTGACTCGGTAAGTAAAACAGCTGACATTTAAGATTTTACTCTTTGTATCAGATTAACTTACAATGTTGTTAGATTTTACTTTTTATGGTCTTATGTACGATTGTTGACTAACTGTTTTTTGTTTTTCCTCTTACTTTAGTTAATTCTCATGGTTCAAGCATATGGGACATATTTTCATCAAGGCGCCGACCTTTTGAAAGATTTTGACGTGAAAACTGTTGTGACTTCGGTAACTATCTATTCTGATAATATAATCTTGGGATAGAAAGGGAAGAGAAAAAATTACTATTGAATGAATTAGCTCATGCTTTTTGAAAGGCGAGTGAAAAAAATCACTGTCACGAATGACTTAATTCTTAACGTTATAATTAATTTTTTCTTGCCCTCTTCTTTAAAATCTAATCAATTCTGAGCTTAAATCAAGTCTTTTTTTTGTTTTGCTACAATCTCATTTCCATCGGGGTGAATTACCCTTTATATTTTTTCTCCTAGATCGAAAAAATGAAAGAAGAAACGCATACACTTCAACGGGAATTAGAACACAACCATTCCGTCGTCAACAAAATGGATAATGTTTCAAACCTTTCTAATGGAGACTCAACAAGGCCACAAGGTTATTTATTCAAAAGAACGACAAATGCGTTCAAAACATGGAATCGTCGTTGGTTCATCATAGAGGATAATAAACTAAAGTATAAGAAAAAAAGCGAAAAAGATTACTCAACAATGGAAGAAGATCTAAGACTTTGTAATGTCAAACCAGTATTCGACTGTGATCGTCGATTTTGCTTTGAAATTGTTTCACCGACCAGGTAAATCTAGCTTTCACTTTTTATTTTCTTCAGAGTTTATAATTTTCTAACTCTTCATAACCCTTCTCAACAGATATCACATACTGCAAGCCGATTCAGAAGAAGCATGTCGACTTTGGGTTGCTTCCCTTCAAGCTGGTATAGATGCTGCTTATAATGGACCCAACTCAAATGATAATTTGGAAACTAGTGATTCTATTGACTCAAGTGATACAAGTTTGAGCTCACACTCTTTAAGATCCACAGGGAATTCATCTCAAAATAATTCAGGACCACCAAAACCACCTCGCGTTCATCTGATTATCACCGGTCTTCCTGGTAATGAGATTTGTGCCGATTGTCAATCATCAGACCCCAAATGGGCAAGCGTTAATTTAGGAATAACTTTGTGCATTGAATGTTCTGGTGTACATCGATCTCTGGGTGTTCATATCTCCAAGGTTAAATCTCTAATTTTAGATGCATGGGATGCTGAACAGATCAAATTGATGTTGTCTCTGGGTAACACAGTAGTTAACTCTTTCTACGAGGAAAAAATTGACGAAACTATTGCTGTTCGACCTAACTCATCATCAAATGCTAGTGAAAGAGAGCTTTGGATAAAAGCCAAATATGTGAAGAAAGATTTTATTCTCAAATCTCTTGAATCTCAAGAAAATCTCAATGAAAAAGATACCAATCAAGAAAGCAACGAATTAAGTGAACTTTATTGCACGATTAAAGATACAGAAGAACAATTGACCAATGCTGCAGGAATTGATAATGATTCTGTCACAATTGCATCCAATCTATCACTCAAGTACAAAAATTACTTTAATTTAATGCTTTACTCAGCAGCTCGTGAGGCAAATGCTCAATTAATGTGTAAAGCCATTTGTAAAGGTGGTTTAGTTAATTGGTCTAATAATAATGATGAAGGTATGTCACCTTTACACCAATCTGTTCTCAGTGGCTCGGTGCCCTGTTGTGAATATCTTTTACTCAATGGAGCCAAATGTAACATTCAAGATAATCTGGGAAGATCTCCTCTTCATCTAGCAACAGAAAAAAGTGATACTGGGTTAGTGTTAATCTATGAGTGTAAACATTCATATTCCATATTTATATTAACATCAACATATTTATTTCAATTTACTTATCATATACTTTGTCTGTTTATTTTATATTTCACAGCATTGTGTGTCTTTTATTAAAAAGAGGAGCTGATCAAACTTTAATTGATAGAGAAGGTCGAGATGCTTTGTCCATAGCTGTTAATAATGCCAATGCTGATATTGTTACTTTGTAAGTTGAAATTATTTAAATGAAAAAAAACCATTACAATCAAGTTATTCAATCCGATTATAATTTTATTAACGCCCATCTTAAAGATTAAATTTGTCGTATTAATGCTTTATATGGACAAGTTTATTTTTGGGTCATTGCTTTGTAATTTTATCAGAAGCTTAAATGTTTTCTGATAAATTTAATAATTGAGTGACTCATTAATTCTCTCAAGTACTTCATGAACATCAATTTTCCATTTTTCTCTCCTTTGTGCCAAGATTACTCATAATTTTATATTTCTTGTCTTTTTATATCTAGATTAAGATTGGCCAAATTAAACGAAGAGATGAGAAATGACGAGTATAGTCCAGCCAGTGAGGATATTTTCAATGAAGTCGTTAGAGATTTTTCCCACAAAGCTTCAAATGATTATGAAAAACTTAAAAGACCTAACGATTGATGAACAATTAACTCGATTAATCAGCATGTTTTAAATCTTTTACCATCGAGTGATATTTTCAAATTCAACTTCAGACAGATTTGAAGGTATCAAACAACTTGATTTTGCATCTTCAAAATTGACTGTGATCATATTTTTCCATATATATTTTATTCATCAATCCATCTCATTGGAAACACAAGCAGCATATTCATGTTTTTTTTTTGAAAAGCAAAATCTATTATTTACACCTTAGCTTTCAAAACAATTATCTCAAATATACAACAGAATGATCCTGTTAATATGAAAAAGCAAGTTATCGACTGAACTTGGGGCAAGTTTCTTACATCTATTATATACTTTTATTAATTGTTTAAATTTTAGATCTGCTAAAACAAAAGTGATTAAAAGGAATCAAGCTTGGAAAACATCCTCATCATAATCTGTAAATTAATCAATTTATGAGTCATCGATTCAAGTTACATCTCTCATTTTTTACACATAAATGGATGAATTTCAATTGCTCAGAGAAAGTATTTTTAAATGAAATTAAGTGTCTATTAACATGTTAAATTGCTATATTTAACAAACGCCATACTCATAATAAAAAAGGGGAATTCAAGTATTACCAAAGGAATAATGATAATTCTTATTCCTCAACATTTATACAGAAAGCAAATAAATTATCTAATGTATTAACTTTTCTCGCCCATGTTGATCACTGAATATTATTAAATTAACTTTTCCACAAATTGCCTCAAGAGTTAATTAATCGACTGAAATAATGAAATCCTCAAAAATTCCACGAGTAAATATTAACCTTTTTTTAAAAAAGACTGGTATTCAGTCAATTGTTTATTAGGTATTAATTGACGATACATTGATATTAATTTCTTTGAGACGGTAAATAAAATGAACTCGAGTCGGTAAATAATCATTAAACAGTCATCATATGCCATTTTCACCAAGCAGCTCGAATACTTTGGCTGTTTCCAAAAATGCTGGTTACTCTCTACGAGCTTTTGTTCGCCTGTTTTTACTTTTATTGTTTCCTTGTCTAGTTGATCCTTTTGGTTCGCTTATTCCTTCATCGCCATTTTTACGAGAAGCTGGTGCGTCTTTACGACGACCTTTACCTTTCCTTCTCCTTCTGACGGAAGTGTTTTCTATTGCATTATGAGATTGAAAGTTATCAATTGATTCATTCACATTTGTCTCTCCCTCGTCATCTATATTTACATCAATATTATCATTAGTAAAGTCATCTATGATAATATTTGCTACTGAGTCTTGAGCTGAATCTGTAAGTTCATTTTCAACTGGTACACTATCGTTATTGTCATAAGTATTGTCATTATCGAGATTGGTGAACATCACATCATTTACTTGAGCTTCACCGATCAATTTGCGATTCTCTTCCATATCTTCTGGTTCATTCTCCTCTTGGTCCACCTCATCAGTCACATTAATTAAGTTATCAATGGATGATTCGTATAAATTAACCGACCCAACAGGATCATCATTGGTACAGGTTTCATCAACATCTACTTTCTCATCTTCCTTCAAGTTACTAAGATCATCAGACTCAGGCTGATCAATGTCTTCGTCATAATTTAATTCACCATCCATTAAATTAAATTCATTTTCTTCAAATTGACGCATTTCTGCCTCTCTTAAATCATCTTGATCTTCATCTGCTTCATCAGGAATCATTTCTTCCAAACAAGAATTGAAATTCAACGATGAAGCTAATACATTGATGGGATGTTGAGAAGCACTGGAATGGGAATGTTGAACATTATAAGATGAACAATATCCAGTGTTATTTGTATTTTCATGTCTAGAGTTAGAGGTAAACCGAGATCTTAGTCCAGTAGATTCTAGATTCTCAGATGAACAACCAGAATCATTGATACAGGCATCGTGGTAACGAAAGGCATACTGGTCTGTATGGTCAATCTTACAAGTTTCTGTTAACAAATGATGAGGATGTAAATTGTCAACCAATGTTGCAGATGTCGAACTGGTGGACGGGTTAGGCAGTTCAAAGATTGATGATAAAGTGGTTGATGAATAGTTTGTTGAAGATGCAGAGCTTTCTGATGATGAACCCGGAGTAACACAACAAAAACCAATGAAAAATATAACAGGAATTGCAGTGCTACAATATACACAGCCCATAACCATGGTTTCTTGTTAGTTTGTTTAATCAGTCTTTTAAACCAATTGTCTGTTTCCAGATCGTTAATTTCCTTCTTGATTTGATATGTTGCCATTGCAATGGAATCAGCAATCGCAATATCCGAGGTGATCAGAATGTTATCAAAAACTATTCCATCAGAGAGAGTCCATAGTTCGAAGGTAACAGCATCAATGGGGGCAATACTTTTATATGGATGTTTATCTTCGAAATAATCGGGATTAGGTATTTTCCTAGGCACCCATTTACCTTGGTAGGCCAGATTAGGAATTAAAGGTGGCATCCATTCACCTTTATATTTTGGGTTATCAATCATAGGCGGATTCCATGGACCACAGCCTGGAGCTGATGCACAGCGAGGGTTTTTAATCATTGGTGGACTCCAAGAGCCTTTTTCATCTTCAAAAAAGTCAAAGGAAAACAGAAGATCCGATTAAAATTCAAGAAAATTCGAGCTTGTTTTGTATTAAATTGAATATTGTATTTAAGAATTGAGTTTAATTTTTGATATTTTCAATAAAAGATTCATAAATTTTAAAAACATTGAACCCTTTATTCCCTTCTTTTCCTAAAACTTCTTCAGATATGTTTCTGCCAGTTTGGCAGTCTTAGAAATTATGATTAAGCTTTTATGATTGCAATTTAAATTGAATTTTCTTTCAAAATGCGACCTTAAACTCATTGATTAGCTAAAAAGGTTGATAACTTACCATCCGACAAATCTTCGGGTTTAACTGCATTAGGGTCTGGAATCATTAAAGCTTCGTTTTCTAACCAGCCTTTTGGTTTTCGTGCTTTTGTATCTGGTATTAGTTTAGGTTCCCCATTATCCCAGTCATCAGGTTTAACGGCATCAGGATCTGGGATTTTCTCCCTTTCATCCCAATCTTCTGGTTTAGCATCATTTGGATCATCTATTTCCAAGTCTGGATTTACAGAGGGTGAGAAGTCAGTCAATAAGGAGCCGATGGCAACAATTCGTTTATCCATTGATATTTCAAATCGATTAGATGGATTGATGGAAAGTCGAAAAAGGTGCCATTTGCCATCAATGAAAACATCAGCTAAGTTGGTTAAAGTATGAGCATCTTTCCAGTGAATTTCACGGATTTCACCCGTTTTACTGTTGATATGACTGAATATAAAATGTAACCGATGATCAGAGCCACACTTATCTGGTCCGAACATGATTGAATATCTGGATTGGTCATTTATGCGACTCAAATTACCAGATGGAGCAGATAATAGTTTAATGTAAGCTCCGCCACATTCTTGACCATTTCGAAATTGTACATCGTATTGAATGATTAAAGGAGAGCCGGTAAAATTAAACTCTTGATCCAGTTTACGCGATATTGCATGATGTTTTGATTTACTTCTCATTCTCAATCCATAATCACCTAAACACAATAAAATTAATAATGCATAACAAATAACAACAATTAATCATCAAAATCATTACAAGAATAACAGAGAAACTCTAATTGGATGCAACCATGAATCAATGCTAATACAATGAAATAGCAGGACAAATTTTCATATTTCAGTTCTGTATACTTGTCCAAAAATCATGTAAATATTGGATATTTTTTAATAATAAACCAGGAAAATTAGACTTATAAACACGTCAACAAATCATCAAAAAACCAAAACTACCCAGACACACACTTGAAACCAGAAAACAGATCAATTGAGCATTTGCAATGCATTTTTATCCACTTCTATGGACCAATTGATTTTATTGATTTGACCTAACAGACTATTAATCGATCTAACAGGCAGTCAAATTATTAAAATTAAAACATTAAATTCTTGTGGAGTGTAAGCAATCCAAATACTGACTAATATTTAAAAAATTGTATTGGATTTGGATTGAAAACCAAAGGATTTTCGGTAAGTAAGTACAAGTATCGCATGTTAGTTACCTCTGATTTTTTTGTGTGTAACCACGATATCCCAAGTACCATCATAATTAAACTCTCCATTTGGTCCTTTGTTGGATTGCGATTTATGCCAAATCTTTTTGAACCGATGAACATCATCGAAGGATTCGTATAGATACACATTTTCTTGATGAAGCTGCGGTGTTTTATATTGTACATATTCATCGATTACATTTTCACTAGCAGAAGCAGTCAGTCGATCTTTGATTGATAATTCACTTTGATCATCTGATGGACTGATACCAATGGTACATTGGAAATAGAAAAGAGTTAATAATGTTTTCGCGAGCAATGATGATATCATTTAAAACAAGGGACACTAAGCAAGGCTAGCCAATATGCGGCTAACATCTGAAGCGTGTTTATTAATTAATAACAATGAAACACTTGCAAATAGGACTTGCAATTAGAACAAATAGAAATGGCTGTAACAATTTAAATTGAAAAATTAAAGCACCTAAAGTCCATTTTGGTTGAGCATAAAAGTAGAAATAAAAACAATCGATCTCACGCAGAAGCAAAGGTACAATTCAATGGATAAAACTCACTCAATAGTCTATTCTTTCGAGTCTTTTTATTTCTGTTTCAATCAAGATTTCAGCTTCGATCCTCTTTGTCCATGGTTACCATGAGAAGACACTATTTTGCAATCTTTGTTTACACATAAGCTGAATTAAAACAGAGGTTTTCATCGGTTGTGACTAAAACAACAAAAATGAACACAACTGTGCACATTTATGCACAAACTGGCAAAACGCTGAAAGAAAAATGGACAAAAACGGGTAAAAGTTAATTTCTGCCGCATTTGTACTCTGTTGGTTTGTAGGGAAATGAATACTGAATCGATTCGTGCGATTTAAAGATTTCTCTGATGAACAGTGCTCGAGTAAAAAGGGTTCGAAGTTGAAACTTGCAAAGCTTTTTATACAATTATGGAAGCAGATTTATCCATGAAACTCATTTTCCAGAGCTAACTTTTAATGCTGAACAAGAGAATGCCATTGTTTTGATAAATAAAATTTTCTTTTCAGATTAAAACGGATAATTTCGCTTTTCAGTAAAACAGATCCCTTGCTTTGATTGTAAGAGTTAGCGAGCTTTGAATTATTATTTTCCACATGAAAATTAAAGGGTGACATCGTGGACTGAATAGTTTTTTCAATTAGCAAACGCTTCTCTAGATTTTGGCTATTGGGCCTAAAACTTTGGACCTCGATATTTCGAGATTGGTGGCACCTAAAGCCATTATTCTTTCACGTATTTAATTCTTTATTAATCAATAGTTCAATGCAATTTGAAAAATTTCTATTAGCGCATTCGTTTCCTAATTATTGGGCTTTAAATGGACAAGAAACAACTTATTTAACAAAATAAACTCATATTAACTCATATATTGGTGAATAAAGCAATTTTCTGGTTAATCATACAAATGAAATGCAAAAATTAGTGCAAAAGACTCGAACATTTGATTAAAGAGTTGAAACCTGTAAAGGTTTGTAGGGACATAAAATCTGAGTCTATTGGTGCTATCAAATAATTCTTCTGATAAATAGTTTTCGAGAAAATTGAGGTCAAATTTGAAACTTCGATCTCCTTTTCTTTAGCTATGGAAGTAGCTTTTTCCGTGAAACTCATTTTCCAGAGCTAACTTTTAATGCTGAATCAGAAAATGCACTTATTTTGATAAATAAAATTTTCGGTTCAAAATAAAACACATAAGTTCGATTTTTACTCAAACCGATCGATCTCTGTGACCGTATCACTTAGCGGGCTGAAACTTATTATTCGTTACTAAAATTTGGTTGGCTGCATCATGCATTGAATAATTTTTTCAATTTACCAACTGTTCTCTAGATTTTGGCCATTTACCTAGAAAATTTGGACCTCAATAGTTTGACAATGGCATTACCTACAATTGTCATTCTTCGCCCAATCATTAGATATTGTTATAAACTATAAAATGATATGACCGAAACCCGAAAAAATTACATCCAATTCATTTAATAATGAATGTTTTCTAACACATGATAAGTAAACATTTACTTTTGTTAATCTGGTATCAAATCTGGCGACCTAACTAATACAATGTTATAACTTAATTTCCAGTTTCTTGAATTATCTAAAATTTAAATACTATCATAATCCATAACAAGAACTAATGATTGGCCAAAGATTGATGATTTCAGGCGATGCCATTGTCGAACTATTGAGGTCTAAAGTTTTTAGGTAAATGGGCGAAATCTAGAGATCAGTTGATAAATTGTGAAAAATATTCAATGCCCGATGTGACCAAACATTTTTTATGGTTAAATAATAAGTTTCAGCTCTCTAACCACCATGGCCTCAGAGATCGATCGATTTGAGTAAAAATCAAACTTATGTGTTTTATTTTGAACCGAAAAATTTATTTATCAAAATAAGTGCATTTTCTGGTTTACAATCAAAAGTTAGCCCTGGAAAATGAGTTGCATGAAAAAATCTGCTTCCAAAGCTAAAGAAAAGACGATCGAAGTTTCAAATTTGACCTCAATTTTTTCGAAAACTATTTATCAGAAGAATTATTTGATAGCACCAATAGACTCAGATTTTACGTCTGTACAAACCTTCACAGGTTTCAACTCTTTACTCAAATGTTCGAGACTTTTGTACTACTTTTTGCATTTCATTTGAATGTCTAAACCAGAAAATTGGTTTATTAACCAAGATATTGCTTAATATGAGTTTGGTTTGCTAAATAAGTTGTTTCTTGTTCATTTACAACCAAAAAATCATGACCCGAACGGGCAAATGAAAAGTTATTAAATTGAATAGAATTAGCTATTAGAAAAGAATTAAGTTGGTGAAAGAATAATGACTGTAGGTACCTTCGATCGCGAAATATCGAGGCTTAAAGTTTTAAGGCCAATCGCTCAAATCTAGCCAACTGTTGGAATATTGCAAAAAGTATTCAAACCATGATGTGACCGCGCAATTTTTATGTACAAATAATAAGTTTCAGCTCTCTAACCAACATGGTCAAAGAGATCGATCGGTTTAAGTTAATTTCGAACTTATGTGTTTTATTTTGGACAGAAAATTTTATTATTCAAAATAATGGCATTCTCTGGTTCAGCATTAAAAGTTAGCTCTAGAAAATGAGTTTCATGGATAAATCTGCTTCCATAATTGTATAAAAAGCTTCGCAAGTTTCAACTTCGAACCCGTTTTACTCGAGAACTGTTCATCAGAGAAATCTTTAAATCGCACGAATCGATTCAGTATTCATTTCCCTACAAACCAACAGAGTCAAAATGCGGCAGAAATTAACTTTTACCCGTTTTTGCCCATTTTTCTTTCAGTGTTTTGCCAGTTTGTGCATAAATGTGCACAATTGTGTTAAGAGTGTCTTTTAGAAACAACTTTAACCAACTTAGCTGATGTTTAAATCGATGGTAAATGGCACCTTTTTCGACTCTCTATCAATCCATCCAATCGATTTGAAATATCAATGATGCCGTTAAACCTGATGACTGGGATAATGGTGAACCTAAACTAATACCAGATACAAAAGCACGAAAACCAAAAGGCTGGTTAGAAAACGAAGCTTTAATGATTCCAGACCCTAATGCAGTTAAACCCGAAGATTGGTCGGATGGTAAGTTAGCAACCTTTGTAGTTAATCAATGAGTTTAAGGTCGCATTTTGAAAGAAAATTCAATTTAAATCGCAATCATATAAGCTTAATCATAATTTCTAAGACTGCCAAACTAGCAGAAACATATCTGAAGAAGTTTTAGGAAAAGAAGGGAATAAAGGGTTCAATGTTTTTAAAATTTATGAATCTTTTATTGAAAATATCAAAAATTAAACTCAATTCTCAAATACAGTAAATTAGATTTGCAGAAAATGAATTTAATTCAATCGAGGTTCAGTTTAATTATGACGAAGACATTGATCAGCTCGACTCTGATAATCTGACAACTAGTTGTTAGTGACTTGAACGAAGATGAGAAAGTAGATGTTGGGTCGGTTAATTTATACGAATCATCCATTGATAACTTAATTAATGTTACTGACTAGGTGGACCAAGAGGAGAATGAATCAGAAGCAAATACCGTCGTAAAGCTTCTCGTAAAAATGGCGATGAAGGAATAAGCGACCCAAAAGGATCAACTAGACAAGGAAACAATAAAAGTAAAAACAGGCGAACAAAAGCTCGAAGAGAGTAACCAGCATTTTTGGAAACAGTCAAAGTATTCGAGCTGCTTGGTGAAAATGGCATATGATGACTGTTTAATGATTATTTACCAACTCGAGTTCATGAATATTACAAAAGCCAAAATATCGATGATTTACTGTTGGCCAGGTATCGATAGCTATCGATATTGTGATATATCGTGCCCATCCCTAGTGTTTATTTTGCATAAGATTCATTATTTATTTGTTTTTATGTCCTTTTTTTTGGATTATTCATGTTATCATGTAAACTCTTCTATTTAATTCCATCATCAGCCAACAATCCATGCAAAATATGTACTCATGTAAACTGTTAGCTATTATCACCATGATTTTTACTACTGCGATTTCTGGTAAGACTCTTGTTTTATTATGATCATTTTATGCATCTCTTTTTATTTGATTGGTCCATTAATTCACTCGAACTAATCTTGGATTAATCTTTTGTAAATGCTCAATATTTTTATTTCAATCAATTATAATTTTAATTTTAATACCATTCTCGATCAAGAATCTTGCTTTAATTTGTTATTCAAATCATTATAAAGCCTTTTTGAATTTACATTTCTGTACATTGATACTGTCAATGGTTCGCAGATTTTTAAGTCCGCTAGATTGGTTTGTTTCTTTCAGCTTCATTCCAGATTTATTCATATCAATGCTTGTAATTTACTCATATTTATCATCTCACATTTACGGTACTTCTCGATTTCAAGATTTTGAAATTGTTTATGTATCTATGAGATCTATAATCTGATAATTTTGTATGAGATGAGATGGTCCTTAACCTCATAGGCTTATCATTTTGAGCTCTCTGTCCTGCTCCATAGCTTTTTATATTTTAGCATATTGCATCTATCAATATCACCTAACCATTTGTTACTTTGAATGAGTTTATACTTTGAGAGTTCATGTAAGAAGCCTAATCTAGTTGAACAAACTTAACCATTCCATCGTTAATTTTATTTCCTAGTTGAGTCTACAATTTGTTTACTTTTCAAAATAACTCAAGATGGTCACCCATTGCTCATGACAAAAATTAAATAACTGGGAATAAAATATTATTTGTTTATCGCTCATTGTTTTTCTTCTCTTTTGCAGCTGACATTCCATTCAGGCAAGCTCAATTAAGTAAAATACCATTGCCCAAAATGACCGAGACCAGTGGAATCGATGATTCTTTGTATTACCCTTCATCCTCTATTCCAACAATGATCAAAGATGAACCAATGAAAAATTTTTTGTGCTCCTTATTCGGGTAAAATTTGTGAAAAATATTTAAAAGGACGTTTTGTGTATTATAATTATACTACCGATGAGACTGGATCTCTGATTTACCTCAATGAACAAATCACCGCCAGCCTTTGGTCAGAAATGGTTTCACCTTTGATGGAGCCATGCCGAGGGCCTGCTGAAGTTTTACTTTGTAATTATGCCTTTCCTTCATGTGACTATGGTAAATTACCTGTGATACCCAAACCAATTTGTCGGGAAGATTGTATAGCTGTGAAAGAATCATTTTGTTATAATCAATGGGCTTTGATTGAAGACAATAAACAACGAGGAGTTTATTTTAAAGCTCGAGGACATTTCAGACTACCTGAATGTGATTCACTGCCAAGCCATGAGAACAAGACCAAACCTGACTGTTCGAGTGCTCATTTAACTGAAATAAAACAAGAAGAAGTCACCTATAACTGTATTAAAGGTCGAGGTCGATTCTACCAAGGAACCGTTGATCGAACAAAAAGTGGAATACTTTGTCAAAGATGGGATCAACAAGAGCCGCACAATCACAATCGACCCCCGACTATCTTCGCTGAAATACAAAATGCTGAAAATCACTGTCGCAATGCAGGCGGGGAAGAGCCTCAACCTTGGTGCTACACAATTGACCCAAGGGTTCGCTGGGAACATTGTGACATACCTGTTTGTAGTAAGTTATTTTCCCAGCATTTACGGTTCCTATCTGAAATTTTGATAAAAGCTTGCTTTATAAGCTACAAGATTCACACCCTAATTAAATTAATCTTGTGAAGACCTTAGTTATCACTTTAAAGATTCAGTCCTTGATAACATCTCAATTTGTTTTTAGGCTCCCTTTTTAACCCAATAGAACCCAATCTATAGAAACAGCTGACTTTATCTAATTCTATAAAAATTTTGTTTTTTTTCTTCAACAGAGAACACAAGTAACTTGCAAATTGTTAATTCTCATCCTTCTATCATCAATTCACCTTTTCAACATTTTGCCAACTCTACTTTCACATTATTAATAAGCTCAGCAGCATTGATTGCCTTGATTTTAATGCTAGTGATTGCCGCAATTTGCTATCATATCGTTAAATATCGTCGTCGCGGGTACAATTCAAATTTAACTGACAATGTCGAGATCGATCTATACAAACTGCCGTCAAATTTTGCTTATCACTGTACAACAGTCAAACTTAATCCAAAATTAGAAGCTTTGGAGTATCCAAGGAATGATATAATTTACATTCGAGATATTGGTCAAGGAGCTTTTGGAAGAGTTTTCCAAGTAAGTTGTCATTTCTCTTGTGCCTATCTATATTATTTGTATCTTTATTCGTGATCAGCTTTTAATGAGTGTATATTTTATTCGGTTTTCAGGCTAAGGCTCCAGGAATAATCAAAGGAGAAGAGTTTACTATGGTTGCTGTCAAAATGCTCAAAGAGGAGGCTTCAGAAGATTTACAAAGTGATTTTGAAAGAGAGGCTTGTTTAATGGCTGAGTTTGATCATCCCAATATTGTCAAACTCTTGGGTGTTTGTGCGGTTGGCAAGCCAATGTGCCTACTATTTGAATACATGGGTAAAGGAGATCTCAATGAATTTCTTCGGTCTCATTCTCCTTCAAATTATATCATCAGGGGACCAGAATTGGGTTCATATCAAGATCCAATTCGACTTTCACCATTAGATCTGATTAATATAAGCGCTCAAATAGCATGTGGAATGGTCTACCTTTCTGATAGGAAATTTGTGCATCGTGATTTGGCCACACGAAATTGTCTAGTCAATGAAAATATGGTTGTTAAAATCGCAGATTTTGGACTGTCTCAGAAAATTTACATGGCCAATTATTATAAAGGAAATGATGAAGATGCTATGCCTATTCGCTGGATGCCTCTAGAATCAATTTTATTTAACAAATTCACTATCGAATCGGATGTCTGGGCTTTCGGAATAGTTCTTTGGGAAATATTTTCCTTTGCCTTACAACCATATTACGGGATGACTCATGAAGAAGTTGTGACATTTATCAAAGATGGTTATGTTTTATCTCCTCCTGAAAATACACCGGTATCAGTTTATCAATTAATGAAACTTTGTTGGAGCAAAAAGCCAAATCATCGCCCCACATTTAAAGTAATTTACAGAGCTCTGTGTACAATTTCCGAGGAACTCACTCGCAACAATTACAATGAGATTAAGCATCATTTTCCTGCTTACACCTCTCATCCATTGAAAACTCATGTTTAAATTTAACTCTAGCAAATCTATTGCCTTCACTCAAGTATACTAATGAAAGAGTTAAAGTCACTTGTTGATTTGCACAATACATTGACTATTATTGATATCATACCATGATATATACATGATATCATTTCATCGCAGCTAGAATTAGTTGCAATATGCTTAACTCTTCAACTTGCTGAAATTTTTCACAATCTCAAGCGGAAACTTTATCTAAATTAATTACCAGATTGCCCAAGATTTAAACTCTTATGGAGATAAGTTGATTGTCAACTTGGCACAAACCAAACATTTCACAATCTGCAGCAGTCAGACCTCTTCCAATGCAGTTCTGAGTATGGAATCAATTCAGCTAAATTGCTTAACAATCAATTATTAGGCCTTTGTTAAGGTGTGATCATAAAAAGATGGTACAAACTCTGAATCTTCAACTAGAAAAATTGACATCGCTACAACATCGACGCAATTGAAGCCAAAATTTGTGGAGAAGCTTCACATTGACTTTTATTTGTCATTTCAAATCGAAATAAAGCTTAATTTATTATAATTAACTGCCTATTACAATTTGAATCTAGTGCCATATTTTATTGATAACTCCTTAGACCCACTTTACTTGAACCAGAATCTACTCCAAAAGTGAACTCTAAGTGAAATCAACAATAAAGATAGCAATCGCTCTGGTGGTGATTAATTTTACAGTAAATAAGGAATGATCAAATGACCAGAAATTAACAGGTAAGAATTAGAATGAAATTAATTATTGGGAAGAAATTGATTTGATTACTGATATGATGAAAGGTATCATCCTTTTCGTTCCCAGCTATTGACTCAAGGCAAACAAGGTTCAGTTTGTCTTTTCTTGTACCTAAAGCTCACAAGCAATACAAAGCTTCTATTAGAATAAGTTCCTTGGTACTAAATGAACTCAAATTGGTACAGTAGTACCAAAAAACAAGTAGCAAACACAACAATTAACATTTAACATTCAACTTTTAGGCCTATTATTAGACTTCACCTGGTAATCTTTGCCTTGTTTATCTATGATGATCAATTATCTTTGATCTTTAATGATAACTTTGAGCAAATTGCACCGTTGGTTAACTCTATTGAATTGTACACATTTGTACTCATCATGGAGCATCAACACCTAGCATACAAAACTATTTGATCTGATTAACATCCCTTGAAGCAATTTAACATTCTAGAAGGCGGAGATTTAGACTAGTCTCAGTTTAATCTCGAATCAAATCAATCAGAAATTCATTTGAATTTTCTCTGAGATCAGTTTCACAAGATATCAAATTTCAAAGATTAGTGTTTTCACAGGATTTGGTTGTACTTTTTCACCTTTGCTAGTTTTGATACCATTCATCATTATATTGATTTTAATTGTAATTGTATTTTCAGTGAATCAAACTAAAGTAACCATTTGAGATGGACACTGTGAATAACAACGAGAACTCAGTTATCATTGTTGGTGGAGGTTTGGTAAGTTTCCGTTAATTTACACTTTTATAACAGCTCTTTAACAAATTGTCAACTAATCATACTTATAGATTAACAATTATGACAATTAGATTCTTAGAAATTGTTAAATTGTTGAAAGTAATTGAGAAGATCACAATCAAAACAGTGAAATTATCCTTGAGATTTTTAACTTTAATTTATTTTCAAATTCAATGTTGATATTCACAAGATAATCAAAGATGTTATTTGTTTGATCTGTTTTTGTTGAAACTTAAACTAAAACTGAACTGATACAGAAAGGATTTACAGTGAATGGTTTGTCAGAACTAACTGAACAGAATGAGGTTCAAGTTGTGAATGAAATTGAAATGATAAAAATAACAACAGTTTAACGTGCAATTTTCATCATTAATGTGGTGAACACCTTTAAGAGACAATTTTAATAGTTCGCAATTGAATTGTGTTAAGAGGCAAAGTCGAAGTCAAAAATCTAGGCTGAATTGGCGGCAACGCCCGAGTACCAAAGTAGATCGATTGAGGTCAAAATGAGGTGAAAGTAGACCGAGTTGTAACTTTTTAGATCACAAGCAACGTAAAAGAGGACATAAAGGTTATTTATCTAGAACAAACAGTTAAGGTGAAAGTGAATTTGGACTCATTTTACTTCTAAAAATTCCTTAATCATTATAATAATACCTTTATAATAAGCCAACAATCACACTTTTAGCTTTACTATTTTTAATCAACATCCTTTTTGTGATGTTTCAATTAATTCAAGGTAACATCCTAAATATATTGGCTTACAATTGAGACACACAAAGGGAGGATCAGCTGAAGGTATAAAGGTGATGAAGGGAAGACTCCAGTAGGAGTAAGAGTAGGAGGTGAAAGAGTAGTTGAACCAGGTTAAGATTGAAAAATGGTTTAACCAAAAAGGTGGTTCATTTTGTTAATTTACTTGATCATCTACCTGATGATTATTACCATGAAGGCGTTTTTATTTAGTTGACTGGTTAACCAGTTTTTTTATTTGTGTCCAATTTAATTTTAATCGTACTCATTGTTATTGGTGTCGACCGGTCATTGTGTTTACCTTGTTAGGCCAACTTTAGGTCATTAATTTAAAATGACCTTAACTTACTGACTGACTGACTCTTCAACCTGACATACTTATTAATTTGTATGATACAGAAATACAATCTTGTACTAATCGATCTGATTGAACAAAAGATGGTTAAAAAGGCCCTGGTTTACATAAAGTTTACCGTTCTGGTTTAGTTTTTATTGTTTAAATGTTGGTGTTAATAGAGCGATGATCTGAGATGAAGTGTTAGTGGCCTGAGTTGGCCTAATATACCACGATAATGATTAACTTGATTATGATGAACATACAATAAATATTGTTAATTGTTTTACCTTTCTGTTTTTGTTTGTAAATTTTTCAAATTGATTTGCTCTATTAACTATTCATTTATATTTATAAACATTTGTCATGTTATTTTTATCCGTAACCATGATCAGATTTATGTTCAATTACGGGTTAACTTATTAAATGGTGTCTTCCTCAGTCATCGACATAGATCTCAATTAAGTTAATCGACCTCCTTTGATTAACTAACCTCTCATTTTTGGGTTTCACCTTCGACTTACTTTCAGTATTTTGGACTATTATCCTAATTCATTGTTCATCTTTTTGAGCACACGATCCCAATCAAAGTCTATGAACCTTACCCTGACATAATCCAATTTTTCTTACTAATTTTAAGCCATTTCGACCTCTTCCTAACTCAATGAACTATTTTACTTTTTACCTGGTTATTCGTCAGCTGTTTATATATCATATTTAGGTAACTATACCAGGACAAAGTTTACCTTCTTCTTCCTCCTTCTCATCTTTTAGGTCTTTACTTTCACTTGTTACCTTATTATTTTATTTAACTTTAAACCAATTGTACTAATTTTAATTGTATGAACTGTTTACCCAGATTAACACCATTACGAGTCAAGGTTAGTAGTACAATGTTCACTATTAACACCAATATCTAAATATTTATCCGTCTTGACATTGAACCATATTGAGGCTGAGTTCATGGAAACTTGCACTTTCATCTGTTGATCTCAATTTGACAATTTCAATCAGTTATTTCCTTATTTTATTTCAATATTTTTACATGATTTATATTATTATTTTTATATTGATATCATTATATTGAGAAATATTATTATCTCTTATTCATTATAATCATAACTCATTAAAACAGGTGGTTACTCTTGATAACAATTAACCGTTTACATTGACATTGACATATTATTGAATAACAATATTGATGATACCTATGTATCTGTACACAGTAATTATACTCTAGATCTAATAAGATTGGAAAATTCTGAGATGAAGACAAACCAGAAGTTAATTACTTTGACAATTTCCACTCGAGCAATTACAAATTTAACATTAACAATCATAGTAACAACGGTTTCAATGATACTCAACTGGATACAGTTAGTAAATTGAATGGATCACATAGATGCTGCTGGTCAAACTCTAGTTACGAGTTGGATTTGTTGAAATTTAAAGATGAACTCAATTATTTTTCTGAATCCCAAGTTTTGTATATCATTTTCATCATTGAAATTTCTATCTATCTAAAGATTTACAAGATCAGGGATGAATTGCTCAAGCCATAAAATAAATTCATAATAACATTATAAAGATTAATCTAATCTGGTGTTTAATAAAATGACGCGAAAAATATAATCTAAAGATGAATTTCATGAATAATGATATTATTTGATTGAAACATTGAAATCAGAGGCTGTGTTGTTACATTTTAAATAATGATTTATTGATTAGACTCTACAATAACTTGATTTTAGTTCAAAAAAGCCATTGTCAAACTTGCAAGAGATAAGATGCCCTTTGATAAGTTGCTTGAAATTGATTTAAGTTTAATCTGGTCAAGTTGGTCAAAGAGTAAAGGATCATTTTGCTTTGCAATTAAATTCAAAAGTTAATTTTTCATTGGCGAGAGTTTATTTGCAAGATTTAAATGTGCTCGAGGCATGTTCATCATTATCATTTGTTCACAATCAGTAAATTGAAAACAATTGGTTTGACATTTATGTATTTGCAGCAAAAGCTTAGCCAAGTATCAATGGGAGTACCTTTGCTTCAATGTTGAAACGATTAGTTAACTTTTTTTCCACTTAATCAAATTTAACCATTTAAGATTAATGATTATTAAAACAAATGAGATGATTGCCAGTGGCGAAGCTTGTGTTAATTTTATCAAACTAATATTTCCAGGTTAAGCTGTGTTGTCTTTATTGGTATTAATATTTTAAGTCTTCAGTGAATTACATCTTTAGTTCTTAAACGGTTATTTTGGTAATTTTATTGCTCTTTTGTTTTACCCATTCATTTAAACGTATAATTTTGCTTGATTATTGTGCTTAAAGTATTTAAATCATGGATTCTTCAAGATTAAATGGAAAAAATTCGATCTCATCAAACAGATCTGATCGTCCAATTTGTATTGTCGGTGGTGGTTTGGTATGTTTCTTGTTAAATAACATCTTAAGATAGATTTTAGCTTTTTGATTGTGATTAGCTCTTATTTACTTCTGTCATTTTGATTCTTGTTTAATTGTTCACATTTTTAATCATATCTATCTGTCTTTATATCAGGTTGGATCAATGGCTGCCTGTACCTTAGCTAAGCGTGGATATCAAGTTAAACTTTACGAGATGCGAGAAGATATCCGAAAAATGGAGGTTGTCAGAGGGAAATCTATCAATTTAGCTTTATCGGAACGTGGTAGAAGTGCTTTTCGCTTGCTTGGACTGGAGGATGAAATGCTCAACAATTATGCCATTCCGATGAAAGGAAGAATGATTCATGAAACCAGTGGACGTAAACGCTTTATTCCTTATGGACGGGAAGATCAAGCCATTTATTCAATTAGTCGTCGTCATCTAAATGAAGCGCTTCTAAATTTTGCCGAGAAAATGCAAAATATTGAAATTCACTTTTCTCACAAATTGGTTAACTGTAATTTAGATAAAGGAGAATTGGAATTCAAAGATTTAAATACTAAATCAACCAAATCTGATGAAGCTTCGGTCATCATTGGTTGTGATGGTGCGCATTCAAAAGTACGCTTAGAACTCATGAAAAGAACGAGATTGAATTTTTCACAAACCTACATTGACCATGGTTATCTTGAATTATGTATTCAGCCAGACCCAATAACTGGTAATCACGCACTAGAAGTTAATTATCTTCATATTTGGCCCAGAGGAACATTTATGATGATTGCTTTGCCCAATCTCGATAAGACTTATACAGTCACATTGTTTATGCCTTTTCGCCAATTTAAAGCCATCAAAACACCAGAAAAACTCATTGATTTCTTCACTACCTACTTCCCTGATTCAATTCCTTTGATTGGAAGGTGAGTAATTGTGATTCAATCCTTCATCTGGTTATTAATCAACATTTATATTATTGTCTTGCAGAGAAAATTTGATCAAAACATTTTTCGATGTTGGGCCAAGTCCTCTTATATCTGTCAAGTGTGATCCTTATCATTATAAAGATAGAGCTTTGATTATTGGTGATGCTGCTCATGCCATGGTTCCTTTTTATGGACAAGGAATGAACTGCGTAAGCATATTTACCTCTACCTTTGAATTTACCAAAATTATATAATAATTGTGTAATTAATCCAATTCTATTCCATCTATCTCATAGGGTTTTGAAGATGTAACCATTTTAAACGAATTGCTGAATGAAAGTCACTTACCCCAGTCATTGGCCAAATTTAGTGCAATCAGGGTTAAGGATGGTCATGCAATTTGTGAACTTGCTTTGTACAATTACATCGAGATGAGAGATTTGGTTAATTCTCGATTATTCCTGCTTCGCAAACGATTTGATAATATTCTCAATTTCCTAATGCCAAATTATTGGGCTCCGCTTTACTCTATGGTCACCTTTTCAAGAACTCCTTACTCGCAATGTATAGCTGCTAAACAACGCCAAGATAAAGTAATCACATTCACAACAGCTATCCTTTCAACGACTGGACTTTTTGGACTCATTTATCTTATTAATAAACCAACGCGGCTAGAAAAGTCCATTGGTCTTATAAACTCAGCAACGAGTCATATACTATCTTATAAGCCTAACTTTGGTAAAATTTGGTAAAAATTGCCAATTCACTTAAAAGTAGCGAAATTATTTTGAGATTATCTTTAAACATCGCAATTGTCCAATTTAAAACAAGCTATTTTTTAAAATTGGTCGCCATTTGAAACAAATGCTGTCTTTTATGACTTTGTCACATTGAGGGTTATAAATTAAGAATGTATCAAGATTTTTTATAAATGTCTTGATAAAGTTACCCAAAATTGTCTTCCCATGTATTTGTATGCATAATTTTTAATGACTTTATTAGATAATCATTTACTTCTTACATCTGTTTATTTCAACTGTATAGCTTAATTTATTGCAGCTTGCAACTTTTCCAAATAGTTTCAATTTATAATTAAATAATGACTTAATTGTTAGAAACATTAATAACTAGAGAAGGTCTGATTAATCACCGATATTATTACGATTATTGTAATACATTGTAGTCATTAAAGACTGGTCTGGAGGTCTGTTTCAGAACTGATGAATTTTCATTGATTGGTTTATCAAGAGCATTTCTGAACAAATGTGAGACATTTACTACACATTGAGTACAAAAAGGGAACGTTACTTTTGAGTACCTGAATAAGTCTGACATTAGCTCACATAAAAGTTCAAGACAATATATTTGCACTTATCTGTAATAAATTACTATGAAATTGCTGATTATTGATCTCTTTGTGCTAAAAAAATTGAAAAAATTCTACTGCTATGTTTAATAGCATCTATATTTACATAGCAGGTGAAATTTATTGCCAATAATCAATGCCAATCAAGATTGATACAGATTTTGCCGATGAAGGTTGAAGATATCATTAGAAATGCAAGCGGATAACAAAGAATGACAAAAGACGAATTGAAGATTCCGCAAAAAGATTGCTTTATTATAATTTATAATAATCCGATTGGTAATTAATTGATAGACAATATATTTTTTGAATTTGAAAAAAAAGTCTCTCAGACTGAAAGCCATTAAGCTGATTTTGGTAAGGAAATTCATTATGGAAAAATGTATTTTGATCTGTTCATCGATTAGGCATAAATTTATTATTGTAATCAATCGATATTTTCGCCCAACGATCATTAAATATCAAATTTTACCCAAAAGGTTAACTCAATTGATTGCTTTTTTTCGTGTTTGTTATAAAATACCATTTTTTTAAAGATGGCGGTAGTTAAATCATAGCTCTAATGCTTAGAGATTGCGTTGTTATGCATAACACGTAAAATGTATACGAACTGATAATGAAAAATTATAGAAAGCCTTTTATTTTACAATAAAGTTAAACTATTTCCCTGAAACATTAATTCTAATGATAGACAGTTATTATTAGATTACTGTTGGTCATTACGAAATCTTAAAAGGAGGACAGCTTTACATTTTACCTGTGCTCCTTTAACTGACCCGTTATTTTATTGGTCAATTATTTTCTGTGATCTTTACCTTGTTTACCTTGTTTAACATTGTAATCCAAATTAAAGAAATCTGGTTAATCTGTTTAACTTATTGTTTTCTTGACATATTGTGCCTTAACACAAATCATCTGCAGTTGAATAATCGCATCGTCATCATCTCGTTTCCAATAGATTTACAAGTCAACTTAAACCAGCTAACACAAAAATTACATTTGCTATCAAGACTCATTGACTAACATTTACCACTAACGAGCTGTTGTGATTAAAAGTAGAGGGGAAAAGACTAGAGGAAAAAGAAGGAGAAAGGAAAACGCAACCGAGTTTCAAGCCTCTTTCACCAACGTTTGTTTATCAGCTCCTACAATCTCTTAATTTTTTTTCATCATCTATTGCAATTGAGTCTACAAGATCAGTACTATTGTACCTCCCTAAGGATAAATAGTTAAATAGTTAAATGAGAAGAGCTTTTATAACTCTTTCACCTCTACTAGTTAATGCATTAGTTAAACAGCGGTCCAAAAGATTGATTCAATTACTTGGTGTACCTCTTATTAAACCCTTGGTCCGACCTTTTAGCTCTATCAATTCAACCAACAATCCGCCTGTGAGAGCCATGCCGCCAATAGGTTTATCCTTTCAATACAAGAAATTAATCGATGAAACCATTGAAACTAATAGAGCTGTTATATTTGGTGATCCTTCGTCCGAGGAAGTGACAAAGGTGATTATTTTTCGTCCGGTCTATTTGTTTCTTATTCAAGTGACTAAAGCGTCTTGAAGATTTTTCTTTTCTCGTTTATTCTTTGTTTACTTTGTTCTCTATTTTTTTAAATACTAATGTCTTTTTGATCTTTACATTTCTTCTTCAAGATTAAAGAAGTCTTTGGCCAATTAGGCTCTGATTACCATGTCTTTGGAATAGATACCGTTGCCGATCCCCAAACATTCAACGATCTACTGCAATCCAAAGCCCCTCATGGCCGAGTTCCTTTGGTTTTTGCAATGGGTAAACCAATCGGAGGTTACGAAGATGTTGTAAAATCTTTTGAATCTGGAGACTTAGGTCGATTACTTAAACCTCACCCATATGATTATGACTTAATTGTTATTGGAGGAGGATCTGGAGGTCTTGCTGCCTCAAAGGTTAGACAGTTTTTTCTAATTTATCAATATATATGTTCATTTGTCTTCATAGTACTAACCCTTCATTTACTTTCATTAGCTATTATTTTTTATCGATTAGAAAATATGTTTCCCTTTTTATCACCCTGTTCTTAACATACCCTTTCTCTCTATCTCTCTCTTCCTGTTTTAAATTTAGTTTCAATATTTTAAAATCTATTTTGTGCATTGGGTTTATTTTTCAACTCAAAATTGAAATGTCAAAACTGTGTTCGATCTATTTTTGCTACCTATTCAGTTCTTGTTCAATTTAGGCGATCGCTGATCGATTTTTAGATTTTCATTGGTATTTGAAAATGAATTGGGAAATTGTCATTTTCGATGACTATTGATTAGCTGTACTTGTGTAGCCTTGGAAAAATATTCATTCAGGTCTTTTGCATTGATTTCAGATTGCGTCAAACTATTGTATCTTTTAATTGTTCATAGATTATAAAACTATATTTTCATTTTATTTCAGGAAGCAGCTCGTTTAGGACAAAAAGTTAGCTTATTGGATTTCGTTACTCCGTCTCCTATTGGAACTACATGGGGTTTGGGTGGAACCTGTGTTAATGTCGGATGTATTCCCAAAAAATTAATGCATCAGTCAGCTCTTGTTGCTGAAACTTTACATGTTGCTTATGAATGGGGTTTTGCTGAACAAAGATTAGAGCTCAATCACTTTTGGAATCGACTCGTTCAAAATATCCAGAATGTTGTCAAAGGATCTAATTTTACTTATAGAGTTGCACTCAGAAACTCAAATGTTAAATACATTAATGCTTATGGTACTTTTGAGGATGAGCATAAAATCAAAGTGAGTAATCTTTCATGTTTCACAGCATGTTACATTAGAGTTACCTTTGATTTGACAGCATTTCAATGATCTAATTCAATTAGAGGACATTAAAATGGATTTTCTTTTCATCTTTCCTGTAATTTGAATCACTTGCTATTGGCTAGATCATCGAAATTCTTTCAAGTCAATAATTGTCCTACTGTATTTATATTTTATCTCTAATTTACTGAATATTTTTGCTTTTCAGCTCACAGATAAATCTGGTAATGAATCTTATCTGACTTCAAACAATTTTCTCATTGCTACTGGTGAGAGACCTCGTTATCCTGATATTCCCGGTGCAATTGAATATTGTATTACTAGTGATGATTTGTTCAGCCTGCCTTATCATCCTCAAAAAACTTTAGTTGTTGGTGCATCTTATGTAGCTCTTGAATGTGCTGGTTTTCTCAGATCTTTGGGTGTCGATGTTACTGTTATGGTACGATCTGTTCTTCTTCGAGGTTTTGACTCTGAAATGGCTGAGAAAGTTGGTCAGTACATGCAAGATGAAATAAAAGTGAAGTTTCTCCGTCCATGTGTTCCCCTAGAGATTGAAGAACGCACCCCTCGCAGTCAAACTCAGGCTGGAGTTTTAGGTGTTAAGGCTCAACTCACTGATGAAGGAACTATTTTCACTGAAGAATTTAATACTGTTATTTTTGCGGTTGGACGTAAGCCTTGTACCGATAAAATCGGTTTAGATAAGATTGGTGTTGAAGTTGACAAAAGAGGAAAGATTCCATGTGTTAATGAACAAACAAACGTTCCAAACGTTTATGCAGTTGGTGACATTGTCCAAGACAAACCTGAATTAACTCCAGTTGCAATAAAAGCAGGTATTTTGTTAGCTCGTCGTTTAGCTGGGGTCAGTGATGAATTATGTGATTATTCAAGTGTAGCAACAACTGTTTTTACTCCCTTGGAGTATGGTTGTTGTGGTTTATCTGAAGAGAAAGCTATTGAACTTTATGGTGAAGAAAATATTGAGGTTTATGTTCAACACTTCACTCCAACCGAATGGTCAGTAGCACAAAAACCAAAGAATATTTGCTACGCTAAAGTGATAACTCTTCTAACTGAAAACGAAAGAATCCTTGGTTTCCATTACTTAGGACCTAATGCCGGTGAGGTTACTCAATTCACATCTTTAGCATTGAAAAAGAATTGCACTAAGGCAGAATTAGACTCTATGATTGGTATTCACCCAACTAATGCTGAGGTAAGTTCAAAAACAAATCTATTTATGTTCAATCATTTTCAATCTGTTTTTTTTGTTTTCAATTTAGGTATTCGTGTATCTGACTGTCACAAAGAGAAGTGGAAAATCATCGTTACAGGCTGGTTGCTGTGGTTAATATTTCAATTTTAATTGTAATTTCGTAAAAAAAAGACCTGTAACCTAGTAATGCTTTTTAAGTTTAAAAATAAATAAAGTTTTGTTTTATTGATGGATCAATCAATTGTAATGATCGGAAAATCAAATATTCAGATCTAGATCAGAGATTAATTGAATTACGTAATTTTCAGTGCAAACTCACTGAATTTTTGTTACCATTGGCAAATGAAGTAGTCAGATCAGATTATAAATCATTTGAATAATAAGTTTATTTATCTTCAAGCAACAAAGCATTGGTATTAGACAAAACAAAATCTTATATTGTTAATCTTGGCCTTAATATATGCTGTATGTATCAGGATCAGATGAAAGTTGGATGAGCAAATAAAAAACGAGCTTAGGAATGTACCCAAGATATTTATATTTAATGAACAGAATATCCCATTCTCAACTTATTATCTGTGCGAGAATCTAAGAAGGTCAACGTCAATTGCTTTAACGGCCTTTGAATGACGAGCATAAGTTGCTGGCAAGTCATAAGAAAATTGTCCCAATACTTCGACTTTAGCGCCCAATTGCTCTCCCTTTTTTACTATGAACTGGAAGAAAAATTAGAAAGAAGTAAACAATTAGAATATTTTATTCGTAACCTGTAGGCCATGTACTTACCGATCTTGTAGATGATTTGTGCAACGAATAAACGGCGACTTTAGTCAAATCTAAAGCAGCTTTGATGAATGAAACATCAATACCTGAGTTACCTTTGGTACCAAAAGGAGGATTGAAAATGGCTACATCAAAACTTTTAGGTTTGAGCACACATTTTGTGACATCGCTTTCAACAAAATCGATGGGCGGTTGACCAACAAAAAGTTCATCCAAGTCGGCTAAATTTGATAATGCAATTTGAAAAACACTGGAATCAATATCGACTCCAACTACATAATGGGCTCCAAGTAAAGCTGAACCAATTGCTAAAATACCAGGACCGGTTCCTAGATCAACAATCATTTTACCCTCAATATGATTGCTCAGTGAAATCGTATGAAGCATTCGTGCAGCAACATAGCTAGGCGTAACATATTGTTCGTATCGGATATTTGGGTCTGAAAATCCTTCCAGGTCATCTAAAATTGATTCCAAGCGTTTCAAATTCATTTCTCGTACATTTGGTTGAATAAGTGATGAGCAAAATAAATGTTCACCCTAAAAACTTTAAAGGATCAGATTTTTGATATAAATTTAACTCATTATTTACTTACCAAAGAAAATATTAAGGTACGACAATTAGTTAGCAGAACAAGGTTAAAATTTTACTCAGGATTAAGACTAATCAAAGTGATGAGCTGCATAATTTCCTAGACGGAAAGAAAACACCACATATGTTTACATCTTTTAGCGCCACTTTTTAAATATGGCATAATTGGCATTGTAAATGATCATTTTGATAAATTAGATTAGGAAAGAGATTATTTACGAGATTTTAGTTCTATTAATTATTGGGTTATTAGTTATTACATAAAAACAGAAAGAGCTTCTTCGTCTAGGATGGTTTGCTCCAACAAGTATCTTTGAGACACGCAAGTTTAACAAATTTGTAAAATATATGGAAAAAACATGTTTATTGTGATACATTAAGAATGTTGGCCTCAATCCTATCAGGCTTCCAATTTGATTAATTTTTCTTCAGAGTTTAGAGATCAAAGAATAAGGTAGATCAACTGTTCTGTTGATTTTTCTTGGTTTTCCTCAGCAACTGATGATGACTCGATGGGATGTATTTTATGCAAATGTTTATGAAGATTTGATGTTCCATGTGAACAATTGAACAATTTCCTGCATAAAAGACAATTTGCTTGAGTTCCATTGGCTTGTTTAATGAAATATTTCCAAATGTTACTACGTTGAGTAGACTTTTTGCTCATTTTCCTTGGAGATGGAGCTGGGGCAATAGTATCACGCAAATAATCATGATCCATGGCTACCTGAGTGAATCAAGAATGGAGGTCATCAAATGAACAGAGTAAATATAAAATGGTACAGAAATTTTAAAAATTAGAACCAAACAAGATAATGAATTTGTTTATTTTCAACTTACTTATTGTCTGTTGATGAGTGTAAAAATAAAATAAACGCAAAAAGGTTTAAGAATCAGTAACGCCATCTTCAGAGTATTCCAACATGTAAAATTTTTTCCCGATTTTAATTTGTTTTTTAAATGTCAACTTGTAATAAAATAAATAGTTTTATTAAATCAATGAATTTTTAACTTTAATTTTCGATTGCTTTAATAGATTGTTCGCCCTTCAACTTTTCACGAATCAATTCTGCCATCGCTCTTTTTGTCCTCCTTTCAAGTTTATCCAACTTTTTTGCGATGTTTCTTTTCAAGTCCCAATCAATTTTTCTAGGAGTCAAATTATTCAAATCAATTGTTTCAGCGACAGGTTGTGGTTTAGCTGCTTCTAATTGATCTTTAATCAAATCTTCAACAGATGCTAGTTTTCCAGTTTCAGCTTTAATCACTGCCAAACTTTCATCGTGAGGATTATAGTTTCTAAATTTTGGTTTTGGTAAAACATTTTCTTTGGATTGTTCACCGGATTGAGTATCTTTGGTAGCACTTTTAGATTTCCATGCCATTAGTCTTTCTTTCCGTCTTTTTGCTTCGTCCTCAAGCGAACCCACAACAGTTTCATCAGCCATTGGTTCCTCCGAAGGCTCCTCCATTGGTTGATCCATTGCTAAATGAAAAAAATCACTCTTGATGTTCAATCAACAGTACAAAGCAAGCAAAAAAGGAATCTTAATTGATAATTCAATTTTTGCAAAAATAAAAGATCATAAATAACTGAATCAATATTTAATAAAGGTAAGTTTCACATCACAATTTCAAAATTGGTTCAAAAAACTTCAAGATTTGAAATCTCAGCTGTAATAGGCAGATCAATTTTGAAATTTATCCAATCAATAGTCAAATGATGTCAATATTCAACATCGATGGTTTATTTTACGTGAGTTTTTTATGCTATTCTCACAGCAATCTGATTTAAAGAGATAGAAAGTAAATGAGAAAGAGAAAAAGAAAAAAGAAAGAGATTGATTGGTCGAAAGTTGGTTTTTAACTGTAAGCTGCTTTCTGTATTTGTATTAACAATTAAACTAATCATTCCTTCCTTCTGACTCAGTTCAATTCTAACCTTATCCTTATTCTGAGTGTTGATTTATTCAATCATTTCTACTATTCAGCGCTTGTTTGAGCAACCTTTTTAATTTTTTGCTTCTTGATTAATATCATCTTTCTTTTTTTCTGTCACTTCCTTGCCTTTCCTTTCCTTCTGGTTCTTTCTCTCCTGACTGTTCATTAAAATCACCTTTTTTTCTCGTCTCTCTGTTTATCTTCTTAAAAGAGTGTTTTTCGGATCTATTGTTTACAAATCTATCTTTTTGGTGATTTAACCTCTATAATCTTGGTGACTCCGTTTTACATCATCTACATCAGTTCACTCATATTTTAAACATGGCTGAAAGTGAAGACAGAAGTCACAGTGACGATGAGTCTCCTAAAATTAAATTGGTTGTTAAAACCCCTATGGATAAAGATACCGTTGAAATTGAGGAAGATGCTTCCATCAAGCGAGTAAGTTAATTATGTCACTGTTTAGAGTTTACCATAGTCACTAATATTTGTAATCTGTTCTCTTTTTTCTCAATTAGTTGCGAGAGATAGTTGCTCAACGATTTAAGGTTGAAGAGGAGCAAGTTTGCTTAATTTTCGCTGGCAAAATATTGAAGGATCATGAAACACTGGAACAGCACAGTTAGTAAAACTTCAGCTTCTCATTCAGCTACTTTAAACCCCCTTTAAAACCATTATGTTGCTATTAATCGTTTATTCTTATTTATTTGCACATTATAGAAATTAAAGATGGGTTGACAATTCATTTGGTTACTAGAGCTAAAAAGGTTAGTCTCAATCTTCATTAATTAGTGTAATGTAATAACCGACTCTTCATTTTATTTTCAGAGTAATGATGGGTCATCTACATCGAATCAATCTTCAGGCTCTAAAACTTCTTCTGGTTCAGCATCCAATAACCCTTCAGGACCCACACCTTCCTTATTTCCCGGATTTGATTTCCCAAATCTAGGAAATCTTGGAAATCTTGGGAATCTTGGAAATCTAGGAAATCTAGGAAATAATGGAAATATGTCTCAAACATTACTACAAATGCAACAAAATCTCCAACAAGAGGTATATTTACAATTTTTTTATATCTTTAGACTTTCATTTTGCGTTCAAATGCACTTTTTAATCTTTTCTCTTCACGTTTTTATAATCCTTCTCATAACATAATTTTTGTATTTTCTTTTCTTTACTGCCTTATTATGGACCTTGCCGATCATTAGCTTATGTCTAATCCTGATATGATGCGTTCACTTATTGATAGCCCTATGTTCCAAGATTTGATTTCTCACCCAGACTACATTCGATCCGTTTTACGGAGTAATCCAACTACTCAAGCATTAATGGAAAGGAATCCTGAAATCAGTCACATGTTAAACAATCCAGAGGTTATACGTCAAGCTATGGAAACTATTAGGAACCCAGCAGCTTTCCAAGAACTGATGAGAACACAAGACCGCGCTCTTAGCAACATTGAATCATTACCCGGGGGCTTTGATGCTCTCCGACGAATGTATACCGAATTTCAGGAACCTATGTTAACTGCAGCTACAGAACACATTACTGGGGGAAATCCATTCGCATTCAACAGTGAGAATCGAGAAAATTCCCAATCATCCCAAACTGGAGTTGAAAATAGAGATCCTTTACCAAACCCATGGGCACCCAGGGGTTCTACAACTGGCACAGGACAAACTACCGGTATGTTATTCGATCGCTTGTATCTATGAGTTTAGTTTATAGGCTATTACATTTTCTAGTTTTCATAATGATGCAATAGTTGATGAGTCATGAACCTGTTTCTTTATCTAAAGAGACATAATTTGATTTTAAGTTTATTATTGCCATTTAACTTTTATTTCTTCGTTATCCTGTCTATTTTCTGATTTTTTCCTTAACCAATGTCATTCAATTTGAAAAGGCTTTGTGTTATTTCTGATTGATTGGTAACATGATTATTTTTTCTCACCAATAGTCCTGGGTGATTTCTTTGAATTTAAATATTAAATCGAGAAAAATGAAGAATATCCTTGATTAAAGCATATTCAAGACTATTTCCAATGCTATATGGCTTGATGAAATATGAGCTACAGATTTCATTAAAAATCATGCTGTATTGTTTATCTTCTCTTGGATGATTTTTCATTACCTCATTAGTTTTCATTACTTCGCTTGAATACAAAATTTTAGATGAAAGGATTAAGGAATGATTATCTAAATTTTCTTGTCCAGAATTTAATTTCTGCATTCTTGAGTGCTTTTCTCTGCTCTTATTTTTACCATTTTCAGTGAATTTTATACAAACTTTCCTGTTACTCTTAATCGACAAAATCAATACCTTCGGGCTTCGATGAAACGGTAAATCTGCATTTTTATCTGTCGCAAGCACTTTACAATTAGCAACGAATCATGTCCTCGCACAACCAGCAGTTCGAAAAAAATCATTAAAATTGTCCTATTTTAATTATTTTCAGTGACTTTGGACAATCAAGCATTTTCACCCTCCTAATTTATCATGAATTATCCAGTAGATTATCATGAATAGCTTATTCATACCTCAGTTTTCTTCCTCCCTATTTGCACTCTCGATATCCTTGTTAAATTTTCTCTCTAACAATGAACGAATTGGATAGAACAGTAAATTTTCATTCATAAAGTCACACACTTTTGATATTCACTTACATGTAGTTGTTTCAAGACTGATTTTTACTTTAATTTAAGTAGGTCAAACGTCCTCCATATAGTTAAATATTTCGTCAGGTCATAAGAACTGGCGATTGGTATTACAATTTGTTGAAGCATTTTTTATAATTTTTTCGCAATTTGACAGTTTGATTTGATCGCTTTTCAAATTCTCTTAAACAGCTTTCACAATTCAATATCATCAGTTTACTTCTCCGATTTCTTCATTACCACATTATATGTAATCATTACTCTAATCGCAATAATGAAACTGCGTCATAAATTAAACACTCAATGCCTCAACAAATACAACTTACAGACCCTAATGATAAGTTTTGAGACTAATCATTTTAAAACGTTAAACTATCACTTTCGAAGTTTAAAATTTTACCAATTTACTCGCATTGATTAGAAAGTTGATCAGAGAGTTTCTTCTAAACATTGCAAAAACATCTTAAAGGTTAAGGATAACTCGATTAATATTCATTTTATTAAAATTGGTACAAAGTTTACACTCCAACTCTTTCGCTCGAGTCCAACTGATTTCTTTCACGCAATTCAGTGCTTATCCTTGAAACAGCTCTTGATTTTTCCAATCGTATACTAATACCGAATTTTTGGTTTATCATAAATTGAAGGATAAATTAAACATTGACTCGTTCAAAAGACATCCTGTTGAGTACTCAAAATATTTCTCATTTTTTTTATCGTTTTATGCCGATTTCCGTTCAAATTTAGATCAATTTTTAATATGCGATTTTTTTCTTGTTTCCTTAGGTACTACTCCACCTACTGATAACACTACTCCATCTAGTGCAGGACCATTCAATATTCCAGGAATGCCAAATTTGATGGCGCAAATGAGGGACAATAGCTCAATGATGGAGACTTTAACACAATCCCCTTTTATGCGTCAAATGATGAGTCATATGGTTTCCAATCCTGATATGCTTCAACAAATGATGTCAATGAATCCCTTACTTGCCAATAATCCGCAACTTATGGATCAGATTCGTCAAACCGCTCCACAAATGGTACAGAGAATGCAAAGTCCAGAGTTCCAACAACTATTGACCAATCCTCAAGCCCTAGAAGCCTTGATGAATATTCAACGAGGGATGGAACAGTTACAAAGAATTGCTCCCGGAGCTCTTTCTGGAATGTACGTCTATTATATCACCTTTTGATTGTATCTGCCAATCAGTTGAGGCTTTTATTCACCATTTATGTTATTGATTCTTTATATTCTTATCTCAAAAATCTTTTTATCGATTGTTGCATTTTATTTTCATTGACTATTTTGTTCAATTTTTCATGATTTTCAATCATACTTATCGATTAATTTATTTTATTTATTTTTCTACTCTAGGATGGGAGGCAATCCTCTTGGTAATTTAAGCTGTCCTCCGTCAACTACTGCGACTACGACTACACCTGCATCACCTGTTTCAACCTCTACTGCAACTTCGGAAACCAATACATCGACAACAACTACGGCTGGTTCTAATATTAACAATACCACTGCGTCAACGGTTGGAGCATTATCTCAATTAATGGCACAAATGTTGACTTCTCAATCGAGCCAATCAACTAACCAACAAGCCCCTGAAGAAAGATACAGAAATCAATTGGAGCAATTATCATCCATGGGATTTACCAATAGAGAGGTCAATCTACAAGCCCTAATAGCTACTTTTGGTGATGTCAATGCTGCAGTTGAGAGACTTCTTCAATCACGCCCATGAAAAAGCAAAAAATATCATAAAGTGTTAAAGCAAACTAAAATATCAAACAATATATATAAACCTTTTCAGCCTCATCAATTTATATGGAAAGAAAAAAGTATATAAGTATAAATATTATAAATATACGTGCGATACAAAGAATACGTTGCAAATAACACAAAAGAAATAGCTTAATACGAAAAAAAAGATAATTGAAAATTAAGGTGACAAGCAAGTTAATAAGTTACAAATTGAATGAACTCACAAGTCTAGTTTCCCTGTTTTTCCGTTTCAAACTGACTCTTCAAGGAACTTTAACCCTGATGTTGAATTTTTCATAGTGACTGTATAAGAAAACACGCGGCAAAGAATCTGCTTCTTTATAAAAACATTTAAATGGTTATTTTAGTTGAACCTTGTTCAAATATGATAACTAATAACAGAGAAAAATTAGATTGCGAAAAGTAATCAATAAAGGAGGACAGAAAAAATTTAATACCCTCCTATATCTGTCGTCTTTTATTTTTATTTGATACATATAATATTTATTGTAATAATTGAAAAAAAACCTCATCATCAGTGATTATTGAAACTTTCATCAGTGGATCAGCAAAAACAAAAACAAAATAAAGCAGTAGATGAGCATGAAAAAAATGAGCACGTTCTTTAGATTGGTTTTACCACCGTAATGGAAATTGTAACAATACTTTGCATTACAATTCTGGAACTTCTGATTGTCTGAGTGCTAATTGTCTTTGAAATTTTTTTATCGATATTTTTTTAACTATACTACGCTATATTTACGTTTAAAAATGTGGATAAGATTGTTTGATTAGAATAGTAACAATTATAAAGTGAGTATCTAATACCATTAAAAATTCAAGATACAAAAGTTGTGTAAATTCAAACGCCGACAATAAAGATTGTAAAAATTTGGAAAATTAATTCTTTGGATCAATTTACTCTAGTTATCGGTGCAAGTTACTAAATTAAGTAATTAAGTAGCCAAGTGTGGTTAAAATCAATGAGTAAGGGATGTCAAATTATTGTTAAAGGGTTTTAAGGTTGTCGCTATTATTGTAATGCAATAAACATTTGGCTGGTTGGGTTTTATAATTTATATTAATGGACTAGAGAAAATTAACTTTCAATTCACCTTCATTAAACCTTTTTTGTTGTATTATTTTCATTTGTTTTCTCATTTCAATTTTTACGATGATTTAACTACAATCAATTAGAAATGAAGACAGAGAACATTTCGAGCTTGAGGGGGACAAGCTCATGAGCATTTCCAATCTTAAACTGAATTGGAATAACTTTCGTGCTTTTAAGAGCTATTCATTGATTTTTATGTAGGAAATAGTTCAAGGATAAAAACAGCTCAGATTATGCTGGACGAACAAAAAATAACAGCCGCTTATAACCATTTCCCATAGATACTCCAGAAAAAAGCTAGCTCAATTCACAAAGAACCCAATGCTACTTCTCTATCAACTTCGATTCTTTCGTCAATTCTAAATTCACCAAACACAGTTTTTAAATTCAGCAAGTGTCAGCAATAATTTTACTCCATCGTCCAGATTTTGATTAAACCTTCATTTTGAGCATTTTTCTTCCATCCATTCATAATTTCATCAAAGTCCATTATTTAGAGAAAATTATAATCATTTGTGATCAAAAGCAAAAAAATCATTCATGATAATTGGAACCAATCGATGATAAATGCACACTACGAGTTTGTGAATCTAATGACCTTAATTTGCTTTTCAATCTCTTCCTATTTGAGGCATAAACGGGATTTAAACTAAATTAGTCAAAGAGGCGAACATGAATTATAAAACTTTCTGGTCAACAATCGAGAACACGGAATCACTGTAAATTATCGTACATTTTGTATAATTACTGTAATAAAATATTAAAAGTTAATGCTGTTGTAATTATCTCTTTCTGAGCAAACAAAACTCCTAACTCTAGATGCAAAGGTTTAAAGATGCCTGGGAAAGAGGCAAAAGTTTGGAATTATTGTGAGTTATTGAGTCAATTAATGGTCCAATGCCTGTCCAATTCAGATCATCTCTCTGCCATCCTTTACTTACCAAAACTTGCTTAAACTTTTTCTTTGAAAGCTTGAAAACACATTTTCCTTTTGATCATAAACTGTCACCTTTTAATATAATGATGTTTACAATTGTTGGATTATCTCCTGAGAACATGTAAATGTCTAAAATGTGAATTTGCATTCACTTTTCTTTGGTTATTGAAGCTACAGATTGTATTTAGATTATTTTAGATCCAATTCATTCAATCCTTCAAGGTATTTGACTCTAAATGAACTAAGATAATCGATCAAGTTAACCTTTATTATGATCTTGAAATAATCTTATTCAATCCAATGTTGCTTCAAGACATAATCAACATGGTAGTTTAAAAAAGAAGAAATGATTTCTTAAATAATCATCTTGGAAAATGAATAAACTGGTTCAACAAGAACTTTACTCATTTCTTATTCAATACCAATGGACCTATGAAGATAAGGAAGGATAGATTGAAAGATTATGCTGATGATCAGTAAACTTTACAGAAAAAAAGTGATCTGAAAACAGGTAAAGTGTGATGAGTAAAGGTTGTTGTCTGATCAACAAATGGTCTTAAAACTGTCTTGTTAGTGACTCAAAGTAAACTTGGATAATAATAATTAGCCAAAGTTGAGTCAGAAGGAGCAAAAGATGGTTAAAGAAGCTGCAGCAAAAGAAGGAAAAGCAAAAACAAGCCAAAAGTATAAACAAAAAAGGAAAAGAAATTATCATGTTCTTATCCTCTCACTCTTCCTCTCGCCTTTTTTACTTCTCACTTGACTTCTCTTTTACCATCAATATCATCATCAAAATCATCATCATCATCATCTTCTCTTTCAGTGGCCGGTGAAAAGTCTTCCGGTTCCAACAAGTATAGCTGTTTTACTGCTAGTCTAACGGTTAAGATTTACCATTTTGTTTACTGGAACTGACTGTATAATCAATGCTCAACGTTACTCTAACTTGTGTTTTCCGACATTAGATAGTTAACCAGCGCCCAAATCCGGAATTGCTCATCTATTTCGCTGCAAAAAAAGAGGCAATTCAATTCATCTGAATTAACAAAACACAAATCTACTGAATCACCTTTTTGATCCGACCTTTTCATTTTTGTTTCTTTACCAACATTTTACCATCAACGCTAACTCTATCACTAAGCGCCATCACAATAACACTAAATCAGCTTTTTGTTTTCATTTGGTTCTGTTTTTGTTTTCGTTTTTCATCTTCTTTCACCAGTCTCATCATCATTGATAGTGATTGTATTATACCATTATACGATTTCTGGATCCGACTGGTTCAAGTTATACATAGTGCATATTGACTAATTCAGTGTTTCATTGTTTTAGGTGATTCAAAATTACACTTTGAAATTCAATTTGTTTACCTCTTGATCAGCAATTCTCGATGAACCTCTTCAATCTCATGATGATTAATCTTTCGTCTTGCACATCCTTATCGATAATGTTTGTGATGCTATTTGCAATGTTGGTGCCAGTCATTCACGCAAATTCAAAGATTCCTGGTAAACCAAGGGACGGGATTAAATTAGCATCTTCATCTCCAAGCTCTTCATCTTTATCATCTGATGAACGAGTGTTGTTGAGTCAATCTCACATGCAATTCACATTCGATCTAATGTCCAGCATTGTGATGACCGAAGCTTATAACCCCAACTCCAAGCTTCTCCAATCCATTGTTTTCTCGCCTTTAAGTATACAATCTATTTTAATGATGGTTCATCTTGGTGTTAAAGGTCGAACCCGTGCAGAAATTGCCTCTGCTCTACATTTAGATACCTTTCTTACCTCAAACGGTATCAACAATGTAAATGGTTCCTTCATCCGTACTCACCAAATTTTCGGTGAATCAGTAAACTCCCTTCTTGACGACGATGACATTATCAAATACTTCTCTATGGCAAACCAAATTTTTGTCAACAAAGACTTGACTGTGAACAACAATTTCAAAATTGCTCTTCAACGTTATCATGGAGCTTCACTGCGATCAGTTGACTTTAATTCCAATGGAGTTGTTGATGTAAGTTAACAAGAGTTTAATTTTAACAACAATTTTAATTGTCCTTATAATAATTGTTATCCAATACAGAAAATTAATGACTGGGTTACCAAAACCACAAAAGGAGCCATTAAAAAGTTTTTAAGTTCACCAATATCTCCAGCTACTGCTTTAGTTGCCTTAAATGCTCTAAGTTACAAAGGAGACTGGCTTTACAAATTTGATGAGCAAGAAACGCAAAAGAATTCCCTGTTTCAATTGACTAATGGACAGAATGCGCGAGTATCCATGATGGTTGGTAAATTACCGATTGCATTCGGTGAAATCAACGATGGAAGGTTAAAGGCGTCTATAATTGAGCTTCCCTACAAAACCCAAAGGCTTGGTTTGTTCATGGTTTTACCATTGGAAGACTCACCTAATGGTCTTTTCAATTTAATGCGATCCCTTAATTCAACTACTTTTACTCAATTAATTGCTTCAATGAAGAAGAGTAAAAAAGGTGATGAAGTAAACGTACGAATTCCTAAATTTGACATATCATCCAAGCCTGATTTAACAACAATCCTTCGCTACTCTCTTGGCTTACGATCCGTGTTTTCTGGAGGTGAAGCTGATTTCACCTCTATGTTTGAGACAACTCCTGTATCCCAATCGTCCTCACTGCCACCAATATCATTGAGTCAATTTACCCACCAAGCTGTTATGTCAATTAATGAGAATGGTTCAATTGCTGGAGCTGCTAGTGCAACTTTAGTTGAAAGAGTTGGATTATTTAGTGGACCTTATTTTGAAGCTGATAGACCTTTCCTCTTCTTCTTGACCGATAAACAATCAGGCTTGATTTTATTTGCTGGTATTTTTGCTCAGCCTAATTAGTTAATTTAATCAATTGGCCAATTTAATAGTTTATCATTTAGTTTTGGATCCATCTAACATAAATCTTCGAGGTCGTGGATGTGATCTGAAAATATGCTTATTTATTTAAAAAGATCATCTTTAACCACTTTCATCGTCATTTTCCTCATTTTCAAAAATGCTGTCATTTTTTTCATTTTTCACTCAAAATTTTTCACCACCTTGAGTTCATCTTAATCATCCATATCTGATCTCACCTCTTTTCATGTGCACGAGGCAGGGATTTAAATTATCTCTACACTAATGGAATCAACTAATTATAAGCTTCGGTTAATTGTGAAGCTGGGAAAATGTTTCTCTTGACGACTAATTTTGTATCTGTTGAAATAATATAAAAAATTTAAAATTTAGCTGCTAAGGTTGACTTTTTCATTTACTGAATTAATCTTATTTGCAAAACCCTCTAATACTCATCTTAATGAATTTAGTTAATGTTTTTTATACACTTGTAATGAGACTTGAGCTTGATTGAAACTGCATTTCAAAGGTATTTCAACAGGCTTGTAAAGCTGTAATAACTTAATCGTGCGAGCTCTTTGCTTTAAAATTCATTTTTAAATGAGGATTCTGTTTTTTCCTTCAGCCTTCTTTTTCATGTTTTGCTCGAGAAACCTGAATTCTTAGGAAAATTCTGCCTACATTTCCTGGGTTTGGTTTTATCATGAGATTTTCTAGCCAAAATTTTCCATGTAACTCATCTGGAACCTTCTTGATTTTTCACACAAAAATAAGGGATTTGCTTTTTACATTGTTTATCATATATTAATAGATTATATAGACTACATTAATCGAAAGTCGGAAATACAAACTTAAATCAACTTATATGGGATATTAACAAAAATTAGCTGCATCAATTGCAAAATAAAAAACAGAAATGAAAATAATCAATTAATTCCAGTGTCGATCAATATAAATCCTTGTTGCAGATAACAACTTAAAATACAAAGTATTAGATATGATTAAGGCACGCTTCAAACAATTTGCTCTATTGAAACAGCGATAAGATGATAGTTAATTTACAAAGGTTAAAATGAAATGTGTATAATATATATAATAATAATTATATAACATTTATATTAATAATAATAGGATGTAAATCCTCAAATTTGCACCTGAAAGGTTGATAGATAAAACAAGGTTATGATTATTTTCTGTACTGACTTAAGAATGAGTTTGCCTACTTAGTGAATTTGCTAAGAAACAATTATGTAAATGTAAATTAAGATGTGAATTAAAACTTGATAACCTTTAAAGTGCAATTTGGGGCAAAGCATCCTAAATTGATTGTATTTTTTGATTTCTCAGGGTCAATTGTGTTTCTCATAATTGAGATTTAGAGGCAACATGAAAGTTCATAAAAAGAGTTGATTAACTGTCTTAGGCGTGACTTATTAAAAACAACTTAAAAGTGTGATGGCAAAAGGCAAACAAAGAGATGCTCTTGTTGAATGAATTTATCCTTTAACAACAATCCTTTGAGTTACGTTATTTTCCAAAAAGCTTTAATCCTTTGGTTGTCCTCTTGAAATAATAAACTGGATAATAATTGTGGAGATAAAACAATATGTATAATCTTAAATTGAACAAAAAATTAAACCATCTGGGTGACTATTTAAATGCAATATGATTATTCACACTGGGCACTGAGTTTGGAGAAAATCCTGATTCTTGTGAATAACTTGCTAGACTCCAACAATAATCTCTTTTCATGAAAAGAGACGCTAAATTACTGTAATTTTGAAACTGATCTTCGAAAACAAAATAATAGAAACTAAAAAAAGCAATAATTTTAACCATAATTTAGAATATTAATTAACACAGCTAAAGATGTGGTCAAGATGGTAATGAAGATGAAGTGGTCGGTGGATGAGATTTTGTTGTTGGCGATACAGCTGAAGATGATTGCTGCTTATCCAATTCCATCATGGCTTCTTGAATAGCTTGGTCCAGGCATGAATCTGTCTTTTTCCCTCTTCAATAAAAAAAGTAAAATTTTTATCAATTAGTTACAAACACCAAACTATGAAAATCCGTGGAAATTTTTCTTACTTTCTGTGTTTTTTTCGAGCTGTGTGATGAGCTTCAAGTCCTTCTGATAGAGTTTTTAATTTAATGAGTTCAACTTGCGTCACTAAATTATCTCCAAACCATTTGACCCAAACCTAAATTAATTTTCAAGCATAAAATTAATTTTTCATTACGCAGTTTTTCATTTTACATTTACCTTTCCTTCCTCAGCTTGTCCGTTATAACTTGGTGCATCTTCTTTGTTAATCAGTTTACCTGGCCAAGACGGATTGCCTCGCATTTGGCCCCAGACAAGATCACCAGTTTCAAAAGTTCTTGGTTGAGGTGAAAGTGGAGGAGATTGAGCTGTTGTTTGATCGAAATTATTTTCATAACAAAGTAATTCTTTCCGTAATCTTTCCAGCTTTTTGTTCTTTGTACTTTCTTCATCAATTGTTTTAGACAATCTTTCGTATAAACCTTCAGTTGTTCCCATGCTTAATAGTACATTATTTTTAGAAACAGATTGATCAATGTTCACCTTTTTGGTAGAAATAGAGGATTTGTTCTGATAATTATCACTATCATTTTGACAGTCGTTAAGAGCTTTAACATCGATATAACTGGTAATGTTGGTTTCATTGCAATTTTTCTCAATTTTATAGGTATCATTGTTTAAAGAGCTGTTGGATTGGTATCCAGAAATTTTATCATTTTCATCGTTATGGCTATTATTATTAAAATCACCTCCTTGGGTTTCGTCACTAGGAAAATGTTCATCAACATTTTTCTCGTTGAAACTGCTATTGTTCTCTAAAATTGAATCAGCATTCTCTTCATAATCTTCGGGAAGATTTGGAGGACTCGAATCATATTCTGTATCTTTGGACATGGGAAGGTTGTGAGCAAAACTTGAATCTGAACAACTGGATTCATCCATTCTAGTCGGACTGACCGGACCATCTATTAATTCATCACTTTGTATACCAATATTACACATAGAGCTTTTATGAGTAGATAACTCTCTCATAATATCCTCAGAAGTACATTGAGAGCCACCATCGATTCGTTCATAATCAAAATTACTTTTATCGTCATCGGAGTTAGGAGTAAGTTGATTAGGACTGTACAGACAATCTTGAGAATCCATTTGTTCCTCTAAATTGAATTCATCATCAATATCCGATTTTAATCTTGACGATTCATCGCTATTTTTTTCTGTAAATTTCTCAATAGATGTATTTGTTTCCTGATCATGACAAAAATAAGCCGAAACAGACATTGAAAGATGCTGGTTACGATTCATTTTAAATTTACGATGACGCATTGATCTTGATTTAGTTTTAACACGGTTATTGTCATTTTCATTAGAACTAGATGCAGCGAAAGATTGTGTTGGTGATGAAGTAGAAGATGATGATGATGATGGATAGGAGGCGGAAGGTTGAGAGTGAAATGAGTAAGGAGCTTGTATTGGAATAGATGAGAATGAAGTTGCTCTGCATGATGGTAAAATATTTCTTCGTTCCAATGACCTGACATTTTCAGTTGAATTAAGAACAACAGAATGCTGATCAGATTGCATCAATTGAGGAATTATAATAGTAGCTCCATTGCGATTCAAATTTTGAGTTGGATGAAGTAAAGTAACAGTATTTGGTGGAACAGAGGCATATTGAACCGGATTGAATAGTTGAACTAATTGTCCTCCTCCTTGACTGCTTGGATCCATAAGAGTCTGGGTCAGGCCCATACCAGAAAGAACATCTATAAAAAACGAAAACAGATTATAATTATATTTTTTCTGGAAATTAAATTAATATCATTCATATAACTCATGCAACTGGATAAGAAGGAAATGCAAATTAGATAAATGCTCTTTAAATGGGCTCAATTTTTTTGTTTTGCGAGATAGAATAGAGATAGTTATGATAGAATTGAAAAAAAAGATAAAAACAAGGCTTGAAATTTGGAGGGAAAGCTTTTAAACCTAAATAATAAACTTCCATAGTTGAATTTGATTGCCCTCGCATAATTGATAACTATTTTCAAAGACAAAGATTTGCATTTCAAAATATTAAACGAAACAAACCTGTGAATCCAGGAAGAGAGGTTGAAGGATTAGCGAATGTCTGTACATTAGATTGATTCTCATTAACCATAGAAGATAATCGGCTCTCATCAGAATTATTTATTGGTAACCAATTTATAAAGCTGCTGGTTGTTAAAGATGGATTAACATTTGGATGTTGAAAATTTTTAGGTGCATTTTCTGCAGTTTGACTGCAGTCTCCTGTAATTGTATATGGGGACTGTTTCTGTTCTGAATTATTAAAATTTCGACCGGATTTGTACAGAGTAACACCATGATTAATGATTGACTGCTGGTGAGTACCACGATAAACTGGAATAGAATTAACTGTTAATGGTTGTTGATGAATAACTTGTGAATTAACGTGGTGTTGTTGATGTTGAAGAGTTTGATTTGCGATTTCAGAGTTTTCTGATGTGTGGTCAGCTAATCTTGTACTGTTTTGATTATGAGTATCATTTTTAATAATAGAATAACTATCATTAGAATAGCCTGAACAATTATTTAAAGTTCTTCTTCGATGGTTACAGGTTTTAGGTGGATACTCAATATTGGTCGGATTATCATTGTAGCAAATATCCTTGGTATGATCATTATACTGCACACTTTTATTATCATTTATTAATGTTGAACTTATCGATGGAGCTTGTGGATCAAAATTGAATACTTCATTTAATATGATTGGACACTCTAGGCCACATTTACAGGTTCCCTCAGTCAATAAGTATGCACTTATTTCTTGTAGTGACCAAAGGAGACAGTTAGAAGGACTGATGTAAACAATCTGACCATTGATTTGCTCTCTTTTCCAAGCATACGGTATATTCGCTTTTAATCTATCAAAATTAGATTTAAATACACTATTTGTGTTGGAAACATTTGATGAAGTTTGAGATGCTGAAGCAGTTGAACAAGCAATTATATTAGCGATAGAATTGGTTGAAACTGGAGGAGATGATGTTGACAGATTTACACCGATACAGTTAACTGACGGCGATATTTCTTTAACATTTGATGGACCGAGGCCATAAAAACTAACTGGCGAGCCTGAGTCAACCAATTTACCAATTGGATGAAGAGGAGAAACACTGGACATCATTATACTGAAAGACCAGCATCATTTCATTATCTTAGCTTAGCATTTGATTAAAACTAATTAGAAATCAATTCAAAACACAACATAGAACAGTTACATTTGAGTTACAAAATAGATGACCCAGATTAAATAACAGATAGATGGCAGCAGCTTCAGTTGGGGATTTTAGTCTAATAAAATTTCGTTGCATTGTTTACAAAATGAAATGTGAATCATATTTAAACTTAAACTCCTGATTTGTTTATCCAAATCTAGGATGATTTATTAATTGATTCACCGTGTTATAACCTTTCTCATAGAATTCAGGAATACTAAAAACTTGTTTCTTATAGATCCAGCTATGTTAAGTTGATTGAATGTGCAACAGACTTTGGTTTCACTATTGAATACTGATTCGACTAAATTTGTGATAAACTTTAAGACCTAACAGTTGCTGACTAAAAATCTAACTTAAAATTGTTTATTATTTTTCATTATTACTATTGTTTAATATTTGAAATGCCTCACATTCATAATATTTGCATCCAAGTTTCATAGTCAAAATTCCAGCTCAAGCTGGTTCCTCAAGTAATCCCAAAATTTTTGTGACGACTATTTAGCTGTAAATAAAAATGTAAGTTTAGTAAATTATTGGCAAGAAGGACAAAGGTTGGCTTTCAAAAATATTTTTTATATATTCATGTCATAATAATTAGCTATGAAAAGCAAAAACAACAAAATAGATAAGAAGCTCCATTGATCAAGTGCATTTAATTTCATTTGATCTGATTAATTAACTGATTCCCTGGAAAAGAATCTTCTTTTGCTCTTCAGTTAATCCATGGATTTGAGCTATAGAAGCCATGAAACAAGAGGTTGACGTTGAAGATAAATTTGAGTAGAGATTGTTTGATGTTGAAGAACCAGAAGATTGATCAGTTCTTTGGTTGTTGGTCCAAAATTTATTCTGTTTAGCATTGTAATCAAGAGAGGAACTTAAATCATGTCTTTGATTTGCCTGGAGCTGTTGACTTTGTTGTCGACGGAATTCATTGGTTGGCCAACTTGAAAACAAATTACCCAAATTTTCTGTAGATTGTCTCAATTTCAGGTTACTAACATGGGCATTCAAATCCTCCAGACTTGAATTTAGAGAGTAAGTCGACATGACCTAAAGAAACAGAAACAAAACAAAACATTAGTAAAATCTAATTTATAAACATAATTTTTAAATTATAGCTTGATTTAGAGTATTATTTTTTAAATTTTGAAAAAATTGGCTTTCAGCTTCGATCGGGAATCTCATCTATTATTGATATTGAAAGCGATTGGGTGATTCAAATGATCTTATTTCAAAAAGCTGAATGTTTTTAGCGTTCAAAATCAAATCTTCCAGAACAATTCCAAAAGTGATGGAAAATAACTGAGGCTCTTTTTCCCGAAACTAAAGCGTTATGTCAATCATCGAAATTAATGAATGACAATTTTGTGACAATAATTACATGAATGTTAAGGCGCAAAAAACTCAGTGCACCATTTGGTGAATTTAAACAATTGTTTAATTGTAGGCTGATTAAATCACTATTTTTCCAATCTTAAATTGAATGGTGATGGGTTAAACACATGTTCAATATGACAATCAAGTTAAATGAACCGTTGTTATCAGCACGAGCAGATGACAAAAAATGCACAAACAACAATATTATCATTACCATATAAATAAGAATCACTCAATGGTTCAGTTAATTGATTGAAGAAACCACAAACGATCTATCAACATGAGATTCATTGTACTTCTTTGCCTATTCACTGTAACCACAGTAAACTTCACCTTCGCATGTGGTAAGTCAAAAGTGCCAATTCGTTCACCAAAACACTCTTCAATCACATTCACACCCAATATCATTTCTAATTAATCTAGAGTGCGGTCGAGAAGGTTCAGCTGGTCGAATCTTTCGTGGACAACAAGTTCAAGCTCACAAGTATCCATGGTTAGCTCATATCAGGTAAGACGCTTCATCTTCTCATGAACCAGAATGGTTTAACTTCTTTCGATTTCCATCCATTAGGAGCTTTGAGAATCGATTGCTTGGTGCCTTTGCCCAATGTGGAGGTTCACTGATTGATGACCAACATATACTAACCGCTGCTCACTGTGTCACTGATGATTCAGGCTCAATTATACCAGCGGCAAATATTGACGTTTACCTTGGTCGTGACAAGGCTTTCTCGGACAAAACCAAACCCAGCCGTGTTTCACAAGTGATAATCGATTCTTATTACAACAGGAAAAATTTGTCTAATGATTTCGCTATTTTAAGACTATCAAGTCCAGTGAAGTTTACCCAAACTATTGCTCCAATTTGTTTGCCCAATTCTGAAGATGGTTTATCAAAATTGAAAGTAGCTGGTTGGGGAATTGTTGGTCCAAAAGCCAAGTCAAGTAACAATTTGCTTGAGGTTGATGTTGATTACTTTACAAGTAAGTTGACCATTATTGAAAATTTGTTTTCATTATTATTCTCAAATCATTTCTTTCATAACTTTCAGGAAATGAATGTAATGATGTTAAAGCAGATTATATCCTAAAGTCAAACGGAATACCTAAAAGCATGAAAAGGTATTACCGTATCCCTGAAGTGGCCTCAACTCATCTCTGCGCAATCAACAAGAAAACCCGAGGTGATGCTTGCTCAGGAGACAGTGGAGGACCTCTAATGCACCAAGGATCAAACGGTCGATACTATCTTATGGGTATTGTTTCAGGTTCATGGACTGAATGTGGAGAAGATGAAGATACTGTTGGCTTGTACACTCGAACATTGGTTTACAGAAACTCAATCAAAAAGATTGCTCCAAACTCTTGCTGGCAAGATCTAAACTAATCGCCCTGAACTTAAACCAAGCAAACCCCATAAATACAAAATATCATAGTATAGACAAAAAAATATCACTCAAAAACAAGCAAAAAAGCAAAGAAATCGATGATTAAGATTTTCCAAGAAATGAATGAAACATCCAAATAAAACAATCAAGTCTCAAGAGTTTCCAAGAAAAAATAACTCTTGAAAAAAAGATAAAATTTCTTAAATTGCAGCATTAATTCATCTTGAACTATTTTTTATCAGATTCACAATTTACTATTAACGTTAAAAGTGAACATAAAATGAATCAAGCGAAACCAAGAAAAGCAGCAAAAGATGAACCCACGGCTGGGTATATTATTCATTTTTTAACCTCTTTTGATCATAAGAGCGTCAGTGGTATAACGGTTAGCATAGTTGCCTTCCAAGCAATTGATCCGGGTTCGACTCCCGGCTGACGCATATTTTTGCTCTGGTAAGGTTAGTCAATGATTACCATTTTAAGTCTACTTGGTTTAAACTATTTGATGATCATGAGCAGGTTGATCGATGATGATTACTATTTTTAACTCTTCCTCATCACTTTCCATGTAAACTTATTTTTTGCTAAACAATGTATCATTTAGGTTATGGTTTCATTCAAATTGTATTTTAAGATTTTCATGATTAATCTTAAAATATCTATCTACACGAAAATAGCTAAACGAGTTAGCTGATCTATTTATTTTCATCTGATTTTCATCAACAAAATGTCACCAAATGTTCACTATTTAGCCATACTAAGGATCACTCGAGTGAAAGTGTTTGGACATTATCTGCTAATAATGTTACCTAATGTTACCAGTCGATTTCGGAATTCAATCACTTTGATGGTTTAGCTTTTCTTCCGAAGATTATTAATGAATGTTTGCTTGAAAGTCAGTCTGTAAAATCAGGATTACAGTTTTCCTTTGAACAGTTCATGTAATTTGGCACAAAATTTTGACGTAACCAGATATTTGACTATGCTGAGTGATAATGCATAAAATTACCTTTCTCTTTGGCTCAAGATCACTTGAATGGTTTTTCATGTGTTTCCTAAGTGAACTTGGATCGGTATAACGCTTGGTACAGCCAGGAGCTTGACATGCATAGGGTTTCTAGAAAATTAATTGGGAATAGTGAATACACATTTAGTCTTTGTGAATAAATTATTGCCTCGTTGATTTGAGTTTTGGATAACTTACCGAGTTTATGTGTGTCTTCTGGTGCTTTGCACGATCCGATGAGTTACTGAATTTCTTACAACAATCCTGGTGTGTACAAATGTATGGACGTTCACCGGTATGCGACCTTAAATGGATTTTCAAATTTTCCAATCGTGAAAATGCTTTGGTACATCCTTCAAACTAAATGATAATAAGTGAAATAAACTAGAATCAGAATAAGATGGATATGATTATTAAATCGCTTTCCAAATCGCTATTCAAGTTGAATTTTCAAGTCTCAACAAATAAATATTAATCAATTTAATCACTTAGTCACAAGGCTTCATTTTATGGTTAATTTTCACTCTTTTTAGCTATTCTAGAGAGTGGTCAACAGATGACAATTAGTTAGCCAATTTTGTGAATAAAAATGAATAATTCTTCCTCACACAAATAGTCAATACATGGGAGTAGTTGGTACAGCAGGCCAATTGGGCGATATTAAAGACATTTCCAATCCATCTAACGATAACTCCCATGCATTGACTGTCTGTATCCGCAAAAAAATCATTTTTATTGATTAAAACAAATTTGATGGCTAATTGTTATCTGTTAGTACCCTGAATGTGATTATAATCTAATTTGATCATTTATTGTTGGATATTTCTAATATTTACTTATTCATTGAAATTGAATTTTAGAGTTTGCATTTTGTTACACTATCCAGCAATCTCATGTGATTCTCAATCAATTTAGCTGATTAACTGTTGAATAATTGATCAATGAGTTGTTTTTCCTTTGGATCAATACAATAAACAGACATTACTGGATTAACTAACGTTTTGATTCATCTGCACAAAGGTAAATAGGACTTTGATACATCTAATGATTCATTCAATATTCTTAAATCCAATCTTAATCAACCCTATCATCATGTCTGACGTTTAATTAAATAATATAAAGACTTGGTTAAACACTCAAAACGCATACATAATTTAGCTTTTTTGCGTCATGAAAATTTACAGCTCTAGACTCTGGATTTAGCTAATAATCATCTAATTAGAGATTTCACTTTCATGTTTAAATCCTTATGAAAGTTAGTCTAGATATTATCATTAGAATTGTCTTGAAATTTTATCAAGCAGAGGTGTTCGAAGACAAATTTCAAAAATGGTTTCAAGTTGTAGCTTAATTGTGTTGTTTGGACTCTATAAAGCTGAAAAGATAGTAATAACAGCGCTGTCGATAATTTTACTTCCTATCACAGATGCATCTCAGATTGCATCGACTCTGCCTTCGAACAGCTCCGGCTTGATGAATTTTCTGATAATCTTTGCACCTTCTGGTTGATTAACCTGAACGAATTCTGAGAATCTGACCACAAACTTGAGTTCATCTTTCATGAGGATTTGAACGTAATGTCCAAACTTTTGTTGTGCACTGTATATTTAGCTAACCGGGAGAGGAGAGAGTCAAGAGCATTTGGAGTGAAAAACAATTTCCAACACTTGATCAGTAAATTGATATCATTGATTTAGCTGAACAATATTAAAGATAGAAGAGAAAAAAAGATAAAAATGAAGTTATAATCAGCTATTATTGAGGTAAAAAAACATGAGTTACCATGTTAGTTAATAGAGTAAACTGATGTAACCTGAAAACATTGAAGGTTACAATAACAATTGGAGACAGTCAAATCAGGATCTAGATCAAGACCATGTTAGTTAATATTGGTAATCATCTATTTCCTATTGATTGAATCCATCTAAGCAAGAAAAGGTAACAATGAAAAAGGAGAATCGAAGCTGAATTAGTCTGAATACATCTGATGGTGTTGTTAGTGTGTAAGGTTTTGGTTAAAATTAGCCAAGCAAAACCATACCTGGTGAGATATAAAACACGGATTGACACGAAAATCAATGTGAATTATTCTTAACTTAAACAATTACAATTTACAATGAACGTCATTTCTCTCTCCCATTTCTTTGGGCCTAAAGGTCATCATCATCCAACGCTTTGCCGTTGATGCTTTGCTTGACCTAAAAGAGAAATATAATTTGGAGAGAGAAAATTTGGAAACACTAGAGTAATAAGTATTTGAATGAAAGGCATAAGATTTGATTAACAATTAAAAAGTAATTTCTACATGCAAATTGTTATTTAACTTGAGATTTTATCTGTTGCTCGAGTTTATCTAATTTCGATGATGGACTTGTTGAAGGTTACGACTTTGGAAAATATTAGCTAAGCATTCGTAGAAAGATCAGCAATCAACTAATCAGCTGAACATGGATAGGCTTGAACTCGTTAATCTGGATAATTTAAGGGTTTCTACAATTTAATAGACATTATCAACACTTTTGTTTGAAAAACTCGTGAGTCTGTTTTTATCTTAAGTTCAATATCATTGATATCGGCGAAAAAAAAACAATTTATTTGACGTAATCAATTCAGTATGAATAAAAGCCTGGAAAAATAACAATATGCAACCCAACTTTTTACTCTCGTCATTAGAGAAAAGCAATTGATTTTAAGATAAAAACGTGTTCATATTGCATTAGTTGATTAGTCAACGGTATTATATCAAACCTGATTCTGCCGATGAGTTCTTGTTGAAATAGTATTATCCGATAAAAATATCATTGTAAGTAAATCTTTAGAGTGAAATGTCAATCAAAATTTACTAATGGCTCAATATTTTTCAAGCGCAATGTTTGATCTCAAATATATCCTGAATATACGTTGTATCATAACCTTTTTGGTAATCGTAGTTTTAACAAAGATGAGACAACTCTTCATATGCTTGACTATTTTACAAGACACGGATTAATTAGAACCAACATACGATTATAAGATTTATTTTGTGTTTGAATAGTAGCTTGTGAAACTAACCTGAGCCCAGTGACTAATGGAAAGGCATTACTACTATTTATCTGAGATTAGGTTGAGCAATGAAAGACTATTAATCATAATTAATTGACTTATTCTTCCATCAACTGAAGAGCTTAATCACTGGCAAGCGAAAATAATATTAATGCGTGAAAAGATTATCTATTATCTCAATGAAATTAACTTACTGTGCAACGATTGGGTTTCTCTCCGGAATGAACCCTCATGTGAATGAGAAGCTTGTATCGAGCATTAAAAGGTTTACGATTTCTCGGACAGTCAGACCATTTACAAATATAATCATCATTGTTTCCATGTGTCCTTTTTTCATCTACATGCACTCTTTCAATATGATGGACCTGAAAAGACACAAGATACACAAAAAAAACCAAGAAAATAAGCACAAAGATAGAGTTACAATGTAAGTTCAATAAAATCTATCATTCACCGGTATTTAATTTTTAAATTGGGAAGATTGGAATATAGTCCAAAATTAGGCAATATAAGATATTGAACTTCTAATAAATAATAATAATAATGGTAATTGTAAAATATAAAATAAGATAAACTAAACTGATAGATATTTTTAGATTATTAAAACGAGAATAATAAAGAAAGAAAAGACTCTATGAAAATGACGAGAAAACCCCTTGTCTAACGTAAGATAAAATCCAACCAATGAGATTAGAGTTGATTGCAATTGATAATTTTGAATTTGGCGACAAGAAACTCTTTCTTAATATTTTTGAAATACTACATTCTGTTCAAATATTCAAAGTTCATTTTAATTTTCCCATTTAAATAATCTTAAACTGAGTGTTCAACAGTCGTTGATTTGGTCCCAATCTTGTTTTCAACAACACTTGTAACGATAGCAATTAACTGCAGCTTTTGTTCACTTACCAAGCTTTCCAAGGAGTTTAAGATGGTGAAACAGTTCTCCCAATGGCAATAGACCTTTTCATGATTTGCTTCTTCAGTTATTAATGAGCTCAATAATGATCCTGTTGAGGTGTCAATTATGTTTTCATGGCAGTTAATTGGTCTTATACTATCCGATAAATTGGCTGATAAATTGGATAGCAGTACATTTGTATCGGTAACCGGTGATTCTAATGGTGATTGTAGCTGATTTTGGTATTGTTGAAGATCATTCAAATGTTTGCTATCACAATTTAATTTATCATTGTTATCTGGTGAATTGGGACCTGTTGACGCTAATCGTTCACTCAAATCAGACGATTGAAAGTTCCCCAATGAGAGGCTAGGAAATATGTCATTTGCAGGAGTATTCCAGCTGTAACTTTTAAACATTGGTAGTGGTGTTGATGTCCAATGGTTTGCTTCTATAAGAGAGCCACCGGTCTCACTTTTAAGCTGAGGAATAATTGGTTCTGATGATTGCGGGTCAATAATCTCTTCTTTAATGGTTACCGTTGAGGGATTGCTGTTGGAGACTCGTGTCGATGAATCGGCCAGAGGTGTTGCTCGGTAGCTAATATTTCCACCAATGCTGCTGCCACTGCTATTGCTGCTATTACTGCTGACATTCAGACTATCTGATACTCGTGATGTTACGGGGGAACTTGGCGAGCTGTGATTTTGATTTTGGATCGTGTCAAGATTTTCTGTGAATAATGTTTTGAAAAAATCTGTCTCACTATTACTGTACACTTCAGTAGTCGTTGATGGAACTTGTGACGAGGAACCAACTCGCGGTGATCGATAATTATCAGATGTCTCAATGAAAGTGGAATTCGTCTTTTGGAAGGGTTTGACATCTTCCAAGACTGTCTGGGGTGATGGATCAATGAAAAAGTCTGAATAAAATGACGAAGTGGAAGGTGGATGGAGAAGATTACCAAAGCACATGCCCTCGTAATTGTTGTCTATATCAACGTAATCATTTGCGATGTACATTGTAAACACAAACTAAAAAAATGAATCAGGAACAAACTTTGTTTACTGTATGCTGTTTGCTGTTTTCCTACCAAGGCGAATCAAAGATCAATGAAATAATCGATTAAATGAGGTGGTAGATAAACAATCAAAGTATTTGATGAAAATCTTTCGATTTTTGGCAAGTCAACAGATTTATCACTTTTAAGAGTTCAAATAAAACAAAGAATGGCGAAAAATAGTGTTTACTTGCTGGTGTTGATTAAAAGACTGCTAATTAATTGTTGGTTAGTTAGTTAAACATACTAACAGAGAGGGAGACAAGGCAAACGATGAGAGATAGTGAGACAGATAGATAGTGGTGAATTGTGAAGGAGTGTAAGAAATACTCAAATTATCTTGATTATTATGGTGATGACGAAGGAAACCACGACTTCGACAATGAGATAAATAATTATGGAATATACGTTAACAGCTCTCGGAAATCGGTTACCCTGATCACTTAAACTAACATCATCAACATAAAGCGATAACTGGTTTAAATTCAATCATTCTGGAAAGAGCGGTAGAGACAGTAAAATCGACAGAATCACAGAAAGAGGTAGATAGTTAATTGTAAGATTAAAAAATCAGAAAGAAAAGAAGTTAGGAGAATATTGTTACAGGTAGATTGTGACTATGCTCATAATTATGTAGCTTCATACAAATTTGTATCATCCATTAACATTCTTGATCGACTCAAATCAAATGGTATTTTTGCATAATATTTAATGGCCAGCCAGTTAAACTCCAATTACCGATCAATTGGGTGAACTTGATAAGTGATTCTGGAAAACGGAACTTATTCATCTGATACATTAGTTGATCATCAGAAAATTATCTATTGGAACTACATTAGGCAAATCTCAATATCAATGGACAAAGGTGGCTTTAGATTTGTTTAACTCTGGCTTTGGTTAGTGATAAATTGGTTAAGAAGCAAAATCACACATGTTTTGGTAGATTAATCATTTTACATCGAAATGTATTTTCAAGTTAAACAGTGAATGCAGATAAATCTGGAAGAATAATCGGAATTATCAATTTTACTCTTTTCATCGATTTTCAAAGGATTCATGATAAATTTTTTAAAATTTACAAAACTCGATTCACTAATTCATTTTTGATTTTCAGTTGGTTTTATATGTTTATGCTGCATCAAGTTGAACTGTCACATTAAGTAATTAGTTAATTTCTAGTTAAATTACAATGTTTCCCATGGAAACACTTATCACCATTAACGCCAACCGCGGATAAAATATCACAGTATATAAACAAATCATCTCTAATCACAATCGTCACAAGATTTTCTATCTTTCAATGTAATTCGAGTCAGAACAAGTAACCCAAAAATGATGTAAAACTTACAATTTACAATTAAAACGAATAATTTAAAACTAGATAATTTATGATTCATAATGAATGAGCCGAAATCATTTTAAAATATTCAAAATGACTTACAAGGTAACTTTTTCTGGTTGTTGGTTTAACATTCAATGGAAAGATTCACCTTTTATTAAAAACACCTTCAAAAGACACCTAAGTGATTAGTCTCTTCTTACTCTAGATTAGTGTAGAGATGATTGATATCTATTAATGAATCTTTTTTAATTAACCTCACAATATCGTTTCAATCAAAATGTAAACATGATAACAAAACATACAACAAAATATGATGTCTACTTGATCAAACTTTAGTGAATCAAATATTTGTCTCATTCAATTCATAGGTTGTTGACCATTTTGTGTGTAATTTGAAGATAACATTAGATAGAACCTCAACTCTGGTATTAGCGATACAAATGTTAATTATATCCATAAATATGTGTTATCAGTTGATGTTTGTGAGTGCAATACCCAAAAAATTGAACTATTTAGATATAGATTCGCACCCGATAGATTTAGGTCTAGATTCAACGTTTTAAGTTTAAGACAATTGTTGATTCTCGTGTCTTCTAATTTAATTTCACGTGACCCTATTCATCATTAAGATTAATCATCGTCATTGAGATTGTGAATACCTTCAATTTCATGAAGTTATCGGAGAGACTTGAGGTAAAACTTGAGATAACAACCAGAGTTAACCAGATTCAGATAATCTATGATCAAAGATACTTAAAGTTATACTGTTTCATTTCACCTTTTTAATACAAAATGTATTATATGAAAATCTTCAAAGGATATAAGCTTTTCAACCTTAATTATGTAATTCACCGGTAAACAATATTGATTACAAGTTTAAATGATTAAATGGTCACTAACATGATTATATAATTTGACTTTAATTTCTGATCACTTTGAATGACATTTGAATGAATCACAACCTCCAGTAGCTTAACATTTACATTTTAACCATTCAGCTAATTGATACAAATTTCAAATTAATCATGTTAGTAGTGCCAATAGTAACTGTTGCCGTCTTCTCTAAAGTAAATAATATTACACCAAATTATATAATCATTTTCACAATTGTATAATCGTATGAAAAAGACTAATAGTGAAATTTTTTTGCATATCTAGTTTACTGCAGTCAATAAATAGATTAACAGCACTCATTACAAGTTTATGGTCAACAATGGGAGTCTTTTTTATAGCCACATCAAGCTATTAATACAATGTAAGAAAAGCTATTTATTTCACGCTGAATCCTCATTGAGCTTGATCGAGTTATAACTAGACTTCACTGCAACAAATGCAATGTCTTTTGCAATTACAAATCCATTTTTGCAATCCCAAGAGGTGTGCGAATTAAAATGAATCATCAAGTGAAAATACATAGACAATTGATTGAAATAGACGTGAGTGAATTTCTGACGGCAATCACTCTAATATTTATGAGTAGGTTATCGTCCAAACTTTGGTCATTCTAGTCTGCAGCCAATTTACTAATCTCAGCCTCTTTATATGAATTGAATATATTGTTTCCGTCTGGGAATCATCTTGATATTAATAATTGAACCTGTTGGAGATACAGTCATTTCCCAATGTCCAATTGTCACACAATTACCATTCAAAAAGCGTTTTCTTTGAGCAAGATTTCAACAAAATTTAACCTGTTCAAAATTCAGTGTAAAAAAGATGATGACAACATAAAATATCAAAGTTTGGATAATTTGGTTATTGTGACAAAACTCTAACTACAAAAGCTATAAGAAGTTATCCCAACTTACGTGACATCTTGACAGTTATTAATCAATTATTATCATTAATATTAATCAAAGTAATTACTGATTTTCAATTTTCATTTCTGATTAATCATTAATGCCTAATACAACCCCATCTACGTATATTTGCAGCAAGTTATCTTCGCGATTAATCGATTAAATTTATTTATGAAAATATACTCACAAAGCTACGAAAATAACATCTACAAATAAAGTTGTTAAAGTTTAGTGAAAAGTCGAGTCAATTTTTAACGAGCATTGTGGATCTTAATCATGTAACCTTGAGTTATTATGCATCGAATGACAAAGTTATAATAGATATGAGAATCACCATGACAATCAATAAGTTTCTGATATTGATAGGAAACTCTTCATTTAAAGTGGACAAAATTTGTTTATTTCAAGTATTTTCAGTGATCAACTTGCTTGGTAAACTTGTTTTCATTTACGATTCAGTCTTTCGATTGCACCTTTTGCATTTATTTTTATCCTTAGTTGGTCAAAATGATGTCTCCGTTTCAGTTAACTTTACTTTTATTTTGTTTCACCCTTTATCCAAGTTATTCAGTTGGTGATCCTGATAGTATAATAAGCTTCAATGTCTACCGTAATGGAACCAAGACTTATGGACACTTCAAAGTTCCAAGTATGCAAATTAAAAGTGACTTCTTTCTTCATCAGCGAAACGAAACTCACATGCAATTTGATATCTTCTCAAAGGAACCGCACCATTTCGCCATTAGTTCTAATCTCGCCGTAACACAAGAAGCTGGTGTTATGAACTTTAAAGGACAAATCAAAGATTTTGCCCGCGGCTTAGCTCCAGTAGTTAATTTTGACACAAATATATCTATGGTAGAAGGACATAAACTTGAATCCAAAATTGACTTTAATATACCAAATACAATCAATGGCACTTATTTGTTCAATTTAAGTGCTAGACCCGACCAGAACGCCTGCTTCCCACTCAAGTTTGCACACAACTTGACAACTTATCCACCTGGTTTAATTGACTACAATTCTGGTATCAAAGGTACTTGTGGTTCAAATGGTGATACCAATGTAGATTTAGATGTGTCTTTAAAATCAAATGAATGGAGTTGGTTGAATACTAATTTGAAACAATTCTGGTTCTTCAATTCAAATGGAGGCTATGAATCAATGAACGCCACTAATTCTGCCTATGATATTGATGTTGTCGCTAACTGGACCAATGCACCACATGTTAAGAAATTCAAAATGGCCAGCTTTAGAAGCAAAACAAACCAATACCCCAGTTTTAGGATAAAATACTTGGTCGATGGAGAGGACAAGAAAATGCTTTACGAGAAAATTTAATTCAAATATTGAATAGTATTTGAACAAGACCGATCAAATATCCCAATAATGATTATTAAAATTGGCAGAAGTAAAATTTGCTAATGAATTTTAGTAGATATTTCTTGTATTTCTGACAATATTTGCATTTAAACACAAAAAATACTTGATTAAAAAATTGCTCTTAAAATTCCGGAAAAAATTACACTTGATTATACAGACAGGAAATTAAGATCTTGATTTTTTCATTAAAAAATTTATTTACATTTTCTTGTCAAAATTTCAGGATGATTTATCCCGGATTCAAATCGGAACAAGAAATTATTTCAGAAACCATTTGAGCGCAATTTTCAATCAAAATGATCCCAAATAGTTTAATGTTTTAATAGTCAACTAAACACGATGAAAGTTGTCTAAATAATTATGTAAATCTAATGGAAAAGGTTAAACCTTTATTGAATGTGAACAATTTTGCATTATTCTTGAAATAGAGTCGTTAACAGTCCATGTTTCATGGTGAGTCCAATTAGGAGCATTTGAATAAGCTTGAAATCGCCTGAGCGTTATCAATTGTTTTGACATTCGTGTACGATGAAAGAATATGAATTGTTTGGTGAAAATATCTATTTAGAGCACCTTAGATATTAAATAGTTGATGCGGAATTATAATGTGCCTCGGGCTTGTAGAACCATTCTCCCGATATGAATCGTCGAACAATTTCTTTTCTAATTAGAGTACGTTCACGTGTTGCCTTAGCTAGAACACTCGAATTTTCAATCGCTCTTCTGGATAAATATGGTAAAACTTCATCGACCGGACCATATGGAATATATTTGTAGACTGAATATCCAGATTGACCTAAAATGGTGAAATAAACAGGAATAAGTTAATGAAAAGCTCATTTACTTTCATTGAAAGGAAGATTCAAATTAAGACTTACCTAATGAGAAAGAGATGTGATCACTCATAGCGTAGAGCTGACCGAAGCAAATTACTTTATGGGCAGGCAGAATCCCTAATTTAGCCATGCTGAACAAAAAAATAAAATAAGATTAAGTCTTCGTAGAACCTAGCTGTGAGCTTTTGATATTTTTTTGTTGGTGAATCTTACTTTTCAACGGCAAATCGTACAGTATCTTCATTGTGTGAAGCTACCATTATAGCGATTCGTTTTGATGCAGAATCTTTCTTAATTATCTCTCCCATAAGATGCGCAAGTGTTTTGTGGTACATAGCGGTTGTTGCTTCGAAATTTTCATTGATTGGATCTTCATAGCCAAGATTTTTAGCTCTTAATCTTTCTTGTTCCATATAAGCTCCTCTCACTAGTTTGGCACCGAAATAAAAGTCATTTGTATATGATAAATCAAGATCTAAAAGCATAGCATCAAAAGTATTCTGTGAAAATAGAAAACAGAATAAGGTTAAAAGTTAATCTTGATTGAAATAATTGCTACATTTTTGATATGCGAAATGAGGACTCACTTTGAGATAACATTGATAAGTATTGAAGACTATTGATTTGTTTTTGTTGTACTTTTTCATCATTTCAATGGTAATTCGGTTGATAGCTGGTTGAAGATAGGTTTGCTCAGCATCAATCATTATCCTAACATCAGTATCATGTGCATGTTTTGCAATTGTTTCAATTCGTCTGATCAAATTACAAAACATTTCTTCCTCTTCTTGATCAAAAAGAGCTTTGAATGGGACTTTATCACGTAAAGCATCCTTTTGACGGAAATAGTTGATAACATCTTCAAAAGAAATTAATTGATTCCATGAAAGCAGGTTCAACATCATCCGATGATTTTCGCTGTAATCATTGGGTATAGAATTGTTAGCTTCTTGAACATTTGTTTGCTTATTTAGAGAATCAGATAAATTCAGAAAATGTTTAGTCTCCATAATGGCCTTAGATAGTTTGAGAAGCAGCTGAGGGCGGCAAAGAGCAGTCAATTTTATTGCAGCAAATCCAGTTTGATTTGTAATATTGGCAACTGAGTCAATACAGTTTAAAAATATTTCCATATTTTTTTCACATTGAGCTTCACTGAGATAGAAATAACTTCGAGCGGTTGCACGAAATTTTCTTGCATCGGAATAATCAGATTCAACCACAAATGATTTCAAAGCTTCTAGATATGACAAAAAAACAAAATAAAACAAAAATTAATTTATCAAGTTAGGCAAGACAATTGATCAGAAAAAATAAAAAATTGATTCAATAAAATAAAGAATGAGTAATTTTTATAAAGTAAATCTGTAGATAGGTGCTTTAAAATCAACGCATTGGTATTTATATCTGTCATTGTTGTCATAAAATGAAAACGTATTGAAGTAAATATTTTATAATAAATATTTATTATACTGCTTTGACTTTTGTGTCTATAAAGGGTGTAAATACCTCCAGTTTCTGTGTTTCCGAGTGATTTCCCATTTTGATCTGATGATCTTTAAAAGAAAAAGAAAAAGGTTTGAATAAAAAATGGCAATAAATATAATAGATAAGTGAGACAAAATATTGATGTTTTGGGTAAGTAAGACTTACTTTTTTACTTGACTAGACGTGTCTTCTTGTATTTCATCTTCAGCACTGTAATCTAGAATTGATTTAACGCCAAATTCACGGATATGTTTAATTTTTGGGCTCATCTCTGTCTCGTTTTCACCTGCGACAAAATGTCCATAGAAGGTTGCTTTCATTAAAGAACGAAATAGTCGACGTCCTAAGACCTTTTGGCCAATTTTGATCAGCTTTAGATAAAAGAGAGCAAATTGTCAATTAGCTGGCAATGGAGACATAAAAAATTTGATAAATACTGTACACACAGAAAAAAGATCACAAAGATTAAGGCAAAGAAAATGTATCAATAGTGTGTGAGATTTTATTTTGGAGGGAAATAAGAGATACTTTAAGATTATCCTGTCAATTTTAAAGATTGGACAGCTGAAAAACTAGATTTCTTGGAGTTTTCATATCTGAATGACTATGACTCGAAAATTGGTCAAAAACTAACAAATGCAAAAATATCAGCAGAAGGCTGTTACAACCAAAAGTAAAGTTTATTTTGGCTAATGGGATTCGGATAACAAAAGGTAACTTACTTTTTGATGATTGTCAACAAGTAAAGGGTAAGAGCACAGCTTGAGAACAATCATAGCCCTCATTAATTCAGAACTCTTTTTACTTTTAAAGCATTCTTTAGTATTGTTGAAGGTTAAATCAATAATCTGATGTGCTACTGTTGATCTTGATTTTATCTCCTCAGAAGATTGTCCAATTTCTTGGGATTGTACATGATGGTGGTGATGATCATCTTCCAATTTAGTCACCGAAGCTGCTGAAGATGCCTTCAATCGAGTCATGTTAAGCCGACCAAATGTTTGTTTTCCTGTGGATTTTACCGAAGCAGGTAACACAATAATCCTGTTACACAATCTTGAATAATTTAAGGAAGCCATGGGAATATTTTATACAGAATAGCAATGAAAAAGTAAAGTTGATACACAAAATAACAGGGTTAAAACCAACAACAAGTAAAAATACAACTAGAACCAAATAGTCAAAAGGTGATGATTAAAAAGTTAAAAATTGACACAGCAACTTAAACCCAACTCTGACAAAATGAAAGCAATTTCAAGGTTTTTCAGACGAGAAACGAGAAAAATGATGATAGCGAAAAACAGACAGAAAAGAAAGATAACTCTAAAAGTAGGGGTGGCATAGTTATACTAACACACACAATTCAAGGTTTATGAAGATGAAGCGAGAGATATCTAAAGGGTTTTTTATTTTCTCTGGCTTATTCATTTGTTCAGTGATAGAAAGTCAATTACGTTTTTATTTGGCAGTTTAATGAGCTTTTGCAATGCTAACATTCAAAGGCAAAGTGTTACTCTTGATATTGATTAATATTAAAATAGATAGAATATGTATTTATCAGCTAAAGATATCAAACGATATCGATCAATGAGTTTTGATTAGCAATTGATTAGATGGTTGTCAATGGTGAAACAGTTTTGTTTGAGGAAAGATATTCGTATAAGCATTCTAATCTTTATCTAGCAACGCGTGTAAAATGGCTGATTTATTTAGTTAATAATGATGATTTACAATTGTCAAGTGTAGCGATTTGGTAGATAAATTGCCCTTTATTAATACCTCCAACGACTGTGATTAATATCAAGTTCTTAGGTTGATATTTAGTAGATAGTATTATATTTACCGAAAATTGGGGATTATTTTAGCATGTTATGAACGGTAATTTTTTGTCGATTGTAAATGTTGATCAAAGTCACATCTCAACAATCATGAGTAGGGAGAAATTCATTTTTCATGATTGTTTTGGGGAAGGTTGAATAAATTGTTAGTCATCTTGTGATAAATAATGTAAAGGGCAAATGTACAATGTAATTTGAGAACTGGATTCAATTCTACAAAAATAACAGTTAATTTAATAAAAAAATGTTTTTAGATGATCACATCATGTTTTACAACAGTACTTAACATGATTGTAAAATTAACAACAAAAAATTAAGTTCTCTTTTTTACTAATTACTAAAAATTTCACTTCATTTCATAATTTTTTTTCCACCTGCAATGTTGATTTCATTTCCTATGACTGTCTTTGCGATGAGTGAATATTGATAAACCTTTGAAAGTTCTTTCTGAACTTTTGTTGCTTGGAACAGCAATTTCACCCAAAAGTAATTTTGCTTTACGCTCTTCCTCTTCTTTCGGTGGCTTGGAATCTTCTAATTTTGAATCTTCGACTTGATGATTGTTGGTAATTGATGAAAACGTTGGTGTAATCCATAATTTTTGTTTCAATGCTTGAGATAATAGACGATGTTTAGATTCTCTCTTAATAGCATTTATTAAATCTAACCATTCCCAGGTTTGATTATGATACTCAATGGTTGGTAAAATGAATTTGAAATCTTGAATGTTTCCAATGTTTTTATCTTTGTAAGAGACTCTCAACGGAACCTCAGTGATTTTAATGTAAGCAAATGTTTTATTACGTTGAGCCCGTTGTCTCATCTTTTCAACATCATCAGGTACTAATGGTTTGGCCAAAGATAAAGTCGATGATGTAGTTGACGATGAAGGAAGGGAATTACTTCCATTGGAAAGGCTTTTAGGCTGTTTTGCTCTTCTTTTCCCAGTTCCAGTGATTGATATACTATCTGCACCTTTACTTTTACCAGAAACACTTACAACAGCAGATCCAGTTTGACCAACAGCTCCAACACTTACGACTGAATAAGATGGTTCAATAGTTCTATTATCGTCTTGATTGAAGAAAAAGTTCTCCAAACATTTATAAAATTTATAAGTAACAACCAAATTTAGAGGAATAACGTTAACTTCAAAATGCTCCTTTATTGGTATACCATTTTGAGGAGGGGATTCCCGACAATAAACTCTTAATGCTCTCCTGGAGTCGATTGGAATATGTGGCTTTGCAGGAGCTGGTTCTAAGACTATGGGATGTTTCTGGTTAGGAATTAAATTGGAAACTTTGATGTAGCCAAGTTCAAGACTATGTTCAAACGAATCATCACTTTTAACCACTTTTGTGTAAATGAAATTATTTAATTCAACCTTTGCAAGTCCCATTTGTCCGTCAGTTTCAGTCAACTTCCAACAAGCTTGCTTGAAACAAATCTCGATTCGTCGAGCAACACTAACAAGCTCTTGATTAGCTTCACCTTCCTGTGACACTGATGAATTTTCTCTCGATTTATCAGCTGTTAACTGAGATTCTTTGAAAAGATTGATCATTAATGTCAACTCTTCATTAGTTCTATTAATTTTCTCCTTTAGAGCCATTATTTGCCTTTCATAAACAGCTAATTCTTCAGTCATTGAGCCATTCTCGACTCCTGATGCAGTCTTTTCATCAAGCAAAGCCTTTTGTAAATAATAACTTTCCTTTTCCACTTGCTTTAATCGAGCAATCATTGCTCTTAAATTATCTTGATAGACAAGAATAGGTCCTCTTAATGATTCAGTTGGATCGAGAACTGATTTAAATTTCATTCGTTGTAAATTCTCAAACGCTTCTCGTCGATGTGGTTCCACATAGAGTAGTAGGTTGTTAACTAAATCCATAATCATGGCAAACTGTTGAGAGTTGGTGTAAATTTCAAGATCGTGGTGATTCATTGTAAACGAATCAACAGCTATTTCTTTGTCCCACGGTTCCAAGTTCAAAACATCATCATCTTCCGGCAATGGTGGCGCTTTATCGACTATATCAGAAGGCACATCTTTGGAATAATTAACGTAGTAAAATTGACAAGAACACCTTGAAATAATACGTTGAAGTTGTATTGGGGAAGATGAAAGGATATCAGATCGACCGACAACTGGACTTACAACACCTCCTGCAGACTGACCACTACCAACTAAATCTGGAGGTTCGTTAATAGCACTACAAGTTTTCTCTTCAATATTATCAACAGTTAACCAATCAATGTCCTCATCATTAGAGCATCGAGCATCTACTGTTGCATAATATTGCATACCTTCGATAGAACCAACGAGTGATGTTTTACTCAGTAATGTTCGATCTTTCCAAACTGGTGTATAAAGCTTTTGAACTATTTGTGTTTTGGAAGCACTAACAATCATGTAACCAAATGTTTCACAGCCTCTCAACATTACTTGAGAGTTAACCAATTCAATTAACCAATTTTTCTTGATTATATTTTCATCTGAACAGGCAGCTATTCCTCTAAGCTTTGGTTCTTCTGAGACAATGTCGCTTTCAACATCATCCGTGAAAACACCTTCTGGATTACTTTCTGAGTCGGCAATTAGTTTTTGGAGCATTGAAGCTGCATAATTTTTGTTTAAGGTGGAAGCAGGACTTGATGATTGAGGTTGATTAAGGTATTTTCCTTTAACAGGTGATCCTCCACAAAATCCTGTTTGACCATCGATACGAATACCTTTTAAGGCATCAGTCGATAAGTTACGCTTTAACTGTTCGGCATTCATATATAAGTCAAACAGAGAGACGGCAATGTCTCGATTTTGTTTTGTCCAAGCTCCTTTGAGTCCGTGAATTACTAAACGATGAGTCGGATCATTGAAGTCTTCATTAAATTCGTTTGGGCTCGTTGCTTCAGAAGAAACTCGATTATAAGACATCGTTTGGAAACTGACAAAGAAGTGGCGAATAGTTCCCCGTGATTCGTGGTGATCTTCAATGTCTTCTAGACTTGGAGTCATTTTGACAGAATCATTTTTACACAACCAAATTTCTACATCGCTAACTTCCGAATTCATGCAAGCTCCGTAAGAAACAGGTCTCGGTCTGTTGTAACAAATAGAAAAATAACAGTTAATTAATGGGATACAATCAATAATTTAAATAAATGCATCATACCTCCTACAAAGTCCATCACCATAAGGTATAAAAGATATCTTGTGAATAGCACTGTGACTGAGTGAGCCTCCAAGAAACTCTAGACCTAATTGTTTGGACAAAGAGGACCAATAATAAACCTGAATAAAATGAGAATAAAAAAGGAGTTAAATTGCTGAACATAATACTAATAAAACCAATCGATTACCTTAAATTTCTTGAGACAAACAGTTAGTCTGATTTCTTTGAAGATTCGTGAGAAGGGCTTTTTTCTAGGTTTAATATTTCCAAAAAGTTTGCCACGTCTAGTGAGACGAGCAATACCTCGAAATATTGTTTTCTGATTTTCAAGCCATTTGAGAGTTGAACTGTAAAGCGTGATTGACGGCATTTGTTTTTGACAAACTTTAAGATTTTCAATGCAAATTTGAACCTTCAAATATTGTGATCTAAAAGCTCTATAAGAGTCCCAATTTTGATGAATTGAATAATCGGGAACTTTATCAGCTGCATGAGGAGTCACCGAATGATGATCATAAGGATTACCAAGACATTCCCACATCAAATCAATAGTAATTCGGACATCGGGAAAGTTAAGAATTTTCCTTTCATCATATTTAGATGCTGTATGAACGAGAAGTCCAAGGTTGCCAAAGACTACAATTTTACCAGTGATACATTCGATTTTGGGTGAAGCCAATGCTACTTCAATTATTTCAGTTGAATTGTAAGGATTAAGAGATCCATGAAGGAAGAAAGATAAATTTCGACTGGTAACCCGAAGAGAACCATGAAATAAAAGCCTAAGACGATCCCACCAAGGAAGCGATGGACTTGGATCTACAGATGGTTTGATAATGGATTCAAAACACAGACTGATTTGTTGCAAGACAGGCTCCCAACAAGCACCATGAGTGTAACCAATTTGCTCGACATCGAATTGTAGATCATGGTAGAATTTAAGCGGGGACATTGAACGTTCGATGATTAGAGGAGTTAATCCAGGACCTATATCTATTTCGCATTCTCGTTTAGATCGGAATCCAGCTTCTTTCTCGGCTCCAAGAAGAAGGCCACTTACTTTTAATGACTTGACATCAAGTAATGGCTTTGGAAAATCACGAAGTCGAGAACAGAATGAACCAATTGATCCTTGAACAAAACGACCCCAAAGGGTAACAAATTTGGTATCAGCTGGAAGAGGTGATTCTCTATCCAATCGTCGGGTAATTATTTCAACCAACTTATCGTAACCAGTTAAACTGGAGTCAGCTGCGATTTTCAATTCTAAATCTTCGACTGTGACTAGGAAGAGATGAGCTCGAGGTGGACTGGTTGCATATAATTTACGATGCCTCTCGATGTAAACATTTTCTTGTTTCTTCGATAGAGCAGCAAGTAATTCACTTAATTTGGCTTCAGTTAGTGACATATTCTTTTTCTTGGATTCATCAATTTTCTCTCTCCACATTTGGATACGTTTTTTACTTTCATGGTATTCGTCTTCCATAAGTTCATAATTATCACGAAGTTTCACTTCAAATGGATCATCACCAACTTCAAGGGTAATGGTTTTCACTTTTATCACGAGATCACACTTGACCTCATCTCGGGTTGGTTCAGATGAGGAGTGATATTTTCTGAGCCATTTCATGTTAGCGACAAACTTTTCATTAAATATTTCAGCGAAATTAAATTTATAGGGAAACACTAGCTTAATGCTTTCAATTGAAATTCCGCAAACATTATTTCGGGTCAAATTAAGAGGTTTACCTGAATCACCGAAATCTTTACGGTTAATTAAAGAGCTACTCTCTACTTCTGGTAATCTAGTAAAGCGAAGCTGCTCAAATTTTGCAATCACATGTCCATCAATTACGAGAGAAACAGGACTGTCTGCTCTAAACGATATACGATCACCTGAAGGCATTGTTAAACTCATCAATGGAAATTCGAGGAAAACCGTTTGTCCCTGATTGGAAACTAGAGCACCAATTCGGACATTGTCACCTAATTTGATAGTCGTCATAGTGATGAGATTCTTTTTAGTTGAATTTGGTGGTGAAGGTGTTGCTCTTGAAGATGATGACTTAAGTAAACTCCAAATAGAACGAATTTTCTGATAAGATTGAACAACATTAATATGGAAAGATACATTCCAGAGAAGGTAAACATCATCTGAGAAAGTGAATGATCTTTCATGATTTAGGTGATCAAGATTGAAAGTGAAATCAGATGAGTAGAGCTGCCTTTGGTCAATGTCAGCTGAATTAATTGCATCAGAATCAACTAATGGTGTCAATGAGTAAATTTCTGAGTTTTTTAAGGCCACAACAATCCGATTGGTGTCAATATTAAGGTAGGACGATTTAATGCATAGTTTCAATTTTTCAGCAACTGCAATAAGGCCATTCAGTTTCAAACTGAAAATGGCTGATTTAAATATCGAAGAAGTGCTATTCGTTTCGTTTTCTCGCATATTTGTATCGTTGGGATTTGTAATCTTTAGTTGATTAAATGCTTCCTTTGCAGTGGTTAATCTTTGGAGCATACATTGGAAACAGTCAATGTCAACAATAGGGTCCTCAATACTGCAATTTACCATAGAGTTTGATAATAAAGTATGACTCAGCTGTAAATAAAGGAAGAAAAACAAATTGATTCATTATACTTTCTATTTATCGATTGATTGTTTAAATTGCTGGTTACCTTGAAGTGACATGTTTGCCAGACTAGGATATCTTTTGTTAGAACAGTAGGAGAGGAGCTTGTTTTGGAATTTTGTGCAGATAAGGTTCGTTCCAAGCAACTGAAGTTATCCAAACGGAATTCAAAGCTGAAAAAATAGAAATAATAAACAGTTAGAGCAAATTGAAGCAAATAAACTGATGTGATTAGTGTAAAGAAATTAAATTTAAAAATTACCTTAATTCTTGTCTAATAGGGTCTGGATCGATGTTAGCAGTGATTTTACCGGTCCGAACAGAATTAATTAAGCATATCGAAGTACATGCTGGGTTATATTCAATGGAAACATCTTTGAATTCTGTTTCAAAGGATAATTTAACTCTTGGACTTTCACGTCGCAAAATTTTAGATAGAAAATCATCCTTGGTATTCATTGGTTTATTCATTGGATTAGTCATTTGGGTGAAAATTTTTGATGACGATGGTGGGTAAGAAGATGATGATGTAAAACGATAAACAAGATCAATCCATTTTAAAAACTCCATTTCATTATAATTTACATGCAGGGAAATAATTTCCGAATGGTTGGTAATCTTGATACATTGATTAATTGAGCTTTCCTCTTGAATCTTGGCTTGAAAAGAAAATTTTGCTAATGATGCAATGCTGTTTGGATCATCACTACTACCATCACTAATAAATGTTGACAAACCGCTGACAGTAATTTCAACATTAACATCGTTGATGGACTTTTTATCGATTCGAAATTCACTTTTGTCATTTTTAACAGTTAAAATATGTCCACTTTCAGAGCGAATCAGTTGCAAAATTGAATCATCACAAGCAAAGGTGATATCATTAAAATGTTGTAGAAAATAGGATGATTTGAGAAAATTTTTAGTGGTCTTAGGTTCTTGAGGTGATTTATAAGAAGAATTTTTGGCGAATATATCAACCAAGTACTCGTGGACATTGATTTTGAGACCGGACAAATGGACGTTTACATTGGTTTTATCTTCATTGAAAATGAGTTCTACTTGTGAATCAAGACAAAAGCCAGTCACGAAGTTTAAGTCTGAAGTGGAAAGAGCATCGCGGTTGGACTTATCGAGTTGTCCATCCACTTTTTGAGCAGAGCACTTCAAAATTAATGCTGAGCCCTTATTATAGTAGAAAATATTGAGACCTTTAACACTCATGTTGAGCATACAATTGACATCACTGTTTTTTGAGTTGATTGAAGCTTGGTGCAGGTTTATGTCGTTAACATTGATTGAGAAAAATCTCAAATAACGTAACCAACGGAGTTGTTTGATAAAATTCGTTTCATCATTAACACTATTATTCTGGATGTTAGCATCCTTTTTTGGTGTTTCCTTTATATCACTGTGATTACTTCTACCCTCAATGCGACAACCGTTGATATTGATTCCAAAAAGAGCGTGACTGTTTGAGTTGATAAGATGAAGCGAAAGCCATACAAAATCAATCTCCTATATTTATAGAGAGAATTAAAATGAGAATTAGTGGTTAAATGTCGGATGAATCAAAAGATTTGGAAAAAATGTAAACATACAATTTTATAACCATCAGGTGATACCAAAGATATACCATTAAGTTGGAAGAATCTGATTCCATTGATTCTCAAAGTAGAACCATATCTTGTTTTAAGTAGCCATGACAGTGCGAAAAGAAATAGCCTGGAAAACAGAAATTGAAAATTATTAAGATATAAGCTGATTAAATTAGCATAACAACCAATAGTAATTATAACTCGTTTACTCACCATATACTAATCCATGATATGATTGGTATTAAAGAAACTATGATGAGTGAATTTGTGTGAAAATAGAGGTCGATTAAACTGTACATTGCGATGAAGATGATGATCTAAGTGACACTTAAATTAAAAACCAAGGTTAAACCGGCAAGTACATCACTTATAAACGAGAGTGTAAAAAATAAGCACAATCCATCAAGTAGACCAATCTTCATAACCACATTGATGTGAACACAAAATGTCTCCAATTTGATTTTCTTTCAATGGATTGTACATAAAGAGTAAAAAATGTTTCAGGCTGATTGAACAAAATTTCATCTGATTAAAACAAAAAAGCTTATTATCTGAAAGAATAAATAGATTATGGAAACGTCAAATGTTAACAGCAATCAAAATTCATCTCATTTGTACCAGGAGAACCCAAGATTTGTTGGTAAACAAACCGCATAACACGCACATTTTTAAGGCGGCAACTATGAAATTATTAAAAATATATTTGATTTTACAAAAAAAGATTTGAAAGCAAATTAGATAATCACAAATAATTATCTAAATATTAACAATGAAGGTTAAATTTATTAAATAACACAATTCACGACCACAACCTAAATTACTAAGCGTTAACGTGGAAATTATTGAAATGCATGAAATAAAAGTTGTTCAATTCAAGGTTAATTTTTATTTCCAATACATATTGACTTATTTTTCTCTCCTTTTTCATGTTACTATTATATTATTCATGGTATAACATTAATTGTCTGAGCGAAGCGAAGACTATAATGTGAAATCAAAAATCTGTGTGTCGGCATAACTCAATTTTTATAATTAAGATTTTCTCAAGATCTTGAGAATAGGCTTTTAGCCTGCCAAGGCTTTGCTGTATAGTTTTTGGTCAACATTGGCCCACTCCCGAATTTTCATAAATTTTTCTACCGATAGATGGCAGCATCTAAACAAACAACAGATGGCAGCACATTTCATTGCACCGATTGATTAAATGAACGGAATCGGCTTTTTGTACCACTTTTTACCGTTTTTTCACTGTATTGTCCACCATATTGTCCACTGCTAGATCTAACACATCCATGACAACCACAAAATCAAAAATCATCACTTTAAATAGACTTTTCTCAACAAAATTAACCACCACTTTCATCCACCACATTTTCAAACACTTTTTTATAAGATTATCCATCCCCGAATCCTACGGAATTTTTGACCACTTTTGGGATATGATGGCGATTAATAGCAGATGTGTTAGATGGTGTAAAATTGGTCAACAATTTGGTGGATTTGGATGGTGGATAATCTTATAAAAAATTGTTTGAAAATGTGGCGGATGAAAGTGGTGGACAATTTGGTGGACAGTTATATTGAGAAAATTCTCTTCAAAAATTGATGATGTTTGATTTCGTGGATGTGGTGGGTGTGTTAGAATGGGTGGTGGACAATATGATGAAAAAACGATAACATGGAAAAATACTTTTAAAATGATGAGAAAAGTGGTTGATAAAGTGAAGTTGAAAAGCCGGTGCCAATTGATTCTGTATGCCCCTAGACCTGTTAGTCCGACCCCGGCTGTAGTTGAATATTAGGAGTTAGCTACTCAATCTATATCGAAAATTCATTGGCAGCTATCTGTACATTCGACATTCTCAAAGACCAATACATCGAATTATGCGCACTTGGCGATTTCGGCATCGTTTATATCTAGAAAGGATTTAGATGCATGCGAATGCTGAAATCAAAAAGCGGACAGCTGATTTCGTTGTATTTGTCTTTGAGAAGGTCAAATCTAGCTACTCATAAATTGTCGATGAACAGTTCTTGAACTTTGGCTTTTTGTTTTTTTTCAAATCTTTCATTTTTTTACAATCCTCCAAATTGATCACACTACAGCTACCTTCGAGATAATGCACTCTTTTTTAAATGATCCCTATTAAGGAGAAGTTATTTCGTCAAATTTTGATTCGATTTCTTTTATTTACATAATTTAATTTTTTTCGTGAGATATTAATCGTAAAACTCGCGAAATCAACTTACAGCGACATTTCAGGTTAAAACGATCTATTGAAGAGGATTAAAAATTATGAATTACGCTGCCCAAAGAAGAGTGAAAATAAGCTATTCCCAGTACGGTGCATTATCTCATTTTTCTCTCCTTTTTCATGTTACTATTATATTATTCATGGTATAACATTAATAATATCTAAAAATAAAATATTTATACACTAGTTTTACAATCATTAAACAGCTAAGGTATCGATGATGATATCAATCAAAAATTTAAATACGAGCCAATTTTCCTGATCAATACCTTAGGATTTGTTGTCTAAACAAGTCTTGTGTTTTAATTATGATTTGTTTTTGTGCTTATTCAGTCAATTCAGCTTTATGATGTTATGACGAGTAGTTTAAAAAACACAGACAAAGGCATGTAATTAGAGGAGAGGAAAACACATGAATACATGACTGTTTAACAGGCGATCATAAAAGAATCCACTGTTGTTTATTTCGTGCTAGAAAAAAAAGAGATCGGGTTTGGTGTACAAGTTCAATACATTTTATTGGCATTCACAGAATTTCGATTTCTCAACTGAAAATTATCGATTGAAAGTTTAAATATTAAAATGATCAAATTTGTAAAATTATCGAAGGAAAATGATGATTCTGATGTTGCCATATTTTAATGGTAATAAGCTTGCTCGCCCGAGCAATGACACGACACTATCGTCTGGGATTATGACTGAATGCCTCTAACGAGGGAACATACCCAAGTATGAAATCTCTATATCGATTTCATACTTGGGTATGTCCCCTAGTAAGTCAGAATATTTTCATCATTGTTAGTACTGTGACCAACAAACATTGTACAATTTAATATAAAACTTTGCTGAGTTACCAGAAAAAACAAGATCTATGCTGAAGGTGCAAAAATCTTAGGATAGTGCGATTCCCCAAGGCTCAGCTTCCATCTGACAAGTAGTAGTTGTTAGAGTTCATCATCTCTAAAAATGAACTTTAATTGTTCAAAATTTAATCAAAAATTTACTCTAATTTTGATCATGCAAAATGTCTTCTTAATTCTGGCTTCAATGTTATTGGAAGAGACAAATATGGTGTTTAATGAGTGTTTATATTTGAATAATGAAGTGATTATGCGAGAAAAGTTTATGGCATGAACTTTATTAATCTATAACGGATTCTGCATTTTTGCCCATCGTCTCTATTCACACTAATTTCTCAGAAACCTGAACTCAGAAAAGGTTCTGACTATTTTTCGAAGATTTAGTTTGATCATTGCTTTATTCTGCGTCAAAATTTCTTTAGAATCCACTCAATTCGAGCGCAAGAATTTGGTGCTTTGAATTGTTATATTGTATATGGATTTATGAATTGACTATCATTGTGGCTATATAATAATTGAAAGTGAATTTTGTTGATCCTCCTTTAGATCCAGTTTATCATCATCGGATTCATCATTATTATCTTCTTGAATTTGTTTTCTTGTCACTTTCAAATTAATCTCGAGTAATTCAATCCTTAATTCCACAATTATCAAATTAACCAATAAATGTAATCATGTATTGAAAATTTAGTCCTGTTTGTAAATCAAGTAACTAACTGTAGATGATCATTGATCAATCTTTATTAACCGTCTCTAGCTGCTTCTTGCTTTTTTGTGCTTCAATCTACAAGATCGAAGCAAACAGATGTTGAAAAACATTAGAACTGAATATCTTAATTCTTATTAGCTTCAATGGATTAGCTGTTAGCTAAATGAAGCTGATAAGGTATAAGTATTGCGCTGTCAGTGCATTTGATCTCGTTTAAATGACAAGGTTCGCGAAGATACAGTTTATCCTTTCAGAACTTGCCGTTACTCAGATGGGACGGCAGAATCTCTTAGAAAAGGATGAAACTCGCCTCTTTCTTTGCATCTACTGAGAGGTGAGACTGTACTAATTAACAATATTTCAAGCCAATCAAACAATTTCATAAAGATTTTAAAAAATGCATATAAAGTAATTCTCGTTCCACCTTAAATCCATTAATATAGTTTATCCATCAAACAGAGCTATTAATAAATTCAAGATGAACAGCAATCCAATCAAAGTTCTGGTAACATCAATCAATGGGTAAGTCTAATCTAAATGGTTTCGTAAATTTTTGAATAATTATATTTTTTATGTTCTTTTGTTTTCACTAGTTATGGACACTTTAATGCCGCTCTTGGTGTTGCGAGTTTGCTAGCTAACCGTGGTAATGATGTCTATTTTGCCAATCTATTGAAGTATAAAGATGAGGTTCAGAAATATGGTGTGAAATTCATTGCTCTTGAAGATTACAACGATGCATATAATAAAGAAATGGAACAGAAAAATGAAACTAAAGCAGTTGAAGTCTTAGTGAAAAGTATGGAACCCAAATCAACTTCGCCTCTAGGTGACGAGGAAAACAGCATTGCCGGTATGTCGATTATCTTGGCTGAGCTCCAGCTGTTAGATTCCACTTTGCAAAAAATCATCGATTCCATTAAACCAGATATTTTGATCGGTGACGTTTGTTTTCCTACTCCACTCTTCTATCAATCACCAATTCCAAGAATAATTTTGTTCTCACCCAATCCATCCGCCCTTTATTATGAGACAACTGGATTTCCGACTTCACTGGGTCTATCAGTTCATGTTGATAGGAGTTCGTGGCCATGTTATCATAAAAAGGTATTGAAAATGAAAGAAGCTTGTAAGGAATACTTTAAATGGCTTTCCTTATTTGGAATAGAAACAAATTTTTTTCATACTTCGGACAAATTTCTTGGTATTTACATGTGCCCAAAAGCATTAGACTATGTTGAATTAGGATCACCGCCACCAAATTGGATTCGAATAGATTCTTCTATTCGTACCCGTGCTGCAAAGGAATTTATTGTTCCACCATTTAGGACAAATCAGTCGGGAAAATTGGTTTACTTGTCAATGGGAACTTCAGGATCTCTTAACATAGCTTTGATGAAGCGTTTAATCAACACTTTTTCCAAGAGTAAACATTGCTTCATTGTATCTAAAGGCTTTAAAGGTGATGAATTGACTTTGTCTGAAAATATGTGGGGCGATAATTATGTTGATCAAATAGCTATCTTACCCAAAGTTGACGCGGTTATAACTCATGGTGGGAATAATTCATTCATTGAGACGTTTTACTTTGGTAAACCAATGATTGTAATGCCGTGTTGCTTTGATCAACTAGATAATGCACAAAGAATTGAAGATTTGAAACTTGGATACAGAGTTGATCCATTAGGATATGATGAAGATGAAATTCATAAAATTGTTGACGATTTGCTTGAGAATACCGAGATACGCTCAAAAATGGAGGAAATTTCAAAGCAATTGAAAACTTCAAATAACCGAGAAGAAGTGGCTAGGTTGATTGAAAACATCGCAGTAACTAAAAAGTACCCATTTCAATAAACACTCACGACCTTTAAAAATTAATTTCAATTTCTCATCGAATGTGTATGAGAAATAAATATTTCTATCACAGTAATAAAGATTCTAATATGCAATCAAGAAATTATTCATCTCACAATGTGTAAGTTAGTGTAATTTGTTAAAATAAAGAGATAAATGATCAGATTGGGTTGACTTGTTTACTTAATAATATTGTACTAACACTTATTAAAGTAAATACACCGGTAAACAATATTGAAAATTGTTATATAAAAGCATTTGAGTAAATGACTCTCATCTTGTCATGATATTGAGATTTCATTACAATCGAGATAAGCATTGGATGAAGTTTACATTTGAATAATCGAAATGTTTCAAAATAAAAGGATGATTTAAACGATTGCAATTACAATAGTTAATTGTAATAATATTTGTGAAATTGTCAACAGCAAACAATATTTCTAATGGTGTATTCATATTTGAATCAGCAATTGATTTAACCATCTCAGTGCGTCTCAAATGAATATGAAAAGCCATTATGATTATGAAGCCAGAACACATATTTCAAAGCATCCAAACACCACTAGCTTTTGGAAAGAAAAAGAAAAGAAAATTAAAATTTATTGAAATTTTGATTTAATTTTGTCAAAATCAACATACATTACATATGATAATGGTGGCAAATGTGTCTCATAACTGCTGTAGAGTCCAAATTTATTATTGCTCTAAAAGCCAATTGATCTGATCCAATATCAATAGAGATGAAGAAAGAGAAATAAGTTAAATGATTATCAATATTGAAGGAATTGTAATTTCCTAAATTTTAAACTCTAGAGTGGCTAATCATTTCAATTGTAAATTTTAAGCTGGAGCTAATCATACCTGTAATTGGATTGTAAGTATTATCAGCATTTTACATTTTTCTCGATGGTGAATCTTCACTGACGACACGCTAAATTTTTACATCATAATTGCTTTGGCAAACTGATCTTGAAAATATAATCAAATTTGGAGTACCAATTCTGAATAAGGGATGAATAAACATTTAACCAGGTTGAAATGAGATGAAATATGTACAATTGTATAACGTAAAGTATTTGGAGATGAAAAGCCTGCAAAAGATGAGATAAACAACAATTAGTTCAGAGAAATATGAAATATTCAATTTATTCAATAATTGATATTTACTTAAAGGCACTGTTAAAAGATGAGATTGAGTCACTTTTTGTTGATAACATAAGCGTTATTGTGAGCCTGACCCTTAACTTTTGATCTTTTACCAGCCTGAGGACCAAGACAGGCTTTTTTATGAGCAGCTAATCGATGAGGGAAAAATGTTCGCGCGCATTTGGGACACGGAGTTAGTTGCGACTTGAAATGCTCCCAACCGGAGAGATCACAGCCTGTGATTGAAGAGATGGATCCTCGATGTTCACCTCCTTGAGTATTAAACGTCATTGGAACTCGTTGGTTAGCAGGTAGATTTGAATTAGCGTGTTTCCATTTCTGCGAAAAGAAATAAAAGCGAAAAATTAGTTTCAAGAATACAATAGAGCAACAAGCATTCCATTTGTAAGACATTTTGTCGAAGATATCTTTGAAAATCAAGAATTTGCCGTCAAAACAGAAGCCGAATGAAACTAGAGCCACTAAGGTCCATTTCAAGAGTGTTACTATGATTCGGATATTTCACAAAGCATCTAAAATCACTTTTGTGGAAACATTAGATAAGGAAAGATCAATAAGTATCAAGTGATTGATGATTTTATTTGATAATTGACCGCTAAATGCATAATAATTTTACTGAAGGTTCATTTGGACAAAAACATAATTGAGGCTTTAATTACTTCATTAATGACAAGATATATCTTCATCTAGAAAATATTGATCAGCAAGACCTTATTTCATTGACCCATTTTATTGATTGTTTAATTGACCATACACATCCTTTGAGACTTTATTTAGAGTTGAGCAAATTGCAGTTGAATAGTTTCTGTCCTAAACATTCAAATTAAGTATTTTTATCTGTTGTGTTCAGAAAGACAAAAATATTAAAGGTAAATGTTAAATAAGCACAACATACAATGTTAAACATACAATAATCAATTGGACAAATCAATTGCAGAACTATACCAACCTAACTACAAGATGAGTTTTGAATAAACCAACAAAAGATAGATTTTTTAAATAATCAATAAACTGTCAGAGATGGTTCTTGAAATGATGGATAATTTAAGATAAAAATGAAAAATTTACAATCAATAAAAATTTTCAAGTTCATTTCAAGTTCACTTAAAATACAATTAAAAAATTACACTCAAGTCTGCAAATTCATTCATTTCCAACCGATTCATAACATTAGGACTTTGCGAACCAATCTTGAAGGATTCGTCAAATATCGAAAATTAAAATTCATGTAACTAGACTCATTTTATCAACACTAAGATCGTGAAATCAAGAGGCAGGAAAAATGTACAACAATCGATCTAATAATCTTGATAGTTCTGGTAGCGATCTAAATTTGAATATTAAATTAGAGTTCATCAAAAGTTAAAAATTTAAGTCTGAAAGCGTCTGTCAATAAAGATACTTGTTACTAATTGTTAATAAATTGTATATTTAAGTATCATTGCATATTTTATCAATAACAAATCATCAACATAATCTATTTATGAATAATATCACCATTAGGTCCAGAATTTTAGGTCCCACAAAAGGATTCATTATCAATTGTAGATATAATCGTTTTCTACTTTTCATTTTATTCGCTACAATTTAGTTAAGTAAGTATTATTATTATACTTTGACTGCAGAAAATGATTGAATCTTTACCATTGAAATCGCCTGTTGCAATCAAGGTCAATAAATTGATCTGAATCTCAAGGTATGATAAAAATCAATATATTTCTATTGGTTTCATGGTTGATAGGTTAATGGGGTGAATATAAGATATAAAAAGCTGGATATACATTATTCATAAATGTTAAGATTAAGGTAAAGTTAAACGGTCAAGGTTTTTCAGAAAATTATTGTCAGATAATTAACTGAGTTAGACTATTGTTCATCATTTGAAAGATACACTGAAAATACACTGAAAATACGCTGAACTACTGGAAATTTGTAAAAGTCAAACCTTCAGGAAATATCAATGATAACAACATACAATCAATGGCAAGTTGATTGTTTAAAGTTGTTGACTAATGCAAAATAGGAAACACTCCAAACACTTGTAATTCATATTATAATGGTTATTGAATAGCAATCAATATTTTTTGCAACATTCACTTGAAAGTTTCAACAGGTAAACAGCATTTAAAGATGAGATGCACTAAATCTCAAGATTTGCACTCGCTATGATCATTATAAATAGTGCCGACGTGTACAAATATTACATTCATATTTGATTCCGAGATTGCATTTAAAGATGTTTCCAAATCAATTTTGGTTAAACAACGAAAGATTGTTTTTTGCTCACCTCAAGACATTCAATTTCGTGAGTTTCGATTTCATCTGTTTCAAATTCTTGACGGCATAGATAGCATTTCACACGGAGAGATGAGTAATTATCAAGATCAGGTGATTCTTTGTCATCAATATCATGCAATAGATTGTTTCCAGCTACATCATTTTCCTCGTCTTTCTCTTCCTCTTCAAGACTGGTTGAACTGTGTTTAAAATTATCAGAATCATTTACAATATTGTCGTCTTCATCTTTTGACTTTGATCGCTGCGACAACTGCTTTGGTGGGGAGTTTGTACTGTTGTTTGATTCTTTAGTATTGGATTGGTCTTGTTTAAGAGATGAATTAACACGAGAATGAGTATAAGAATTATGATGGTTATGGTTTTGATTGGGTTGGTAGTGATGATGGTGAGCGTTATTATGAGCGTGATAGTGATGTTTATTTTTAACATTATGGTGGCTGTGTAGCCTTTCAGGAGCTGATGATCGTTCACATGAGTTGCAAACTTTTTTATCGCTATCTAATTTTACGGTTGATGCAGTCGGAGGTGGTGGTGGTGGTGGAGGTGGGTGAACTTTACTTGCACTTTGGGCCCAACCAACACCATTTCGGTTCACCGAGATTACTTTACTGGTAACCATTCGATGATTTAAATTGCATTTAGATGAGTTCAGGAGGCTTGTACGATTTTCAGGTGGGTATCTCGATTTATTTGTATCTATCAGTTTTCGACAGCGACAAGAGATGTTTGTATCACCACTGGTTTCGCTCACGCTGTTATCATCTTCATTCTCAAAAGTTGTCTCATCAATAACAGGATGTTTTATATTTGGTGTTGGTCTTTCAAGTTTCTTGGTTCGCGGTCGATCATTTGATCGGCGCTGAACTGGTTGTTGAACAGTAGATTGCATATGAGACGACCGAGGTAAACAACCTAGATGTTCTGGAGTTAATGGATTTGATAGGAATCCAGATCCAATGAAAGGACCAACAATATCAATTAAACAGTGGATTAAATGAGCACCAGTTTCACTTGTAGTTACTAATGAGTTACAGGTTGAGCAACGCCAATGAAGATTGTCGCTTAAACGGTGAGGAGGAATTTCCTTTCTATTAACAGACAATAAAGAGACTCTCGACGAGGAAGGTGAAGGTCTTATATTTGGTTTATTTCTTGGTGACTGTGAAGATTCAGGTATTTTATCATTTGACTTGGTTGAAAGAAGTGGATAAGCACGAGGCATTCAATGCATTGATAAGCGTTGAATTTTCCTATTATTACAATGGTTAAGTTTCATAAAATCATTTCTGCAAGAAAAATAACAAAAGAGTTGTTAGTGAAAAAGCAATGAGCAAACGTTGTATCCTTACCTTTTTATTTGATCTCAAGTCTGGTTATTTTAACCAATAAACATAGCCAGGTTTAATCTTAACCAAGATTTAATAAAAAAGTTCAAGAAGATGCGACGAAAACGATATTTAAATAACAAATATTAACACATTTAGTGAAATGCAAGACAATTTTACAAAATCAATGAAAAACAGTTGCAAAGCAAAAGGGACAAAAGATAGAGAGGGAATATTATAAGTGTCTTTCTTAATATATTAAACTATGATGTCAAAGTTTAACCGTTGCAAGTGAAACGTTTGGTTCAAGTGATTTTACAAGACATCAGCGGATTTTTCAAAATTATTTTACACATGTAATGAAAGCTTATCATGTAATGAAATATGAACAATTAATTGGAAATGTGAATTTTAACCAGCCTTATTGGAGAAAGACAAAGACTGGCTGGTTAGCTTGTACATGAAGTAAGTAGAAAGTTATTTTATGTTACAGGCAATATTGCTGCTGAATCTTTGCTCTTTCAACATTATGAATATTTTTATTATAATCATTGGAACCAAAGAATTTAATTGACGATATCGATCTATTTAGGAGAGTGTCTGAAGGTAAGTGAGCATGGAAAACTATTAACGTATTCATGGTAACATTGATACATTTTTGTTTTGATCACTCACTGCTTTTTCACTTTTCACATTTTCTCGTTTCTTTTACTCTTTTATTGCATATTTTTGCTAATAACTATATGTTAGTAATTCATTTCTTTCTATTTCTCTTTCTTTATGTATCTTCATGATTTATGTTTCAGATTCACAATGTCTTATCCTGTCTTGAACTTAATTTGATTGAAGATGACAAGAAACACTCTATAACATTGGAACGACCTTGTTATAAAACCAACAGAACCAACAGTGTCAACTGATATTATGAAGGGGATCGGATAACATTATGAAAGACATCTATGATCAATGGTAAATAGTTGTCTAAAGCTGGTCTCAATTAGTCCATCTCAAGTATTTCGGATTTTAAAACTTAATGAGGAAGGTGTACGTGATGAATACATGTAAATAGCAAAGGTGATGATAAAATGGTGGCACATGAAGATGAAGATGACTTATAAAAAAAAGTATGAATAGCTTAAAAAGATGATCTTATCTAATACGAGAAGCCATAATGACTCATTGGATAGCTGTAAACACTACCGCAACTAGAGTAACTGTAATAAGGGTTTGAAGTATAGTAAGGTGAATAAATGTTCTGGTAACTATCCAATGTAACGGGCATAGGAATATCAGTATAAGGAGCCATCGGAGATACCATTTGAGCACCATACCCAAGATAGCGACATGTTTTTATGGCAAATCTCTTCATTCTTTTGGACCATTTCACTGGTTTAACCTTTACATCGCCATCTTTCTCCATATCAACTTCAACCTTTCCACATTTTTTCATGGATTTCACTTTAGCTTGTTGCTCGCCGGACACAGCGGTTTTGGGCTTTTTACATTTTCTAAGCCATTTGCTACGTTTTCGCAACTTGGGTTCATTCAAAGAGGAAGAGCAACATGGGATCGGATCATCAACAATCTTAACACATTTGCTCTTTTTGGACATTTTGATTGAAAATTTGCGACTGCCTTTTGATTTAATCGTTACAACTGGTTCCACAATTTGAGTACACGGTTCAACATTAATGATGGCTGGCTCATGTTGATTCGTGATTTCCATGCTGCTGTCGAGAGGCTCTTCGGTTTGTTTTTGTTGGTCGCAAGACGCAAGTTGCTGTTCATTAGATTCACTCTTTGACAAGGAATTTCTTTCATCATTCGACTCTGTTTGTAACCGTTTCTTCGATTTCTTTGATTCTTCTTTGGTTGGCGGTTTACCAGTAATGTTAAGGATACTCGTGCTTTTCAAAAGATGAGAAACCTCTTCTTTAGTTGCCTTGAAGACCTTTCTTTTCACATAATCACGAATTGTAACACCAGGAGTAATAATGAAAGGGAATAATGATGATAATTTTTTTGCTGGTGTTGATTCCTTGCTTTTAACCGTTGTAACAGTACCATCATTGGTGGCAGAATATTTGATGAAAGGCGATCCAAGCTTAACCATGATTACTTTTAAGTTATGTTTTTATTGTTTTCAATGGAAATTAATTCAGGTAAAAATACTAATGATCTTAACAGTTGAAAAGTTCACAGAGACCAAAGAAATGTCTCACTTTGTTATGATTGAAATAAAATAACACTATTCACAATATCACTTTGAAAATGTCTTCCTACTTCAACAACCTTATCACATTAATTATGTCTAACTTTACAATTTCTTTTTCTCTCTTTCTCTCATCTATCACCATTTATCGTTGTATTTCATCTTCTTTCTTCCCTCCCCTTTCCACCAGCGCTAAAACGCTTTTAGATTAACAAGCAACATGGATTGTACTTCTACTCTTTGATAAGAAACCTTGTAAACAGCGGATCAATCTAATCTTTTTCACTTCACAAAAATCATCATCTCTGGCTCTTTCATAGGCACTACCAATTAAATAGTAATCATATCACACAATCTTCAAAGACGTTGAATTGTGGGTTGCTATGGATTTAAATGTTTATATCGTGATCTCAATCATTTCAAATTACAATATCAATTCATGAATGACCTGCAATGATTCCGAATCAGGAGCAAGCTACTCATTGAATAATTTACACTTCATTGTTAAATCAAAAATATATTACATTTATTACAACTTATACAATGATGTCTGCGTCAGTTGATACCAAAGTTGTGCCTGCTATTGGTGATGATTTAACGGGCATAACATTTTTCCTGGTCTGTCAAAATTTCCCAAAAATCGACTTAGTTTTTGTCTTATTTTCTCTCATCATGTTTGAGATATTGTTGATCAACAAAGGGAATTAAAATGCATCTGAATGCAAAAGATTGTAACAAAAACGATTAAAGTTTATGTAGATTTGATGCAATTGATGAAAATGGTAGTCCATTAAAAATAGCTTATGAAGATTGCCATGAAAATATTTTCTTCACATTCAGTGGTCGTAGGTTTCAGCAAGTCAATATCGTTAATAAATTTATCATGTTATCGATAAATAATTCCAAGAATTGTTGGTGCAACCAAGAAAAAAGGCCAAGATTTACTTTGAAGTGTATATGATAAAATTACATTCATGAAAGGAAATGGTTCTAACTGTCCACTGAGCGACAAAATTTCAACCAAGAATGATTGAGGTTGAAGTAAAAGTTTGATCAGAGCTGGTAAAAGTCAATAGCAGCCAGCTAAAAAACAGTCAAAATCACTTTGTATACCCAGGTCCTCGATCAATTGAATTTACTCTTATTTTGACTGAAGAAGATTAAACAAAAAGTTTTGAAAATTCTGGTTTCAGTGTTATTGGAAGAGACAAATACATGATGTTTTCCTGTTGAGAAGTAAACTTTTCAATGTTCATGAGACAAACCACAAGCAAATTATTGACAACATTGAAATTAAAAATCAGAATCACTTGACTAGATTAGTCTGAAGCATACAAACCAGAAGTTTTATTGTAGGAGCTCGAAAAGCAAATATAAACATTAAATGTCAAATAAGCTATTTGATAATATACCTATGTACACAGGGTTTCAATGTAAATTAAAACTACAATTTAATCCGAAGCAAAAAAATTGTAAACAATTTTGACGTATTGGCTTGATGAGCCATCTGCTGGTCTGTAAACCCATTAGAACAGCTTGCGGTAACTACTTGTCTACTTTCAGCTGGTAAAATGACACGTTTTAAAACGTAAAAACAGGTAACCCATTTTGATCATTTGATGATCATCATATCACCATTTACTGTTGAAGTTGTACCGTCTTAACTGTGTTCAATTCTTTAGTTTGTGACTTGTCAAAAGTACTTGGAAAATATCAAAATGGTTAAAACTCAGAGGATGAAAGTTGCCAATGAAAAGCATTCAAAAAATGTTACTCTCCGAGGAAATGTACCCAAAGCCAGTGTAAGTTTCCATTTATTCAATATTACGCATTTAATTTTGCCATCATTATTTTCATATTTTTTGTTATACTTTAAGACATTTTTAAATTAATTATGAAGCTGGTTTTAAAATAATTCATCAATGATCATTTAACCTTTTATTACAGAAAGCTAATGATGATAAATATCCAGTTGGACCTTGGCTATTGGCCTTGTTTATCTTTGTAGTCTGTGGATCAGCCGTTTTCCAGGTTATCCAATCAATCCGATATGGATTCTAAATGGAAAGCTAAAGCTATATCAATCTAATAAATTGGAACCAAATCCAAAATTGAATTTATTTTGATGCAATGTTTAAATTTACGGATCATTATAATGTTATCATTCTTTACTATGTAATTGAGATTATTTACCAGGAACCAATAATAAACTGATTATTTTCCCAACTGCAGTCTGATGACATAATTTTGAACATTTAAGAGCAACAAACTGGATGACAAACCTTTAGATGATCATTATTTCAAGATCAAGAATTATCTCATCAGTTTTTACCTTTTTTATTCAATTTTAGGTTCGTACAAACCGCGCCCAAATCCTTTTCCCCTTCTTTACAAACGCATACTCTTGTTAGACAGTTTTTGAACCACTCTGTAAGCCAAGACTCCCCTTCAACTACTTACAGTCGGTACAGTTGATCCTCATTTTTGAAAAAGAAAGACCTAAAGTTGTGATCTTAAAAAACCCGACCACGCAATTCTGGTTACTCTATTTAAGCTCCCTCTACTGGTTCATATACCCGTTTGTACAATTGTATCTTTTTTTCAAACCTGATCCTCACATTTTCTTATTCAACTGACATTCCGTGTTGGCTGTGTGTAATGTATTTTTACATTTAAAATTGTATTTACTATTTATTTGTTTCTATTTCCCTCTTTTTTGGATTATATCTACAATTTAAACCTACAGTATTATTTCAACAATCACCAATACTAACCATTTAATACCAAAGATGAACTCTTTCAATTTAATTGCTTTAATAATCTTCACTTTGACTGCTTTAACTTCAGGTAAGATGTCCTTTTTTCTGTCTTTCTCGCTTTCAAGCCTTTTTCATTCTTCCCTTCATTATTTCCTTGTACTCCAATCTTATGACCTATTAGACCAATTTTTTGTTTAATTTTTCATTTTTGCTCATCAAATAACCATAATTTTCCATGTTAATGTAAATACTTTGAGTAAATTGGTTAAACAATAGATACTTTATGTTTACTGTATTCAATAGTATTCATCTTTACGGTTTGAAGGGAATGCGAGGGAAACATTTACTTGACCTTTTTCTTCGTTACTTGCAATCTTCAAATAATTCCAGTTTTATATCTGATGATCTAATAATTGTATTTTTGAAGATTTATATTTAATCAGTACTTAATTGTATTCAGATAAATGGCCAAATTAAATGTTGATATCATCCATTATTTCATATGCTTATTGGGTAGTATTTGGAGATGCTCCTTGGTTTACTTTTTTGGCTATGGATTTCATTGTATTTTTTGTTATCTAATAGTGTTTGATTCTTTGGAATGTAAATTAAATATTGAATTTATTGTCGATTACAGAATTTTAATTAACATACAATTTGCTATTTTCCATGTACATTCAAGATTTAAAAGTATCTTAATCAATCGGCGACAAACAGCCATGGAATGAGAGGTTTATCGATTAGCCCTTCAAATGACCCTGTCAAGCTTGCAATTGAACATTGAACCAGAATTTTCTTTCTAACCAAGGAAACCCAAACACTTTCCTCTTTTCATTTCAATATTCTTGACACAATTTACATGCTGAAAGCCTATTATGGATTACACTCCATTAGAAAATATATTTTATTTAATATTCATGAATATTCTTGTATAAATAATACCTCAACAGCTCAATTTTAGACTTTAATTTCATTTCTCTTGTAAGAGTTGTTAATTTTTTCATATTCAAGACTTATCGATGGAAGCTTATGAATCCAATAAATCTTGATTATTAATTCCTTAACTTGTGTTTAATATATTAAATAAGACTGAAGGACATTTAAATGCAATTAATTTCCAGTGATTATCATTATATTTCATCAGTTTCATCTCCTTATTGTTTATCCTCCAAAATACTTAACTTGAATAAGGCCAAAAGTAATCAATCAGAAAATAGACTCAAAATAAATTCTGTAAAAATTTTCAAATCTCTTGCTCTCTATTAACCAATAAATTCATCTATTTCAATGATTAAGTCTGAACATGAGTAATCGATTTTCACTAAATAACTGGACATTGTCCTGTTAACCCATTCACAAGACATTATTATATTGATTAACCTCTTTCCTGTTCATTTGCACAGCAAAAATTAATATTTCTCTCTATTGGTTTCCACTCATTACTTTGATTATCGTTCTTCTCAATCATGAAAAATTTGACTGAATTTTCTTGAGTTAACCCAGTAAACAATACATCTTGACATAGTCACACCTTGATTCTGATTATAAACTATAACCATTTAGTAATCAATCTGATTGAATACAAAATGATTGTCTTTAAGGTTTACTCGACATCCATTTTTGATCATGGATGACCAATCTTTCCATCATGACAACTTTCAAAATGAACAGTTTTTTTTTCACAAAACCTTTCTCACCATTGAAAAAGGATAAAATGAACAATTAATGTTCACCAGTTAAACTATTGTCTACTAAACTCTTCACATCTTAACCAACTATCTTTTTTCATCCTCCTCAAATTAACTCACAAATTGGCAATTTAATCCACATCTTATCAGCATTAACATGGTTGATTAACTTGATTCATTCATTTTGTATTATTTTTCACCAATTTTCTTACATGCCTTTTGATTGGACAAAATTTCCATCCACCAGAACCTTCTCAGTTTTCAATTGTTGAACAACCTTTCATTCACTTTTGTCGTCCTCATGTTCATCTTCCCAGACCGTTCACTGATCAATCTTTGGGTTGACTTTAGGGACTTCTCAAGATTCAGTGAACCATCTTCATGTTCATCTCCCTTTCACCTCGTTCCACCCAATCATCATTTTCATCAATTTTTAGTTTCTTTTTTTCTTCTCTTCTTCTTTCCAACATTTACTCAGCTTTACCACATCTTTCAATCACTTTACTGTTTAATTTCAACCATTAAACCAAATTAAGTGTCCACAATTAGACAATTGTTGACTCTTTTTTTTACCCTTCACTTGAATCCCTTTTTTTCTGTATCACGTATCCCACACCAATTGTGTGTATTGATTATATTTAATTTACTGAATACACACAACCAATTGTTTGGGTGTTTTGACACAGAGTCAAGTTGACCCGATTAACTTGATTTTCATGAATTACAATTTTTAAAACAAAAGCAATCAACTCGTTTACTTTCTCACAGTCAATGGTCTTCGTTGTTACAAGTGTAACTCTTTATCCAAACCATACTGCTCGGATCCCTATGATCCACCAGACACTGGTGCAGTTGCACTCGAATATCAAGCTGATTGCGACAAAGAGATCGACAAAGTAGTTCGTAATGAAACCCATCAAGGTTTAGCGCCTCACGTTGATCGCAATGGATCCCAATATGTTGCAGTCTGTCGGAAGGTCGTGCAAAAAGGTTAACCTATTCTCATTCATCTGCATCAGCTTGTCTTGCCCATGATTATCCATGAAACCCATTCATAGCAACTCTAGAATCACATAAAACCTCAATTGTCAATCCAACAATTTACATTGTTCTTAATTTTGCTTGATTTCCTTCCTTACCATAACTCGTAGTTTTGCCTCTTCCAAGTTAACCTCACAATTGTAGCCTTTTTACAATCTTTTTAAATGATCGCTCCAATGCATGTATTATGATGATCATTTAATTTCATTTTTACTGCAACCTTTTTCCATTCCATTCTTTAATCATATTTAATTCCTTACCATTTAATAGTTAATTGTTAGCAATACAAGGTTAGCCCATTTCTCATGATCATCCTCAAACTCCAATTAACTTTATGACAACCATCCTTTGATTCATGTAGCAACAAATAGCAAGTGATAAACACGCACCGACAATTTGATAAAGTTAACTTTTCCTTGTCAAGTCCTATTAGATAGTAGTTTAAACTTGTACAATTTAAATTAACATTAGTTTAACATGAATTGTTTCTTTCTCTCTTTCTCTTTCTGATTACCTTTCCAAATGCTTCAAACTCATTTACAGTTGAAAATGTTGTTCGAGTTTTCCGTTCATGTGGTTGGTTCGATGCGGCCAGCGAAGAGCCTATCTGTTCACAGCGAACCGGATCTTTAGGTGTTACCCATACCCACTGTGTCTGCAGAGGTGATTTATGTAACCAAGGAGTTATTCCTCAATCAACGTCCATCATTCTTCTTCTGACCATTCCTTTATTCACATTAGGCTTCATCAACTCGTTAACCAATACTCTAGTTTAAATAGTCAACTTAATACATTACTTGATATAACGAAAACAAACCAAAAAATGATCATCAAATTTAAACAAAATTTTGACCCAAAAATCCATAGTAATATACAACTTTTGGCCATTCCAGTCTAATCTTATCCAAAATCGTACATTCTAGTCTTCATCATTCTAATCAATTGTTTTAATCTTTAATTTTAACTCTTTGACAATTTGAAAATCATCAAAAAAAAATAATCAACACCAAAGACTTGCCTTTATAAGGTAAAGTTATGCTGCTAAATCAACCAAAGACTCAAAGAATAATTGCTATTAATTTGTCTACTATTCTCAAAATTAGCAATTAACTTCTTTTTCTAATTTAGCTAATTGTTAAAGTTGCTTGAAAAGACGGTCGATTGATATTTGCACTGCCTCAAATGTATTAAGATATTCAATTGAAACTCTAGTCTTAACTGTACAATGAAACATTGACTCTGCCAACTGGTCAGTTTTATTACATTTGGCGTTCAAATTGTGCTATTTAAAAATGTCTTATATTACATTGAGTAAACTAATTTTAATTTAATTCACATCAAAACCGAAATAGATTCAAACTACTTCATTAATTGTGAAAATTATTTACGCTTTGCGGGCAGCTTCTCATATCACTCGACACTGCCTTTTAACACACACACAACTAATCAATTGATTAATTAATGCAATCAAAGTCAACCATTTGAAACTTAACCAGAATCGTCTTTTCCCGATTCGCTTCTGGTTGACAAAATACTAAACAATTGTGTTGATTGTCTAACATTAGCTGACTCCAAGTAACTAAAGGCTTGTTTAATTACTAACCTACATAACTTAACAATCAAGTGCAACCGTAAACACAATATTAATTACTGCTAATTTTTTCAATTAATATCTTGTTTCAATGGGAAAACATCAATCTTATCATAAACATAATAAACGAAGACATGAAACTAAAACTGAAATTGAATTAATAATTAACCAGAGAAATTGTCAAATTAATATCTCAAATCAATGTAATTGTTTTGTTTGTCAACATTTGAAACAATGATGAACCAAATCAACAGACGAAGCAGCAAATTGCAAATTTAGCTTTTATTGTAACCTTTTAATTCAAATTAATTGCTTAAAATGATTTCAAGTTTTAATCAATTACCGATAATTTCAATTCTCACTATTGACTAGTTAATACGCATAATAATCTTCACTCACCTTTTTAACCTTTATTTTGTAGACCCAATAATTATTATATAAATTTGCTCAATAAAAAATACATGTAATTAAAATAGCCAATCGAGATTATTTACTGAAATTTGCGGATTTTTCAGTATCGAGATCACTTCTACAGTTTAATGAAAAATTGAGTTAAATCAATATTCATATTAACTGGACTTTTATATGTAAAGGTTTAACATCTTTACTTCAACTTTACACTTTTGGTGCAAGGAAAGAATCGCGACTTTTCAATAAAACAAATTGAACTAAATTGATTTAATTGTTTCTTTTACTCTCTCCTAAATAACCAGTAACCGTTAATGGACTTGAATGTTGGATGTGCAAAGGAAACATCAATTCTGGCTGCAATAGTCCTTTTATTCCCGAACTGTTTGCCAAGAAAAAGTGTGCTGACAATGAAAAGGTTTGCCTAAAAGTAACCCAAAATGGTAAGCTTGAATAGCTTGACAATAATCGTAATTTTGTATATTAATTCACTCTTAATTGTTTCTCTGTTTCTCTAGTTAATGGTGAAACATTTCACATACGGAGCTGTGGTGTTTTGGACGCAAATACTCCAAATAAACCCGAATCCATGGGATGTAAGGATGTGAGCGACAAAGGATTACCCACAGTGGAAGAGTGTATTTGTAACAGTGATGGATGTAATGGATCAAGTCAATTAATAGCTTACAGTTTAACATCCATTTTACCAATCATCATCTTTTCCCTTTTGGTAGCTTGAGTTATCTTAACATGTTTTTTTCTTACCTTTTTGTACTTTACTAGGCTTGAATATTTTTGCTCTCTTTTCTTTCTATCTGAAATTTTATTGTATTATCAGTATTAGACGCAACTGAACATAATTGTGTGATGATCAGAAATCATGACCAGCTCAAGATCGACTTTACATAGCAAAGCAAAGCTTTCCTTTAAAACAAAGACAATTTGCGATATTTTTTAATTCAAGACGTTTTGTGAGCCTGACATCTCCAGAGTCTTCAAACTCATTCCAAATCACTGGCGTTGCTCATGGAATTGACTGACAATTTTTAAACAAGAATCTCATAACTCATTCCATTCTTTAAATTTTTACTGAGATTTCTAAAAATCTTGGATAACCAAGTGTTCAAACTCATTCCTCCATAATGTAACTCACTATTTTTTTGCTTACAAAATATTTATCTTAATTGTATAAAAAACTGATTTGCACCTAAATCAATCCATTCTTTGCTTTTCAACTACAACCTAAAACTGAACATAATTCACTGAAACTCACGAAACCGGCCTTGAAAATCAACAGCTAAATATTAACCATAATTTTTAATGTACAAATTGTGTTACTTCCAAAATGGCCTTACAATAGTACATTTACATGTAGCAATTTAATCTTTTTCATTTTGGTAAAAGTGCACATCAAGCAGAAAGATTTAAAACTGACTGGACAATAATTAATTGAATAGTCTGAATTGATTTATAGCATGCTTCAATTGATTAGCAGCGAGTGAAAATGAGAATCGTAATTACTTTGATTGTCTGCGAATTAAGATACTAATTTTGATTTAAAGAGCTAAGCTTATGTTGAACGTTTTCGCTCATGTCTAGACATCCACTAATCACTATCATTAAAATTATGATCCATAAGAAGTGATTATATTAATATAATGTAAGGAAGATTAAGTGTATGAAATTTAAATCCCGTTTTTGGTTGTCCATCGAGATTTACTCGAAGAGCTTGACACTTTTGACCCAGAAGTTGAAACGGACCAAAATTTTGTCAACATTTCTCCAAAGCAAGATTAATTGACAAATAATGATCAACTCCAATTGACTCCAAAATTTCAGATCCAATCTAATCAGAATTTAATTTTCTTTCAGCTTGTACAGTTTCACTTCAATTGAGCTTGACTTTTGTGCAGACACCTAATTGTAAGATATTATACCTTTATTCAAGAATTAGCTTGAGTTTGTTTATTTGATGGAACAATCAGATATTTTCGACCAGTAATGTTATTAAATTGAATTGAATATATTCACTTGAAGATCGGTTTTAGTTGCTTAGCAAAAATACAATTTGTCTCATATGCAAATTTGATTTATCAATCATGCAATTTGCTCATAATATTTAGATGTAACTCCGTCAATTTAAAAAAGATGAAGTTACTTGTTATTACGTTTATTAAGATGTTGACTAAAAATGAATTGAATTGCGCTTACGTCTTGTTTTCCAAGTAAATAAAAATTATTAGTTAATTAGGTAATTAACTATTCGCAAGTGAAGTGACGTTAATGGTAAATATTACCAAGAAGATGAAATTGCTGGTGATTTATGAAATGTTTTTTTGCCTAGAGTATGATTGAAAATATGTAATCATCGATGGCCTTTTGTGATTCCCTTTGTCCTTGTTTATCAATTTGAAATAACGATTTGGATGATCAATCAAAGGATTAACAAGTAATTTCCAGGCTTAATGGAAAAGGAGTGAAAATAGAAATGATTGTTTCCTTGAGCTGGAAACAACTTTTAACAAGTTGAATAACTCAGAGATAATGATAATTGTGGTAATCATTGCCAGCAATAAGATATAATAACAGCAGTCTAAAACGAGGAACAATTTTGTTAGAAATTCAAATCCAAGGTGAGATCACAACCAAAAAAATTATTTAACAATTTCAACTGCTTTTTGTCAAATCTTTTAAATTTATTGAGCTATCAACAGGGCCAAGGAGAGAAACACTGATATTTGAATTGGAGAATCAGAGATTTCAATCCAATTTGGAATCCACTTCATCACCAAATTGTTCATTTTTAGAAATTTTAGCCTTGGATGAGAAAAGTTTGGTCAAGTGAAAGACAATTTCAGCACTGGACAGAAGCAGAAATGCGTACATAATTATCTTTGGGCCATCACAGTTGTTTGAGATCATGTGGGTTAAATGGTAGACATTGAGAACACAAATAGCAAGGCAGAAGCCAGTTATATAATTTTTTGGCCAAATATAACGACGGAAATCTGGTCCTGGTGATGTTAATGAATAGTAAGCTGATCGCAGCGTTATTTTCATGGCATCCGTATAAGGGTAAAGGTAAACTACATCTTTATAGTAACGGTTCATGCAATGGTAAATAATGAGAATGTATAGAGCATTATAAAGAGAGTTTGCGACCGGAGATTGACCTTTTTTGCACCTCAAAACCATTATAATCGGTGTAAACAGCTCCAATAATCGCATACAAAACAATGCATAGGCGATACGAATCATGACATCATCACGAAACTCTTCAGATGGCTTTGACTTGCAAGCCCAAGAATCGCGGCCTAAATTGATTCCATAGCCCAAGATTAGGATTCCACATCCATAGGTACCAAAGTGAAGGCCATTGAGAACAATCATTAGAGGTCGCAGGTCGAAAGGTTTACGGTTTTTCATCCATTTTGGTCCAAAATAGGCGACAAAAGCTAACTGAAGGGCAAGTAGCAAAGGTAAACCCCAACTGTTATTGACCAAGAAAAAGTCTTTGGCTCTATCGACTTTGTAATCACCCCAAATTGCTTTCTCATAAGATCCATAATCAATGAGAGACATAATTGTTGGAAGCACTGAGTTAACAAATCTCGTATCACACTTGAAAAACTGGTAAAAAATATTCCTTTACAGATGTTTCGACTTCTGTCTGTCAGACGATCCTCAATCACTTTGGTGAGAAGACACAATATTTTGTCAACACATAAACACTGAACTGGCAATTACTTAGTTTTCTTGAGACTATTGATGATATGTTTGATTGTTTCCCGGTGGCGATGGATAGTTGATTGTCAGAATAACTGAAAAGTTGAAAGTTTAATCAGTATATAATAAGCTTCAACAAAAAAGCCAAACAATAAAATGGCAACTTTTTTATGACGACTTAACATGTTAGGAGGGAGAAGAAAAAGAAAGAGCGCGCGAAAGAGAAAGAAAGTGTTAGGTTGGTTTCATGATTAACCAGGAAAGAAAGGCTTGATTGTGATTTTGATTATTGAATTTTAAAAGTCACAATTATTCGCTAACGGTAGACTAGATTGACTTTTGACGTGTTTCTCAGTTGATTGGTCAACAAAGCTCCTCACGGTTAACATAGGTTAAAGCAGTTATAATAGGAAAATTAAACAACAATCAGTTCGTTTGTAGCCAAAATGTCATTCAATTGGAAATTTTACTGTTATAATTAAGCTAATCGATTAAATTTATAGCCCGATCAATATAATTAGAGACAATTGAATAAGATAAAAGAATCAATCTTCAAATTTAGAAATGTACTCTTTTAATATTCCAGTCTAAATTAGATTTAATAATCAAACCCATCGATAGAATCATTTTTCAACCATTAATTAAGTAGTCTTTCACGATAAATGAAAGTTCAAATCAGTTATCTAAAAATCGCAGTCTGTTAACATTGATTGCGGTTTGACGATACAGTTGAAACAAACAAGATCAAATGAATATTTAGGAACAGTTTAAACCAAACCTAAACTCGGAAATTTTCACTGCAAACCAAATAAGATAAACTCAAACATTATCAGGTATTAAATGAAAAACTCTTGTTCTTAAGAGCCTAACTTACTAGGACTTGACTTTACTGTTCTGCTTATAACTGTACCAAAAAAACCAATTGATCTTTTAAAATTATCAAACTAATAGTTCTTAACTAATATAATCCAACCATGCCCAAGCAGTCAGAAATTAGCTTTTTATCGCGATTTTCTCGGATTTAACTTAAAGAAAAGATATTTCTCACATTTATTTTTAGTTTGAATATGATTGAGTTTTTATTGAAATAAAATATATTTTTTCGGTAAAACGTAAGTTTTCGATTGATATTTTTGATTGGTATACAAAACTTATGGTCTGATAGATGAAAATATTGCCTTTTTCCTCGGATACTTCCGATAAAATTGATGTTTAAATGAATCAAATGTTTACAATTCGTTGACTTTCAACATATGTTCAAAAAAGTTTGATTTTGAGCCGAATTTTGACGGACAATTTGGACAATAAATGGTTATAAAATTTGGCTGAACATGATATCAAACCTCATTCAATTTTTTCTGTTTTTGAAATTTCAATTATCATAAACTAATCCTGAATGTGATGCTGTTTTCAGTTCAATATACAGTAACCTACCAGATAATGGGACTAGATTTATAGACAATCCCTAATTAAGGAGGAGTTAATTGAATTTGAATTTTACCAAATTTCATTTTGATTTCTTTAACTATCAATTAGTTTATTTAAATTTTCTTTCGTAAAATATCAATCAAAAAACTAAAAAAATCAACTTCAAATAATATTTACAGTTAAATTTAATCTATTAAGAAAGATTGAAAATTATGAAATGCGCTGCCCGGTAAATAGTGAAAATAAGCTATTTTCAGTTTGTACCATTATCTGGTAGGTTACTGTATTTTTCACAAATTTTATTTTCTTCCTCTTCTGTGATTCTTTTGTTCTCCTCCTTATCATGAATGAAATATTTGATGCCATGATATATCCTGGCATACTTATCATCAGTTTGAGGTTCATGGATTCATCAGAAGTATAAATAACATTTTCAATTTCTGCCTCTTTGTCCATACAGCCAGGAGAAGTATCCGTGCCAGTTGAACCTTTATAAGCAATGAATTGATTAGTGATGATTCCAAAGTGATTAGTTTTTTCTTAAAATCGTCAGAAAGTTCAACATTGTAGATTTGTTTTTGATCAGCATTGAGATGAGGGGTTGAGGTCAAGAAGAGACGAAAAGGAAATCCAGCAATTAATTTATGGATACATTTATACAGAATTTTAGATTATTTAATTTTGATTGAGCGATTATTTAGATGATAAAATTTTTCATAATAAATACGTTTCTTTCTTTCTTTCACTTTCATTTTTGCACTGAATTTTTTAGAAGTATCCTTGAAACAAAAAATCCGAGTAAAAACTACGTTTATTTCTTGATATTAACCCAGAAATTCACTCTGATTTTAGCACGGTTTTCTGATATAAAATTTGAGTTTTAATGTTGCATATTTCCTTAAATTGTAATCTGCTATAAGTTTTACTGAAGATTTACTCAAATTTTGACTGCTTGGGTGTTCATAATTCTGATACTCTTTGCTCACAATTCAATACATAAATTTCACGAAGATGTTGAAGTAATATTGAAAAAAACTTGATTTCTTATTTTTATCAAACTCAGATCAAAGAAGTTCTGCGTTAAAGCATAATGTGAGCATATTCAATGTTCAGCTATTTGTTAAATCAGCAAATGCGATGGTTAATTTTCAACTTATTTAACACATGTGTCACTAGCACACCAAGTGATTAGTAAAACTGAATCCACCATTTCATTCATTATTTGTAGGCCTCTTTTAGTAAAGATTTATCAAAATCAGAAATTTAAGGTAAAAGTTGTAATTATCTCAACTAGATGGCAGATTTTGTTCAATACTTCAATCTGATGAAAATTTCATGAAATCGCCACCATTTACAGGTGAAGCCGTTATCATACAAATTGGAAAGTCATAATCCATTCAAAATCTTCTGTTAAAACCGAAAATGGAGTGAAGCGTAATGAGCTAAGAGAGTGAAGCAAGAATTTTGGATTCATGTTAGTGGCTAAAAGTGTCTTGATTATTATTCAACTGTTAACACCCAAAAAATTAACTAAATGAGCCAGAGAACACTAATAAATTATTATTTACATTATGAATCATTTCTACGTCTTCAAAGATGAACAAATTCGGTAACAGTCTAGTTATACGGACACAAAACAATAACAAAGCCGTTAATTGAGGCCCCAGGCCGTCCAAGCCCAACCTAACCTAACCAAACCTAACCTAACCTAACCTAACCTAACCTAATCTAACCTAACCTAACCTAGTCCGACCTAGAGCGCGATAATAATCGATTATTTATTTGAATCTATAGCACTGTTTATTATATGTGTCCGTATAACTAGACTCTCACCACAAATTCTAATCCTTTGATTAAGCAATTAATATAATCTCATGGAAGATTCAAGCCAATTTTGATATTTTTTAAAACAATCTAACCCAAGAAGTTGTTGCTTGTTTCGGCAACAAGCGGCTTGTAGCAATGAATTTCATTGAATGAAAGTATGCTTTAACTTGAATGAGCAGATTCAAAAGCCTAGAGCAAACCAGCATTCAATTTCATGATTAATCAACTGATAATCTATAATCGTAAATGGTCATCAATGGGCTAACCAAGAAATTCCCTAAAAGTAGTTTAAATTGACCATTTGATAATACAAAGGTCAAAATGGGTTTATAACCAAAACTACCCAAAGACGAAAAAAAGCAGCAAAATAACTTTTCGTTTGGCTTGACATCTGAGATCACACCAGCAATATTTATTGTAATCTATTAATCAGCTAGTCAACACGATTTGAGAGATATTTAATTATATTGATGGACATCAGTCATTATATTGATCACCTTCCACCAAACCAAAACATGAAACAAAAAAGAGTCAAACAGATGTTGTAACCGGTAACAAAGTGATTGTCTCCCATTCAACCGGTCCTTGGTCCAACGCTTTTACGATAAACCGCACCCAAAAAATGATTTCTTGTTTCCTTTAGAGACTCTTTCCTTCTCTCTTTATCAATCTGAATACATGAAACACTTTCAAGAATCACGATTGTGAACATAAACTTCTAATAAACGGGAACGCGTAGACAGGAAAATAGAAAGAGAGGGAAACACAAAAGAGAGAAAGTTGCATCGATATATCGGTAAATAAAAATCGACATCGAAATCCTCTACTGACCAAACTTTTCGCTTTTAATTCAACTTACATTCCGTTTGTTTATCAAAAAAAGTCATTTTTATTAATTTAATTTTCCATTTTAATTTGTTACCATCTTTGGATTATTTTTATTAAATTGAACTGGAATAGCAACATAATTTCACCGTTAACCAAGGAAAAGTCAATAAACAGCAATGGTAACCTCCTTTAATTTGATTGTTTCCAGGACCAAAAATTTGACCAGAAACTTCAGGTAACATTTCACTTTTATTTTGATCTCATTTTTATCCTTTACTTTAACCCAGATTATCTGTATTTGCTTTGACTTACTGATTGTTTCTAATACCAAGTTATAATTTATGATTGTCTAGACATTTAAGTTGATCTAACTCGTCTAATTCAATTCACCAGGTGATCAATAGACCCAATTTTTTTACATTTTCAAAATTTCTCGTTTCTCTTATTGACATCCATTCCATACTTATCCATCCTCTATTATTATTGACATCGTTAACCATTAATATCTCAACGGTAAACATATCTTACAAACATAACATTACTTTGTATATCGTGTCGTGTATTCAATCAGTCAAAATGTATTGGCAATTAATCAACATGGGAATGTCTTGTTTCTGCATTTTTTTGCAAAAGCAAAGTCATTCTCAAATACTTGCACAAGTTGGTTTCCCTTATATTTTGCTTTTTATATTTCTTATTTTCCATTTCTTTTGTTTGACCTTTGGTCAAATCCCATAGACAAGTCAATCACATTGTTAAGCCTTTTTAACAAA